GAATCATTTTGTTTAATCAAAATGCTAACTCATTTAAATATTTACCAAAATTAGGAACCCTGAATGAATTATGCAAAAAGCCTCACAGTTCCTTGCTGGTTAAAAGTAAATATTTAATATTAATCCCTGCTGTCTGAAATTATCCAACACTTTGCATTTCTAAATATTTTCCATCTTATGAAAATTGCTAATTTTTGGCACTTTAGTTTATTTGCTTTAAGACTTTGATTTGGATAAATTGGGCTCTTAAGTGTTCTGTGCTTTGTAAAGCTCTGCGTGTTGTAGTCTTCCCTACAAATAAATGGCTCCTACCATTAGAGGTTTAAATAATGCAATGTATTTCACGCTCAGCCTGGAGCGGGATTCCAATGTACTTACTAATACATGTAATGATTAAGTGTAACTCAAATACTAACTGTGTTGTTGAAAACCTGACAGGCAATAATTTGGTCTATTATATTGTGCCATTTAATTGCCTACTACAGACATTCTTTGACACATTATGAAGCAATGATTTACAATTATTCAGGCTGCAAAGATCAGAGAGTGACATTATAATCATCTACATAGGGATCCCTTCTCATCTGCAACAACTATTACGGAAAATAAAAATAGTTTTACTGGAGTTTTAACTAGATTCTGTTTGAGGATTAGAAAATATTACCACACAGAGGGAGGGCAAACAATGTGGGATGAGTTAAGTGATGGCTGCTTTGGGCTAATGAACTACAAAGACTTTCGCTTCCTGTGAAGTCTGTACTGCATGTATAACATGCATAGCCGTACACAAACAAATGAGACACCATTGAAATCAACTTCACAGCTGCACACAGCAGCCGAAAAAATAAAAGATGGTGAAAACTAAAAAAATAACTTGCAGCAATATACAACATTTTACACAAATTAGGCTAAAGTCCACCGTGTATGGTTCGCAAACTGGAGGAAAACACACACAGCACTAAGAGATGGACAAAAGGGACAACTCATAAGAACTGTCACCAAGTCATCTGACAAAAACAATCGCTTTGCCTTCTTCAAATTAAAAAAGTTTGTATCTGCATTCCTCCGTAATTGAAAATGGCTGCACAGTGGCACAGTGGTTAGCATTGCTGCCTCACAGCATCTGGGCCCTGGGTTCAATTCCAGACCTACGGTGCTATCTGCATGGAGCTTGTATGTTCTCCCTGTGTTTGCATGGGTTTTCCCCAGGTGCTCTGCTTTTCTCCCACAGTTAAAAGACACGCTAGTAGGTTATGTGGCGTCTGGGAAGACTGGTCCTGGTATCAGTGTGTTCGTCTCTGTTTCTGTGTGTGCCCTGCAATATATGTCCCATTCAGCGTCCATTGCTTGCCAGGATAGGCTCCGGCTCCCCCATGGCCCTGTACTGGACTAAGCATTTAGGAAATGGAGGGATGGGTGAAAAACCTGAGGAAACAAAATTTGAAGCAGACTCTCCTCATCTTTAACACCTTTATTTCTGTTTAAACGTCTATTAATAGGTGACGAATTTATGAGAGAAAGAAAGTAAATCAGACACCCCCCCCCACAGTGGCACACTTCTTGTTTTCCTACTGCAGAGGTACGGTTGGTTACATTTCAGGCAGGATATCGAATGAGGGCGGCACAGAACCACAGGAATGATACCAGTGGCAAATCCCATTTGACTTCCTTTGAGCTGAAAGGCCATTTAAATATCTGTCCCAAGTAGAAAAGTGACATCAATTAGCCTATGATTACGATTTTGACTGGAGCAAAAACCAGAAGGACACAAGGGTCCTCCAGGACCAGGGCTGGGAACCTCCAGTAGATGTGGATGTGGAAAACAAAATAATGAAGAAAAGAAAGGAAGGATTTGAGAGTGAACTGCTTACATTCGTTGTCAGTCACAGATAGGCTTTACTGGTGTAAAGGCAGGACCACTAGCACTGGTGCTAGATTCCATCCCACAGCTACACCAGAAAGATGCAGAGTTGTCCCCTGTTAAGATGAGGTGGTAGTGATCCTCCCAGAATGCAGGTTACATTCAGAAAAAAACAGAGCATTCCATTCCAACGGGAGCGGTCCGACATGTTTAAGCAAACCAATATTTAGAAATAATGTCCATTCTTCCTATGAAACAGAACAGCATAAGTGCTTAAAATAAAAACGTTTCTGCTCTCTGCCCAAATACCTTGGATGAGAAAAAGAGCTTTCGTTTTGCTGTTGACTGTGTCGTCTTGGCTACCAAAGTCATTGCAGTAGGATTATGCTGCACATCGTCAATTTTTCATTTCTGTTTTGTTTTTCTTTAGGGGTACTAGACCAAATATAAGGTGTATATATACACTGAGAGGTATTAAAAACCCAAGAAATACGTTTTAATTTTAAAACTGCATTTTAATTTACATTGCCTCTCACTCAGTGTATATGGCCCATCTACTGCACCTAACTTCGATCTGGGCCTTAATTTGACTTTATCCTGATCGTGCACTGTTTTGTGATTTCCTCTCACGGGCAAAAAACTGGGTCAATTAATTTCCTGTAGAGTGGGCAGGCTGTTCACAATCTAACACAACAAAGACCCTCAGCACCTTTGTGTTTTGTAACTTCTAAAATGAAAGTTTGAGCTTCTTAGGTTAAGCTGTTACAAAATGAATGCTTAAAGCAAAGTACAAGATATTACAAACACACTTACAATACATTCAAACAGGTATTTTAAAGTGTTTTGGCAACTTAGCACTTTAGTAGGATGTGATTTTTGCTGCCTAGTTGTTACTGTATAAAGTATTAGTTCCTGCCAGCTTCGGGATTCTCATTAAGGCATTGCTCGGATCATCATGCAGACCATGTGTCACAATTACACCACAGCGTGTCCTCCCCATCTCACACCTGGGTTTGCGTGCTCTTCACTTCTATGCGTGTTGTAAAGCACAAACCACATGATAACACGATTTTTAAGTACAACAGCAGTCTTCCTGCCACACATGTTTGGCGGCAAGGAGAAATGAAAAGCTTTTTGGGTCTAAATCATTGTTAAATTTCAAAACATAGCCAGCGCTCCTAAGGTGGTTGAAAATAAGAGTACAAAATCAATGTCTTAATGAAAACACAGGGATATGTTAATTGAGCAGCATCCTGATGTGTTCACTTAGAAGCAGAAGTCAACGATAATTAAGTGAGATGCGGTTTGGCCATGGCAGGGAAAGCAAGGGGGTAGACAGCAAATTTAAAATCTCCACAAAAATTAATGTCCAGTGAATCTTTTAAACTAAAGAGACAAAATAATTTGTAAAATCTGGGTGTAGAGGAGGTCTGCTATACTCTGGAATAGCTTCAGGAATTAATCTATAATTGCACCACACGGGTTAGTTTCTTTAAAATAAACACAGCTCTGTACAATCTCCAATCAGCACATCGCTCAGTTTTGATTATGATGCATTGTTTTAAATAAGAATATGAAAATTGCAAAATCAACCACAGCAAACCACACAAGCACTTTACTTGGTAAGTAACAGACTATGTAGGAACAGAGCCAAAAAAAGCAGTACAAGAAGAAGCCATCGGCTACTGGCTATATGAACGGCAGGAAGTTTTAGAGTCAGCTAATTTTTAAAATCACAAAATTTCCCTGTATTTCTTTTAATTTAATCCATAAATTGAGGATTCAGAAGACGTCTTTTAGTAGTGATCTCCACCCGGAGACACGCATATTGGCAATATGTCCAATCACAGAATCAGTGGGGTCTGCTGGCTCATCAGGCATTATGCAATGAGAAACAAAACATTTTCTAATAAGATTTCTTGTAGGGACCAGCAAAGATGTGTCCAAGAGAAAGAAGATAAGCATTCTGGTTCAGATACTACTTTTTCACTAAAATGTCTCCGCGTTCACATGCATATTACCACTGTTCTCTGTGAAATGATGGAGATCAGAAATACAGTAACTGAGAGTTGTAAAGTGTCGATTTTATTCTCTGGTCTGTAAAATATTGCCACTCCTGTTAATTGTTGTTTTTTTGTTGCAGACCAAGACTTACCAATGACCCAAAAACAAAGGACACTCAAAATAACTATGCGATGAGTTTTTAATGGCTGTATGTTAATTAAAAACCATGTTTTAATTATTTAGCGTATTAACAGAAAAGCTGTATGTAATGAATAACATCAAATACTAGGTGTTGCAGGTGTTGTAACATGCAAGTAAGTATATGCAGAAAAACTCTTGTTACCCTAGTTCCCAGGATGGCTACATAAATAATCAGAATAAAGCAAAACAATATTCTCACTCAAATAGGACACATTATCGTCTGGATGTGTGTGTTAGGCGGTGAAAAGGCCACATGGTAAAAAGGAACAATATGTTATTTTAATCACTGCTGGCAGAATTCACACTTCTGAACCCAGAAGGTGCGGCTGCAACCTAAAAACCTTCACATCTCACCGGAAACCAGCACTGAACTGTTCCAAGTGAAAACAAAGCAGACTGACAGCATTTCAGACACGGCCACAACGCACACAGAGAACAGAGGGTGAAAGAACAGCCTTCTGCTTTCTCTCTAAAACCCGGATTTATTTGCCTTGTTTGTTATCATCAGACCAAATAAGAACTGAGGCACACAAATGCGCTTCAGCTAACCTTGAGAAAAACAGAAGTGTAAACAGTTTATTAAATATTTCTTGGGTAAAGGCTAAATTATAGATTTTTTTTCCACACCCATTTATGAAATCTATAGTTCTCCTTGGCAACATGAACGAACATCCTGTAATTTAGTCAATTTACAGATTGCAGGTTCAGATTGACCCTGGAGCCTGCAAAATTGTTCATTTTCAGCACAAGGCTTAGGAGTGGGAGAAGAAATGTCATAACTGTATTTAAAAAATTTACCATAACAATGGGAAAGAAGCTCCGCGAGTATAATTTCAGTGCTGGTGGAATGTAAAATTCAGACTTTTTAACACCTCATACCCTGTTTTAATTACATTTTTCCCATTCACAATGAACAGAATGTCACCATACTTACCCACAGACATGACACTTGTATTCCCTCATCCCAAGGTGCCTTTTGACATGATTCCGAGCGTCACCCAGCTGGGCCGTGGCAAATTTGCAGAGTTTGCACTTGAAAGGCTTTGATCCTGAACGGAAAACACAGAAATAAATTAATACAAATCACACCAAAGGGAACTTAAGAATGTTCTATTTTATTGTAAAAAATCAATGTTATCTAAAAAACAAATAAGCCCTTATGCAAGCAACACATTCGTTGTTCCTGTGGTCATGCAAATTGATAAAATAATCCTTTTCAAGCACAACATACTTATAAGAATACAATTTTAAGTGTTTGTCATATATACTCAATATAAATGGAAAAATACCTGTGATTATTATTTGTTCATAGGTGTGATATTATTACATGTTTTTGAATTAGGGACTAGAACTTTTCTATAGTGCAGTAGTTTGTTAGTTTGATCTACTTTGTAAAATTAATTAAAAAATGACCATGAAAAACAATAAGACAAGACACTGAAGCATGGTTGGTCTCCAGTGCAAGACCCTGCAGTCTTGCCTGAGTCTTCCACTGTCTCCTGCCTGTCCAGAGCCACCACGATCATCCTGAAGATCAGCACTATATTCATGGCCTGCAATCCCCACACCACTCTGCTTCGCAATCAGCTTTAAAAGGTCAGGCGGAATACCAAAATCAATTCTGGGAGTTCAGGAGCAGCTCCATCATCATAACGCTAATCACTCTGCTTACGTGTAGGGAGGTTTATTCCCAATTATTGTCATTAATAAATCAGTAAACTTCAGATGTCTACAAGAAGAAGCAATTGGCAATAGCAGCCATTCATCAATTCGTGTTGTGCTCTTGTGGAGTCATTAGCTCCAAGGACCCCAAAAAGTGGGTGCTTGTCTCAGCTTAGCAGCATAACAACGTGTGGCATTTTGTTACTACATCACAGCACAAAATAACAATACTGGCATGTTCCATAGGTATGGAATTGCTCCCTAAACTCAGGATGCATTTCTAATGCTATATTATAATAGTTACATTTCCCAAAAAGGTGTGCTGATCTGATTTAGAACATGTGTGGATTACTAATGTGTTCAAGTATGGTTCACTTGCAGAAAGCTAAAGAACGACACAGTGGATTTTAATGCACTAACAAAGACTGAAAGGTACCCACTGTGACCAAGGCCCAGAAATGGACACGTATTTCACAGTTGAGCAGCACTGAAACCAAATCTCTTAATTTGTCCATTCTCTTTGCAAGGTGGAGAAGGGTAGACTATCAAGTACAGCAGGAATGGCTGGATCCCGTCACTTCCACATGTTTAAAATGCCAAAAAAGAAGGACATTACATCTAACAGCCTTCACATCAAATTAAGAAACTCCATTCCACTTAAACGAGTTCCGTAAAACTGAATAAACGGTAACGCAGTGTCATGTTAAATTAGTACTGTCATCTAATTTGGTCATATGAATTCTTCATATTTGAAATTAGACCCAGAAATACTAAGACATTTTCTAGAATTTCTGATCTTTTATTCTATTTATTCTCATTTTTTCTTCACAGCATTCTTAATATATTTCACTGTAAAGTAGTATGTACTGTACTATGATTTAAAAAAATCCTTAAGTACAGTTTCATCACAGTTTAAGGAACAGAAGAGCCGATAGTGGCGAGAAGTGAAAAGGAAATAATGTGACATGTTTGTGATTCATCAGCATATCACAACCTAAGAATTACTTAAACACAGATAAGCATTGGCAACATTAATACTTTAACACTGGTCCCACTTTTGGGAAGGTACATCTGAACTATTGTGGGCTCTGCTCAATGATACAAGACAAAGTCTAGAAAAAGCTTACAAGGAAAGTATACTTTAACCATTAACGAGGATGACGGTGAAATCTCCCTAATGAAAAGATAGCAAGAGCAGAGCCAAGCCCAGAGTGGTGAGAAGAAAAAACTGCAGGGTTTGCACAGCAGGTTTTCAAGATACTGATTTCTCTTGTTTCTACAACAATTCACTAAGGTTAGAGATCAATGTGACTCTTCACAAATGAATTAACCCAGAAAACAAATATGTAAAAATTATTATATAAAATAAACAGAAATAAATCCTTTTGTTTTACATACTGCAGTGTATGTAATTACATACACTTCAGTTCAATAACAGGTTGTGTGTCACAAACTGTAGTTGCAACTGAAGACAGCTTTCTCTGTGGAACAATATTCTAGCTGCGATTGCAAAACAACATCAGAAAGAGCCAGTATCATACACAAAATTATTGTTTTTTCCAATAATGTACAGCTGTTATAACGTTTTACTCTCTGGCTTATTTTATAGAAAACTATAGCTATTCTTGGTGTGTGTGCTATTTGACAGGAATGATTCACACTATAACACTAAGTAGCAAATGCTTAATAAGGAATCAACCACATAAAACTAAAGAAATACTAAAACAGAACTTTGAACCTACAACTGTTTTGACACTACGAAGAGGGACAAGATAGTCTGTCTTTAGCAGGCTATTGCCAAGAAAGTAAAGAAAGTAAAATGTTAAAGACCTCAGAAGGGTTTGACTTCAAACCTCTGTAGAGACGAGTGCATGGAACAGCCTGGGGAAAATGTCTAAAAAGGACACAAATACTAAAGCCGAAATCTTTCACCTGTCTATGAAAGTAACTCATCTTATTCATCCAGTCCACTCAGACAAGACTGGTATGAAGTCAAATTTAAAAAACTTTGAGCTAAGAAAGGCAGTGGGTGTAAATTTTAGCACGGGTCTGGAGAACCAAACAGACGGTTATTGATGGCTACCTCACTTCTCGTTTCTGCATTAAGTTGATTTTAAAAGCAATTAATACATATAGTCAAGGAAGAGTAATGGGATACATTCAGCTCTTAACCTGCTGGACATTCTGAAATGGTACAAGTGACCAGTGCAAACCTATTTTGCATTATAAACGACAAAATAAATCTTAATGGATTAAGAATGATCAGCTATCAGCACACAAGGGAAATTAAGTGCTGAAAGGCCTACATTGATTATCTTAAATTATTAGCCTTACTCTCTTTCGGATTTCTTGTGCTTTTAGTGAGCTTTAACACATTTACAAGACTTATTGACTATAATTACAAGAGAATTCAAGTAATGGACACATCAATTATAAGCCACATGTCCTGACCAGACACTGCATAAAGAATCCTAAACTGAGGTCCATTAGCATCTTACTCAAGTGCTCAGTTTTTTTTCTTAAAGTAAAGAAGTTACAATAGTTAGCCTAATCAGCTGTAATTCAGAGCAAACCTACGGCTTCAGAAAGAAAACCATTTGTCCAGGAAGTCAATGTCACAGTCACGGATAAAGGACAGTTTTATTTAAAGGGGAAAATCACCAAAATGACAGCAATTTAGATGAATATATTACCTCAAATTCCCCCTTGCTTGCAACTGTAAATGCATACAAACTGAATGAGAGTGTATGCGCATTACAACTGACACAACTTTAATGTGGATGACATTTAATATAGACAAGTGTAAGGTTTTGCATGCAGGTAGAAAAAAATATATGAATTTATAAAAAAATATAGTGTATATAAACTATAAAACCAAAATGCCAAATAGAAATCTCCCAATTTGTGTTTATAGACAATATTATACTGAATGCATATTGTATTGTTTACATTAATCATGAACACGCCAGGTGTTTGCCCAGCCCAGAATTTGATCTAATCCTGTCTCCCATGTGTATCACGGTCAGGGTTTGAGCTTACTGTCTCTCCAGAAGGTTACGTACCTGTGTGGGTGCGAATGTGGGCCAAGAACGCCATGGAGTTGCTGCTTTTGCACACCTTCCCACAGTACTTGCAGACGTTGCCTTGGTTCTCCTCCCGCTCCCTGTTGACCTGCTCCGTGTCTTCCAGGATGTACTTGTTCACTTCCCGGAGCAGCTCCTCGTGCTTCTCTTTGATGTGCATGAAGAGTTCCTGCTCGGTCTCAAAGGGGTCGGTGCACTTAACACACTTGAAAGTGGCTCCCCCTTCGGGCAGCTCCTCTATGCTGGCTTGCTCGTTCTTCAGGTGCCCGACACTCGTCAGGTGCTGGTGGAGGTTGCTCTCTGTGTAGAAGGACTTCCCACAGAGCAGGCAGTGAAAGTGCTTCTCCTTAGAAGGATGCTTCATAGATATGTGCACATTTAGCCCGCTCAGACCATCGGCCATGAAGCCACAGTCTTCGCAGCGAATGCGCACGCTCTCATTGCGTGTGGGGCCATCTGCTTTCTTTCTCTTCCTAACTTCCTTCTCCGAGCTGCAAGCGCTCGGGTAACTGCTGAGAGCACTTCTTTCTGACGACTGTTTGGCATCGTTATCTGCGGTTTCAGAATCAGAACTGGGTTTGAGAGGAACAATGCACGCATCGAATGGAATCGCCCTGACTAATTGCTTGGAAGGCAAAGGAGTAGCGCTGCCACCATCAGTGGCCTCCAGATCAGTGCTGGTTTCTGGTAAGCCCTCAACTGCGAAATCATTGTCTGCTTGAAGCAAACTCTCCTTTTCCACTTCCTTCTCCATAACAATTTCCTGCGAAGCTTTGCTTCGAATGTCATCTTTTACCGATTTGCTCAGCTGTGTCACCTCTAGGCTCGGTCCTTGGCTGTCTTTTAACTCCGCAGCTTCAGAACTAACATCAAGTAGTTTCTCTGCATTATCCTGACTCAGCACTATATCCTCACTCATGTTAACTTTGGCATTTTCTTCATTCACTTGGTTAGTGTCAGAGTTATGATTCAAGCTGTCACTTTTTAATTCAGACATTTCTGCATCTTGCCCACTACAGGTCTCGTCATTCTCTGAAGTGTTGTTTTCTCTCTGCCTTTCCTCAGTATGCTTTAACGTGCCATTTTCTACACTAAGACTTTCCACAGGAGATGTTTCATGACTTTTACCATCTCCTTCGCTTTGTGTAGGTGTTTCAGCAGGTGCCCGAACCAGGTCCTTCTCATTTTTTTTGGCAGTTTCCAAATAAGTTTGACTCTTCTGTTTGTGCTTTTCTGTCATTGCGTGTCTTGTCATCTCTCTGCGAGTGACAGCGTAATAGTTGCAGGCCATGCAGTAGAACTCAAAGTCCTTGGTGTGCTTGCGCTTAATGTGGAGATCGAGAGATGAAAGGGAATGAGCAACAAAACTGCAGTGAGTGCAAGAGTTAACCGAATCGTATTTGCTTTTTCTCTGAACAGCACTCTCAGGGTCCGGCTCATCTCCGACCACCTCTACTTGCTCAGGACCTGTCAGATTTTCCACACTGTCCTCATTATGTGAAGGAATGCTTGCTACGGCTCCTTCAATGGCACTCTCTCCTTCCGACGGTTTCAAAATGGCTTCTTCCTGGATTTCGGCCTCCATTGCTGCTGCCTCACTGACATCCCCTTGGACTTCAACACTTGCAGCCTGTCCATTGTTCAGAACTTCCACCACTCCATCAGGATAAACTTGGTCATCCTCTGGGTTTATATTTCTGACTGACTCCACACGGCTCTTATGCTTCTTAGTAGCACAATGACGATCCATATCTCCTTTGGTTACACAGTAGTAGTTGCAGAGCTTACAAGCATAACTGTACTGGCGGCTGTGCCTCCGTCTTATGTGAACACTAAGGTTAGTAGCACTGGATGCTATCAGTCCACAGTAGTTACAAGATGTTGAGGTGCATCCTTTTGGTCGACCTCTTTTTGTTTTACTTCGACCAACCTCAGTAGTTTCATCTATGTTTCCCATTGCTTCTTCAGATGTTAATTTTGCTGCAGGATCAGGCAGCTGCTCTCCTGCTTGGATTTCACTTGGCAAAATGTCTTTCTTTAAGATTTTCTGAACATCTGAAGTATTCACACAGACTTCCTCAACAGAGTCTTCAAAGGAAGAGCCAAGGTTTTCTTTCTGAGCCAACTCTGCGTGTTTCTTTCTGGCGATGTGTGCTTCCATCCCTTCGGAACTGACTGTGTAATAATCACACACTTTACAGCGAAAGTGATACTCTTTTGAGTGTTTCAGGCGAACATGTCTCAATAGCACTGTTGAGGAGCTAGTTTTATAGATGCAGCTCTTACACTGTAGCTGACCCCTGGTGGTTGCTGAACGTTTCAGCAAATGTGCAGCAGCAACTTGGGTCGCAGTAGGTTTGGAGTTCTCTCTCGGTATTTGGACTTCTATCTCAAATGTGTCTTTCTGCTTCTCGGCTTTGCTCACCTGGGCTGGTGTACCTGAGTATCTGCTAATCTCTGAGGTCTTTGTTTTATGTCTGTTGCTCTGACAGTGCTTTTCATAATCACCCTTAGCCACACAAGCATAAGTACAAGGCTCACAGAAGAAGCTCATTTCTTTCGTGTGGCGCCTTTTCACATGCATAACTAGGCTTTGCTTGTCACGAAATCCATTGCCACAGTAGTTACATGTGGGCTGAGACTTTTTATCAGACTTTGCTTTCAATCTACGCTTGTCAGTTTTGGAGACTGCAGTAACCTGGCAAACAGAGGATTCTTGGTCTTCACTAATTTCTGCAACATTCAGTTGCACCTCTACATTGCTGTTGATGCCTTCATTTGTACTACGAAGGAGGGAATCTGTGGTGGGTTCAGAATTGTGGTGAGCTTCAGCACTCTCCACATTCATTTCAGGTGTAGCTCCTACATAAAATAAATCTTTATCGAGTGTTGCATCTGTATGTTGTGTTGTGCTGCCATTGTCAGCATTATCAATGCCCTTGGATTCATTTTCTTTCACATTTTTGCCGTTATCTTCTATACTAGAGGAAAGGGGTGTTAATTCAACCATGTTCATAAGGATTTGTGTAGGATTCAGCATCTCCTTCCCTGAACAGCTTTGTTCATTCCCTTTGCTTTTAATTGGAGAATTTTCATTTTCCAATGCAACAGTCTGATCGACTATTTCCATGTCAGAATCTCTGTTTTCCTCATTTTCCAATAGAACTTCTTTACTGCTTTCAGACTGACCAGTAGCATGGTCAGTCTTTTTCATTGCACCTTTAATTTCTGATGTTGTACAATCAAGTGCCTCCATTTCTTGACTTTTGCAGATCAAACGTTTTATCTGCGCTCTTGTTGTAATGCTTTGTTTCTGCAAATTGGTTTTCTCAATCTGATGAGCCTGAATACCCATACCACCAGCAGCACAAGAAACGTCTTTATGTTTGACTTTAATGTGCTCCTCTAATAGGACTGCACTTTCTGCCTTGAAGCTACACTGAGGGCAGCTATTCTCATTGTATGCTTCAGATATCTCGCCCTCCACTTTGCCAAGATCTTCGATTCCTTTCCCAGACAGTATTTTTTTAGCTCTGCTTTCTTTATTTGCACCTGTGGTTACCACTTTCTTAGGAATCTTACGAGAATGCTTTCTTTTCATGTGCACTTTCAACGCAACTGGATTTTTAGCCAGAAAATGACAGTGGGGACACGTGCAACCATCAGCAGTGGCTTGATCGTTCTTTCCTTCTCCCTGCCTATTCTCAGGTTCACAGCTCTCACTCTCCCCAGGGTCCTTGTCTTCTTCGGACCTTGTTCTTTTGGCCTGGGAGCCTGCACCATCTTGATCTTCAGCTTTGGTCTCACTGCCATCCCCGCCACCCTCAAGCACATCCTTACCGGTTCTTAATTTCCTTTTATTGTTTGACTCTTTAACCATCTTGTTACTTTTTTCAGAGCGTCCAACACCCTTTCCTTCTTCAGATGATGAACTCTTCTGATTATCCATTAATTTATATGTGCACAATTTCCAGGATTTTAAAGGGGTGATCCAATCTGCCAATAAATAAGAAGTAAAACATGAAAATTGTAGACAAGAGTACAATAAGGGTAGACATTGTTTTAAACATCTGGTTCAAGCATCATTCCTGAGTCAATCCGATTTGGAAAATCTATGTTGGTAATACAGCATTGGAACCAATAAAACTGGTTTCTAGCAACAACTTAAAACATTCCTTATTCCAAGGTGCCAAAACTAATGGTAAAACAGCCACAGTGAAATGTTAGGGGTTCATAAAACAGCTTAACATAGCCTGTGAACATTCTGCAAGGATGTTGACAAAGCATAAATAAAAAAAACACTTTAAAAGTCTAATACTCTTTAAAGACTTTCTGAAACAATTCCATAAGGACTTCAGAATATTTAGTTCTGGAACAAGTTGTGATAGTAGTATACAGCAGGGTATGTTTTCCCCAGAGAAGCACCTGAGCTACTAAAACACACTTATATTACACATACATCAAGCAAAGAAAACAAACATCTCCTGTAATTTCATTACAAAACAGTATAACAACAAATAATATGTGAATCAAAAATATTATTTATCTACAGGCTAGAAATGAAAAAAAAAACATAAATTAAAAATGATTTACATGTGTTTGATCAAAATATAACTGTTACAGTTATTATTATATATTTAAGTAATTATTCAAACTTCCCTAGAACACAATGTGGACTCCTGAGAAGACAAAAGGATATAACTCAAACGTATTCAACAGTGTTTAAACTACACAAATAAGACACTCATTAACCCATTCCAGAGTACAACGCTTGGCAAAGGATTAGGATAAGGTTAACTCAAACCTCTACTTCACAGACTACAACAGATGTTCAGTAACCTCTGGGTTTTTACTTCTGCCCCCTCTTTTCTCTTCATATTAATATCTCACATGTCAAGTCTGGATTTTACTCCAAGTACTTGAATATAAATGTAAGCAAAATTAGCAATGTCCCAAAGATACAGTATAGCCTCCTCTATGTTACAAGTCAAGTGGGTGTGTCACCCTCTTACCTGACAGGTTAACCGCAGGCCTTCTAACCAAATGCGCCTAACTACGGCACCTTGGGTAAATAGTTTAAATTTTTACGTTTTTGTGACTTTCCCTTACGTCTCGCCTTTTCTTTGGCATGTGCACCAATAAAGTACAGATGTTCAGCACGATTAATGCTCAATGGTTCCACACTTAAAAAATGCTGGTACACTTAATACCCCTCAATGGTGTTGTGTTTTGAGTCTTGTTGTTCATAGAACCAGTCAAGAGAAAGTTGTTTAGTGTAAAAAACAACGGCGGCATCGGTTTTAAATCTGAAGTACACAGCAAAATAAAATGCTTCACTGCTGAAAGAGACTAAAATAACAGTGCCAATAGACAAGGGTAAAATCCTTCAGTTCAGTTTTGCTGTGAGAAACTCTCTCCATTTCGGGCACCTCACTCATGACTTTTCATCCTGCTCCTCCAGACCTTGCAATCTAACATCAACTGGGGGTTGTTTGTCCCATTGCACTGGACACACCACACTGTAGGGTTGGCAGAGCCCTTTGCTTCTCGTTTCCTACACTGGAAACTCCTATTTTACCTTATGCGAACTACTAAATTTATTTTTTTGCACCTTTGTTTAATTCAATTGTACTTATATAGCACAGCTATTTTTTACTGTAAACATTTAAGTTGCCTTGGGTAAATGTGTGAGGCAAATAAAATTCCTCACCATGATTTAAATTCAACTTGGTGCCAAAACATAATATAATAATCACACAGCAAAAGCAGTGATATAGTGACAAATGCAAAGTAACATTTCTCTATGTTTAAAATATGGCTTTAAACTCTGGTTAAAAATTATATGTGTTTCAGTAGATTTATGAGTAAGGAACAGAAAACTGATCCAGTGTCTTAGGAATTCATATGTATATTGAAGCCAAAGTAAGATTCAAAGGTTTCTTTAGCACAACACTGCTTAATCCAACTTAATGCCTTTTCATGTAGAAACTGGAATAACAGTTTTTAGCAAAGTTTCTGAGTTTCGGTTCACTCAATTGAATCCCCCCCCCATATGATATACTTTTAATTTAGTTTAATTATAGTGAGTTTTAATAGAGCTCATGCAATAAGTCCAAGAAAATGTCTGCAGTTGAACCACAGATTTGTCCATGTATGCTACACAGCCTTGTTGTCTAACACACAACTAGGTCGCAACATAGCAAACCAGACATTTATTCCCATGATGAAGCACAGCAGTTTGCTGCCATCTAGTGTAAACAGGGTGTGGGGTCTCACTTACACAAATACAGTACTACACACAGCTGTATCTCCTGTATCTCTGTATCTCTATATGAGGTTGAACATTTGAAATGGACGACTGGTTTGGAATCAAAACTTTTGGATCTGCATATGTGCCATTGTAACAATCGTAGTGTTTATATGACCAATCAGCATGAGGCCCTACCATTCCCTTCCCTGGAATGTAACCAATGCATAATTGCACTATTGATTAAAATATTTATCAATTTAACAATTAAGGGACAGGCAGCTGTAGCAAAATGATTTAGAGAAGTGAGTTTCACATTTAACTGTATTACAATACAGAATTACAATGTATTTATGTTTTTTTCATTGATCGACACAAAACACTGACAAAATTCTATAGATCATCATAATTTAATTACAAATATATAACAGAAACTAAATACTTTCATAAGTATTCATCCCCTTTACTATGACACACATAAATAGGCTCTGACACAAACAAATGTATTTAGAAGCCAAATAACTTGTTGAATGGAGTCCAGTCATGTGCAATTAGAGTGTTTCACAGGAGTTTGGGATAAATATACCTATCTCTATGAGGGCCCAAAGTTGATTAGAACAGCTCCAAACAAAAACTGCATCATGGAGACAAAGGAACTTACAAAGTCAATCTGAGATTAGGCTATTGAAAAGTAGTAATCAGGGAAAGGTTATAAGAAAATATCCAAGGCTTTACATATCCCCCAAAGCAGAGTAAAGTCCATTATAAAGAAATGTAGAAAATATGACACATCTGTGAAACTGTGAAGAACAGGGTGTCCTCAAAATCTGGGTTTCCAGGTGAGAAGTGCACTGGTCTGGGATGCCACCAACAGGCCTGTGAGAGCTCAAAAAAATGTGCAATCTTTCATGGCTGAGATGGGAGAAACTGTGGATGTGACAATTGCCCGAGTGCCTCACAAATTTGGGCTTCCTGGGAGAGTTATAAAAAACTCACATCAAATCTCAACTACACTTTTCCAGAAGGCATTCGGGAGACTCTGAGACCAAATGGAAGACGATTCTACGTTGCTTGTGGATCCCTACCATCAAGCACGGTGGTGGCAGGATCATGCTATGGGGAAGTTTGACTGCATCAGGGCCTGGAAGACTTGTGAAGATAGAAGGAAAAACGGATGCAGCAAAGACAGAGAAATCCTGGAGGACATTGTGCAGCAGTCTGCAAGACACGTGGGACTAGGGAGAAGATTCATCTTCCAGCAGGACAATGACCCAAAAGATATAACCAAGGCCACACTGGAGTGACTCAAAAAGAAAAAAGTTAAATGTTCTGGAATGACCCAGTCAAAGCCTGGACCTCAATCCAATCCAAAATCTGGCCGTAGATTTTAAAATTCCTCTTTGCCAACAGTTCCCATCGGACATAAGAGAATTTAAGCAATTTTGCAAACAAGAATGGGCAAAATTGCAGTGTCCAAATGTGCAAAGCTGGTAGAAACTCAAGAATAATTATGGTTGTAATTTTTTGCCAGATAAGCCTCTACCAAATCTTTTTCTCAGACGGGGTGAATACTTGCATAATATTCAATCTGTTATTTTCTACTTATAATTAATTTAGGAAGATCTGCAGAATTTTGTTTTCACTTTGACATTAAAGAGTGTTATCTGTCAATCAATAGCAAAAGCTCCCAGTTAAATACATTAGGATTTCATATTGTAACACAATAAAGTCCAAGGGGGGGAGAATACGTTTAACAGCCACTGTACATGTAGAGTGGATTAATAACCCTGGGGCTAAAGTTCACTCCCGTTGCTCAGGAGAACAAGCTTATTAGTCAAGATTACTGAGGTCTTCAGCCACAGACTGAAAATACAGAGAAAACTAAACCAATTCAGTACAGGAACAGGGTCAAAGACCACTGACTTAGTGGATTGGCTACTTATTTACATTATGAGCTTTTAATGCACCAGCAAATAGAAAAACTTCCAGAATAAGAGGAAAAAACTACACCCATAATTCACAAACTACTTAACCTCAAGCCACACTTTTGTAACACGAGAACACTTATACACTATGTGCATTCACATATTCACACAAAATGCTGCTCAGATACAGTATGCAGGCAGGTGCGAAAGTTATGTTATGAGCATGCTTCTGTTTTAGTGGATGTCATTTACTCTGTTCTGTTCCATTTTTTCTTTGTACTTCCCATTTCGCCTGTCTTTTGATTAAATTCATATTTTTTAACTGGAATCAGCTATGATTCCTTGGTTAGCCAAACACTGCATGTTAAATACTTATCACTTTCTAACAAACTCCAGAATTGATGCTGAAAATTTTGGGAAAAAATGAATTGATATTGATCACAATTTTAAAGTGAATACAAAAATGTATTTATAACAACAATAATGTTGTTTTTTTTATTAGACCTGGGAAGATGTAGACTTACATTTTACTGTATGCAAGACACTTCTGCAATTTAGATTTGTACTAAAGCGTTAACACTCCAGGTTGTAATGGTCTCAATACCCTGGAATAGTATGTCTGCAGAAAGCCCACTTCCTGCACTCAAGTATAGCTTTTGAACAGAGAATGGGACCTGATTCAAGGATTCAACAGGCAACACTCCGGGGTCATTCAAGAAATGGCTGAATAAGATCCTCAGTCCCATTAGCTACTGGTAAGCAAATGAGCTAGAAGAACTAAAGGGCTCCCTCTTGTTTGTAACTTTTATGTTCTTAGCAGTCTCTTATTGATAAAAAGATGCTACTGCAGTAATTACATATACTGAGTAATAAATAAAGGTGACATTGTATGCTCTTTGGTTAAAAAAACAATAACACAGTGTTCTACTGGTAAATTCATACCATATGCATACATAACGAGAAATGTAGGCTGTTGTATGGACAGCACAGGCCAATGTAAATTAATTTCAGTAAACACAAATGGCAGGAAATTTCATAAAAAATAGCGCCAATAAACTTTAACTTGTAAGAAACTAAAAAGCCATCTTGGGGGCTATAGTACCATGTATGATTTTGCCTCAAATGTGCTGTCACGGAAAGTTCCCACCCTGAGACAGGTTTGTCTTTTCTGATTTATTTACCTCGCCTCACACTGCCGGCTCTTCACCTCAGGCGCTGGTGGAGGCCAGTGACACCGGTGACCTCAATTCTGATGTAGGAGAGCAGCGCTGGCTACGTGTCATTCCACCTGTCCTTGAAATAATCCTTCTCAACATCTGAAACCATGAAATGCCTGCATGCTGACAGGGGCTTGATGCTACAAATAAAGCCCAGGGCTCACGCTTCACTTTGAAGGCATTTGGCTCCAAGAAAACAGTACAACACCAGTTGATGCAGGTATCATATACCACCTGTGGTGCCAATAAGTGCATGAGTGGGTGATTACATTAAAAGCACAAACCTTCAATGAAAGATAAAATATTATGCTTTTTCAGAGGTTCTGAGGAGCATTCTAAAGATGGCCTATCACAATTGTAGCCCTGCATGCACTGACATATGGCATCTTGATTCCCGTTGCTTGTGGATTAAGTGAACAAGAACAAATAACCAAAAGATTGGCAAGGACTTTATTAGGTGACAGGCACAAATGTGTTTGCTTGATTTGTCCACTCAGCTCCCCCATTCAGTATTGCTTGATGCTACGGATCAGAGATGGTCAATCCGGATCCTGGACAGCTACAGTACAGCAGGTTTTATATATCACCTTTACACCAGATATTCCTGGTACATACGACCGATTTAAAAAAACTAGCTCTAAACGGTTAGAACCTCGAATCATAACATAATATAACACTAAAGCAAGTCACAGTTTTAATAAATCAATTTACAGAGCCTTAGGAAAGAAACACCTTACAGGCTTCCAAGGGCAGAGGTGTCAACCCCAGACTTAATGAACTCATTATGTGTTAAACTGATCACTAACATGTACAGTATGTTATTAGGCCCCTTAAACCCTAGTAACACCCCCACCAGTCTACGTCACTGAAAAGCACAGATCCCTTAGACATCTGTTTGCTGATCCTGCCAGTACTCCACACTTCAGCCTCTAAATGAGACCTGAGCTTTCTCGTAATCAAGCAGATAGCAGGGCACTTTGCTCTTGCCTGGGTCTGGCTTGCACAGGGGTGGAATTGTGAAACCTGTAACTGATCCACAGACATTTAGAGACTGCTGCACCTGGTCTGTAGTGAGCTGGGCCATGCACATGCTGAAAGTGAATATGCTTGAGGAGTTAGCCAGAAAAAAGGCATGACTTTTGCAAAATTCATCATATAGGCACATGATAAACAGTGAAAAGCCAAACCACTACAGGTTTGAGAAGACTGTCATTATAAGTCTCAAGTAAAAATCCTCTACCTCAAAAAAGAATGAGGATTACAGTTACCCTCCTGTAGAATACATCAGCATCTTTACCCCATGTTAATTTATTTCCTCTGATTTTCACCTGCTCTTCATCCTTGAGCACATACTGATGTTCGTCTTTTCAAAGCCATTCTCCCTATTCACAGGTTGTAGTTTGTTTGGAGGACAAATCATACCTACAACTTCCATTCTTAGGCTAGGAATCTCACTTCATTCATGCACTTTGTAATTTGATCCGGAGTCCTGCGTGACATTCAGTCTTCTCTATCACATGAGATCCCACCACCCAAACTACTGAAGAAACCCTTTGTGGGCCACTATCACTATGAACACAGATGACTGTCTGCACATGGAGGCAGTGAGTCCACAGTGTTATCCATAACACACCATACACAAAGACAGCATACTAATCCTACAGTGTACAAAGTTCAAGCGGAAAATGTAAAACAATGGATAACATAAAAAAAAGCCTAACAAAAAGCATAAAAAGGATTTTTCCACACAAAAAAAAAAGATCAGAGTTAAGAACACAGCTGTAAATTGCTTTAAAGGATTATGTGAGGTTTATTTGTTACCAAAGGTGAAAAAACATTAAACCAAGTTGTTAAAAGCCATTTAGAAAATACTGCTACAAACGTTAGTTATTTTAACAACTCTTTCAAACTAACCTCGTAAATAATAGTTTACACCTTTCATTGGGGGGGGGTTCATTCAAAACAAAGAATCATGCCATTAAAGAACCCTCTTAAGGAACTCCTGAGGCACTTGTTTTTTTGTGAAACACATCCATCTTTGCCAAAGCTCCTCACTTCAATATGGCAGTGTTAAATATAAACTGATAATAAACAAGAAGCTGTAAAGCTGTTTTTTAGAGAACAGATTTAAGTCAGTTGCATTGATATGCTCTCTACTGGACCTTTCACAGAAAATAAATAAAAAGCAATGGTTAAATATATGCAGTGCTGTCTTCACCACTAAATGAGACAATGTTATTTGTATTTACAAATTCTGTTGTTTCTTTTTTTAATTATGTAACAGTGTACTATACGTTTGCCATATTACAATTTAGGAAATCTTTGTTCATACGCTGGTGCTTTCAATACAGATGCACTAACGTGTAATATCAGAATGAAGCCTTCTGCAGTTCATTATATTAGCTTACAAGCTGTCTAAAAGCAAGGTTGCAGATTTTGCAACCTGTCTAGGGAATGCTCTGTGCTACTTAAAGTCAACTTATCAAGAATAGCTGATATCATTTCCCCCTCTGGCTAATGATAAAACACACCTGGATTCTGAGAAGAAAAGCCTTCAATTCATTTAGGACAGGAAAAGAGGTCACTTAATATTACACTCAATGTGCCAATATTGTTCTATGTTTCTAATGAACAAAAAACCCATTTGCCAAACTTAAAGGCTGAGGAAAACTGCTGACAGAATTTGCCTCCAGGAAGCTCGAGCAGTCTTCCTTCCAAGACAGATGCAGAGTCCCCTTGGAGAATAAATAACACCATTAAAATGACAATGAATGTAGAAATCTGTATTAAAGAGGAACACTTTAAATTACCAGCCTGGTTGCACTTAATCTACTCATTGGTATAGCCTCACAGCATTCAGGGATAGAAACAAAAGACAAACAGGAAAACTATAAACCACTGAAAAAAAAATAGTTTCAAATTTCAGTATCAAATTTTGCTGTATATTCTTAGGCAACTGAGAAACTAATCATTGCCTTAATGATAAAACAATCCAATGTCTTTTACAGTGTTAAGAAAAGATTTAAATTTCTAAATTATTTACAATATAGATAAGTGTGGCATACGAAAGTAATAGCAGCGCATTACAAATGGGCCATACCAAGATTTAGAACATGAAATAGAGCTTCCCAATAGCTCACTAAGGAAAGACCTCCGCACTGACTAGAGATATGGTCTACAGCCCAGAGATCACTGTGTCAAATCTGGGCTGTGCATGACCACAGGAAATTCGAACCGCCTTAGAAGACATTCTAGGCTGGCAAACACTTAACAGATGACATTCAAGATAGACAAGTCAATTCAAGACAGATATAAGATGGTGAAATACTAAGTATGCCACCTTTTAAAAAGAAAATCGTTCCAAGCATCACCTGAGGATGGCAAGGGAATAAAAATGAAATAAGGCAAACAATGCTAGGATATAAAGTTTAAAGCGTATAATTAAAATCAAGAGATACTAACAGTGTAGAATGCAGTAGTTATTCCTCACCATATAAAAATTCATGTTTCTGCCGTGGTATCAGCCCAGAGAAAAGTAATTCTAATGCTTAAAAAATATCCTGACAGGCTTACAGAACTGAATTCTGTTAACCTTGAATAAAGAAGACTGTGAGTGGACATGATTCAGGTATTCAGAATCTTTGAATGCACTGGCAGTTATTCTAATGGACCACTTCAAATGCTTTGACAAAACACAAAACAGAGAACACAAATGGAAATAACAGGGCTGTGCGTTTTAAGCACAGGCAACACTTTTTTATTTTATTTGACATTGGGTTTGTGGGAGTCTAAAACAAGCTACCCAGCCATGTTGTCAAAATGGATACCACGGTATCTTCTAACAGCTAGCTGGAGGTGGTCTTCATATCATCAAGCTTCAAGCTACCCAACAATCTATGTGGGCTAGTTGTTTACAGAGCGGCATGTACTTAGCAGACCAACTTAGGGGTTTGCAGGACTGAAATTAATCAAGGTTCCTAGCCACCCTGCAATTCCTAACCAGCTACCAGCAAGACTGCAGGGTTATCAGCAAGAGCTCCATAGTTGCATCGGATGCCTTTGCTGTGTCTTGTCAACTGTGAAGCTGCAGCCCGAGAGCACCTATATTGACATAATCACTCTTGTGCTACGTTGCAGCAGCAAGTGGAACTAAATTACAATGGTCAGTGCCAAAGTATAAAAAATTAAAAGGGGTTTCTCGCATAGAGGGATAATGCAAGAATTTCAACTACTAAGCTCCACCATTTAAAGGCCACACACTAACCATGTTAGTGCAGTACGCAGATAAAACTTTACAATTTATTATTAGTAGCAGTAATAATAATAATTATAATAATAATAATTGCTTACACTTATATAGTGCTTTTCTGGACACTCCACTCAAAGCACTTTACAGGTAATGGGGACTCCCCTCCACCACCACCAATGTGCAGCATCCACCTGGATGATGCGACGGCAGCCATAGTGCGCCAGAACGCTCACCACACATCAGCTATCAGTGGGGAGGAGAACAGAGTGATGAAGCCAATTCAAAGATTAAAATATGAGTAGTAAGAATGTGAAGAATAGAATACGGTATGTGACTTTTAAATGAACCTTTTTTTTTTATCTGATCTCAACTGCCCTCGCCTATAGAATCACGATGCCCACCTATGGCGGTTACCACCTGAAGAAGCAAGTCTTGCTAACCTCAGCGGGTCGGTTCAAATCAACAGGCACAATCTCATTTGCATATCGGTGCACTGCCAGCTCACCGCCCTGCCTCAACAGTAAACTTATATAACACTAAAACAAATGCACAGCACTTCACCCACACGTCTACCTGTTAACAGCCCGACTAGGCGCCAGGCACGGAATCTTTAACACGTTCTCCTTAAACTCTTACGGATAAGCTTTCACGTACAATGTTCAGCAGTATGTTCAGGAGAGCACGGCGCCATCGCCGAAGAAGCGACTTGCGCAGCGGACTGCTCTTCTTTTCAAAACAACCCCTACTACACACTCACTACATGCAACTACACTAAAACTGAGCAAAAGCCAAAGCATGGGACGGTATGACAATAGTCCCCTGTGTCCCCAGGGCAAAATGCATTTAAAACCCAAACATGCCCCCAGTTTCTCTTGCTCTGCAAGTATTTCCCTAGTACGACCAAACACTTCCCCAACTTCGAATCTATGGTAGACGGCCCTAATTGACTGACGGGAAGCTAAACCAATGAGAAGTCTCCGCCAACCCGTCTGTCCAATCTAGAAAGGTAAAGGGCGGGACTAACGAGCCTACAGCCTCGAAAAACGACGGCATCGCAGAGGCCCAAAAAGCCAGTAAAAAGCGACTTCAGCTGAAACGGGGTGTACAGGCAAAATAGCTTGATCTGAATTCACTGCAAGCTGCCCTGTGCTCTTGAAAGCAGGGACATCGGTGTAAATCGTCGCTGTTAAGGTTAATAAAAGGTGCTTACCCGCTGTAAAAGCCCAGCGTTTCCTCCGTCCGCTCCCCTGCTCTTAGTCACCAGTGGCGTGCCGTAGCAGCAGTTCTGCGTCACAGGCGGCCGGCGTGGGGGGGCGGAGAGACAGAGCGCCTCTGATACATGCGGGGCTGCGCAGGAAGGCCCTGCGTTGAAGTTTAGTGTGAAAAAGCATAGGAAACTGCTAGGAAAATATGAACAGATATCTTTATTGGTATACGTTCATGTTTAAGGTGCTTTTTATTTAATATTGTTTATGTATAAAAGCCATGCTAATGAATGGCTTGTATTTTAAATATACAAAAAATAAATGAATGTACATAAAAGGTTTCACAGACTGGCATAAGATCTTCTCTTAAACTTGTTTACCTTAAATATAATTAAATAGTCTGAGATCAGCACCTTTAAGGGCTTTAGAACCTGCTGGATAAAGAACCTGGTGTCCTAGTCCTGTGGTCCACAGCACTGGATCCATTTCTATCTAAAGAGCAAAAGTGAATTTGTGACACCCAAGAAAAGGCCTTCTCCCTTTGGCTACTGGACACACCCAATAATTTACACATGCCACACTCAGTTATGACTTTTAGGAGGCACGGGCGTCAAAATGGCTTCATGTTTGAATTCAGTTTCATGCCTACGTTTGCCTACGATTTATTACTAATTCCTCTATTTTCACAATTTTTTTCAGCAAGCATGTCTTTAAAAAAATAACGAACAATACCATGACATTTTGTTTCCCAGTTGCAAAATTATAAGGGTTGCAAACATGGTATTGTATAATAAACTGGCAAACTATGGCATGCAATTTTTTATTCCACAAAACCAGATAATATTAATTGGAACAGCACTACCAGATTTTAAAATGGATATTTAGAACCTAACTATGATACATTAAGATGTATATGTGATACATGTAAAAGTATGCCTACTTTCTGGTACATGGTTTCTCAAAAGACCTGTAAAGGTTTCTCAACTGGGCTGCTCCCTCAGCATGCAGCTTTCTGACCTTCAGCTTCATCTTCTTATGTGGTCAATAACATCTGCTACTATGTTTTTAAAAAAAGAATGTGTAACAAATTTCACAATATTACATTGTAAAAAGAACTGTATGCACTTCTATACATCTACATTCATATTGTATGCAGATGCTATGAGAAATGAAAACCCAGAAATGATAACGTAGTTTAGCACTTTCTTCACCCGAATTGTATTTAAAAAATATCAGACCAAGACAAAGTGTCTCTTATAATCTTGCTTACAGAGTGTTAAATTGTCTTAACCTTGTTGCCTACTATCACAGGCCATGAGAATTCAGGCAAGTTCCAGCACATAATCTGATATTTTTTACCAGTCTCAGTAATGTAGACTTTAAGCTCACCATGTTGCTGTTAGCAGATTTATAGGGTAATATTACCCTGTGTCTCTTGTAGTTTCCTGTGTGTTTTAGCATACTGGACAGGTCTATATGTAAAACCCAGTGACTTCATGTGAGAGCTATAAAATGCCACAACAAACACAAGGTTAAGTTACAGTATAGTAACCATGCACAGATACCATGGTACAGTACATTCTCCATATCTAACTCTCAGAAGAGTAGTTTAATTCTCAATTTCATGGTTGAAAGATAAATGCTTCTCCAGTGACTCACTTTCCTGAGACCGTTACATGATGGCAAAGAATTCTGTTTTTGCACAGTAGTCGTTTTCTGAATAACAAATATATTGAGTGAAAGCTTTGTTTTTCTCTTGCTTCCTTTCTTTGAATGTACAGTATTGTGACGGCTTGAGTTTGACCCCGGTCTTTCGTCATGTCTTCCTCATTTCAGTTTGTGGCTCCACAAAGGATAAGAATTCCTTTTTTTCTGAGACGGTGAAAAACAAATTACAAAACACGACTGTCCCTGGGCTGAATTGAGTGACTCTGTGAGGCAGAGTGACATGTTCCCGAGGAACAAGCAGGAGTAGGGCTAGGAATGAGTGACAGACAGAGAGAGTGACAAGGACTCAGCCTGTCCACTTGCACTGTCCCTGTCAGGCCCTGCAAGCTTAATAAAGGGGCCTGATGGAGGGCTAATGCACTTTCACACAGCTGCAATCTTTATTTGATCTTGTCTGGAAATTAATGAAACTCTTAAGGAGTTCATAAACTGTCTGTGAGTGATTTTCTGATGTATATACAGAGCTTTTCCACAAAGTTTCCAGCAATGTTCTCTCAACAGTGTGGTTGGCTGGCTGCGGCAACACTAAACTGTAGGAAAACACCTAGAAAACTCCACTTCCTTTCTTTAAGGAATATTTAACCATGGAGGCCACCAAGCATTACCCCATCAGACAGTTTTTAGTTTTTTATTCATCCCAGTGAATATTTCTGGAATTTGTATAGATGTTAAAAAAGTTCTATCAATTTTGACCAAATCTGTTGCGCACAAAGACTGAAGAAGTTTTGTTCTACTATATCCACAAAACGTGCCTTTTGATTCTGCATTGAAAGTGTGATTTTATCTCTACAATCTGCAAGGGTTTGTCAAACTAGAGAAGGTGGAACTATGCATCAGCATTATAGGTATTATGCAATCCGAGAAGACCATAACATCCTCTCAGCTGGTGGTAGCACACAATGATTGTGGTGATGATGTTCTCAATGACTAGAGTTTAGACTGCAGCAATTTCTGGACTGTGTTAAGTGTCCCATAAGGATCATGTTTCCCAAACCTGATGAAAAGTCAGCCACCCTATAGCAAGGTGAAACAGACCATTAAACTTGTTAAAGACTTTTGTAACTCCTTTAGAAATCACAATTTTGAAAATATACCATACATTGGATTTTGCATTTAAAATACATGAGAAAATTGAGAAACAGATACAAATCAGTGCCTTCCTGAGACTCAGGAAACAGGATAATTGACTGAAAGTGAAAACAAACATTTCGAATATGGAATGAAGCAGTACAGAGGGATCATAGATCTGAAGTTATCCTCTGGCCAAAGAGCTGGCCCTATGTGTTAGACTGTTATACAGCTGAAGCACCAATTTAAACACAATGTATCCTCTCACCTAACCCATCACCCTCTCCATCAGTGTGACCTCTGCCCCCATGCCTTTCCCACTGTGAATGATAAGCAGCAGAGTTACGGCATTTCGTTTGTGTGCTGAAAGCTGAATGTCAGACACAAAGAAATTGTTTTCCTTTTCTCAAAATCGGGCAGAGTGGAGTGAGGTGTCAGACTCACTCTTCTGGGCCACAATATAACTCCAGGCTTCCCGTGTGGCACCACAGCAACCCCTGCTGGCTGAAATCCTTGGACGCTATTTAATTGATGGCCAGCGATAAATCACAGGGTACTGGGACATTTTTCACCATCTGAAGATGGATTAGCCTAACTGCCTTAATTGATACGTCCGATAGGCCGACAAGCCCAGAAGATGATGAATTCATTTTTTCATTATTTTCATTCCATTGTTTACTTTACTCTAATTGTACAAATTAATCATTGTTGATGACGTCTGGAATGGTATGCTTAAAAGCTTAAAGCTCATCTGCCATTATTTAATTCTTGACATATTTAGCATCTTTCCCAGACCCTCCATAACATTTAAAAGAACAGGGACCCTTTGCCTCCCAGTGTTAAAAAGGTAATTTAGTTCAGTTACGTTTACTGATTTTAGTAGGTTGCTTCAAGCTAAATACAAGTAAAACGCTGATCTACATTATGATCCATCCATCCATTTTCTTACCACTTCCTCCAGTTTAGGTCATGGGGGAACTGGAGCCTATCCCAGTAAGCAATAGGCAAAATGCACGATACATCCCGGATGGGATGTCATTCTGTCACAGGTCACACACAGACACACATTCCCACCAGGGCCAGTTTTTCCAGAGGCCAGTTCACCTCCCAGTATATCTTTGTACTGTGAGAGGAAACAGGAATACCTGGCGAAAACCCACACGCAGACATGGAGAACATACAAATAGCACCAACAACAGTCCAGAATTGGACCAAGTAGGCCAGCACAGCAAGGCAGCATCATTAACCACTGTGCCACAAGGTATTGAATCAGTGTTTTTAAAAGCATAAATGTCAGACCTGACCCTTTGTGTATAAAATTGGTTTAAACTATTAAAATGACATGAAAGCATTAATTCTGTGTGGAAACATTTGCTAAGTAAACTGTACACATTTGTACAGTATAAATGGATGTGCTGAGGATAACGTCTTGGTCTAAATACCACTCCGTTAGTAAAGTGGTAATGTGTACTAAATACAAACACATTTACAACCAAACCCATGTGAAATGTATAATGAAGCAGCGAGCCTTCAGCAACAAAATCCCACTTTCCAGTTTAAGCAGCTGAGAACAGTTCAAAGCATATAATTTCTTTTTCGTCTTTCTGGCCTATAAAGATGAAAGTGCCCCACAATCTCTGCTCAAACGCTCCCTGTCATCTGCAAAACAAGAGCTACCCAACAGACACACCTGCTGCTTGACATCAAGACTTCCTCGGCACTTCTAAGCGTTTATTCATAAAACCCAAGGCAACAAATCAGTCATTCCTGAGGCCCATTCACTGCCTTTAAAGTCAGCAGTAGCCTTATACAGTATAATGCCAGTCTTGGAAATCTTATTTGCTATGATTTATGTCATATTCAACACTCTTCAGAAGTCACCATCTGGGATATAACTATTCTCTCACACTGCAGGAAACATGGTACCTCAAGCCTGTCCCAGTTTCACTGGGTACGAGGAAGGATGGAGACCTTGTGGGTGAACAGCACACTATCAAGAGTTGTTCACTTGAGTGCATAAAGAGGACCTGAGTATTGGTCCTGTATGCCCTTCCTTCACTAATAAAAGGTCCAAAACAGGAGCCAAAGCAGACCTTGAAGACATTTGGGCTCCCAAGCCACTGTGCACTAAAGAATTGATGCTACATCATGGAGCGTCACAAGAAAAGGTCACTGGAACATCCTATCCTAAATGACTTCTGTCCTATTCACGGGACATCAAAATGATGGATAATAAAAGTGCAAATGCACGTGTAAACAAACCAGGGGGTCTGTTTCACATCTCAAAAAGCTGAAACCAACATGAATCATGTAACCAAGAACTGTTGCAACTCAAATTTTAAATAATTCAAAAAGATTGATAAAAAAATATTTTGGGATGCAGAAATGGAGACCTGGAAAGTAGGTTTGGGACAGTTTAGGCATCAACAGCCTACGGTCATTTGGTCATTCGAGTGCAAAAAGTGCTGGGCCTTTTAGTGCTGGAACAATGATGCCATTCACATTGAACATCTTGCACGACTACAGTCTGTCCCAGCTCATTTGTGCACCTCTTCCATCTCATGGCACAGGATTCCAGCCCCTGTTAGCTCTCATAAAGCAAGGTCATAGACTGGTTGCCCGGGAAACAAGTCGGTGTGAATATCAGGCAGGACCAGAGAGGTTACCTGTGATATTCTAAGCTACACTGCAAACCTGTGGTGACAGGGATTCCCTGACTGACAGTATTGTACTGAGTGCTGATACACTGGGCTATGACTTTGGCTACGCACCTGTAAGGTTGCAATGTGGAAGCAATATTTAGCACATATTGTTTCTGGCCTGTTAGGGGCAGTAATTTTAAGATTAAGGAAAGTCAAACTATGATATATTTAGAGACAGAAATAGTAAATCTGTGGACTTTGGGAGTTTTAGTCAAAACTGAATAAATGCAGACAATAAAGTTCCATTTAACGTATGAGACACTCATAGGTTTGATGGAAGTAAGTTGAAATACTGACAAAATAATTTGTAGTGTTTGGATTGTACTACAAACTCAAATCATCCTGGCTTCTTCCCTTAAGTTGTTTAAGAAAAAGTCATTGTACATGCAAAAATAGGAGTAAAGACATGAATTTCCAGGAGAACAACTTTAGCCTGACTACAAGAGCTAACGTGTTTACTGGTGTTCTTAGCCGCAAACACTAGAGGGAGACAAAGGCCTTTACATTAACAGCCTTGAAGATACAGTAAGTACTGTTGCCACCAAAAGCAGCCATTCTGTACCAGTAAAGGAACAAGTAATAGGTTTATTCCATGCTGAAAAAAAGAAGAAAGAGAACACGACGTTTCGGCCGTGGAGCCTTCTTCATTCTGTACCAGTAACTCCACTACACTACAGATCATGAAGGAGGAGTTAGAAACTGATTCACTTATTGAATTAAAGGGAAACTTTAGGAAAGCCTGAGTGTAATTAGACAGAACAGACATTATTATTATTATTCATATTATTGTTATTTTAAGGCATCATTAGCAACTAGAACAGTGTCCCTGCTCACCATACTTGGGGCACAGGTTTGAAACTTCTGTCTGAAACACAGCTGACAAATGCAACTGACAGCCTCAAGCCTTAATTTGCAGCTGAACAGGGAGTGGAGAGGGGCAGCCTCTAGTATGTATAACCTCAGAGACCTTCCAACCCGGCAGGCTTTGAAACCAGGAGAGTAGCACTTGTGTCATAAAAAGGCTTTATAGAGGGAGTAAATGTGACCAGTCTTTCAGGGAAGAATGGTGGGTGTAAAGTGAATGGGATGCTGCAAGTGTTTACTAAACTAGAGAATTAATAATAATAATAATAATAATTGCTTACACTTAAATAGTGCTTTTCTGGACACTCCACTCAAAGCACTTCACAGGTAATGGGGATCCCCTCCACCACCAGAGAAGGTGGAACTATACATCAGCATTATGGGTATTATGCAAGTGATCTTGGCCACACTATCACATATCAGGATCATCCACAACAAGTCCAGCTGTGAATTAGCTTCTAAATTATCATAACTACAGGCTAGAAGGTGGTAAAGCTGCTGCTGTAAATGCTAATAAAATAAATATTAAACAACAGTGGAGCATGCAAGCAGAGCACTTCTGTGTTTGACACTAAAACAAATACAAACATTAGCTTAAAATAGGATTAAAGCACTGTTTATTTGAACTCACTGACAGCAAATCAATTGACTTCATAACATGAAGTGATAGGTCAATCAAATTGTAGGACACATCCATTGCAGTATGTACAGAAAAAACACACATTATGGGCAACTGCAGGGTTACAGTACACTCAAATTGTTTAGACACCAGCAAGAAGAATTACAAAGCACATGAGGGCCGTGACCACTGTGAATGAGTATGGAAAACCAACAAAAAAACTGAATGACCAAAACAGTGGCCATATTCCATTTTCTTTGGTCATACAAGCCAGAAAGATAGAAAAGAGAGTTGTACAATGCCAGGTAAACGTGTTGCATGTGTATACAGGCTCAATGACTGAAGCCTGGAGCACATCACAGCTTTTCAGCTGGAAGAAGGCGTTCTTCTCACTCCTGAGCATGTGCGTGGCGAGTCCAGAAAGTGTAAATCACAGGAAAACAGGAATACTCTGGCCATTTCGTTAAGTTGAACAATCTTCAGTGTTTCAGTTGAGACAGCTCATAAAAATAGGCAGCAAAAAGCTTTGTCCCTTGTATGTAGTTGAACCTGCGGGGAAAAATGCATTAAACTAACAGAAACTGAGAAGGGTAAAAGAGCACAACTGGTGCATAGAGCCCTAATGCTTTGCTCTTTACGGGAATGGAGCAAGAAAGAAGAAATCATTAAGAAAGAGTATCATCAGTATGCCTATGTTCTGACAAGTCTGATTTGAAACTTGGACACTGTTTTATGCTAAAGACATCAGACAGAAAATGAAAGTTCTTGTGATAAATTACTAATAATGCAATATTTTCTATGTATCAATTAGGTCATTATTAATTAACTATTTCATCTTATTAATAAAAATGTATATACAGACGTTAATTATTCATAATCAATTTGGCTTATACTGAAGTGTAAAGGTACATACAGTACTTAGGTCATGGGATTTTATAATATGTTGAAGTTTCCCAAACTTTTTAGCATCTTTTGTGACTTTTCTTTTTAGAATCACTTGAATTTTATGCTTCAGAACACAAATCTGAAAAAAAAAATCATATTTGTATGTAAATTCCTCATAAGTCAAAATAATTTAGTTTTAGGGTATGGAAATGCCATTTTCAGACACCACATTCCCTCGGGATTTACCAAGAGTCTAGGCTGCTGTAATGACCGAGCACACTGAGACTTGTAAGAGGAATCGCAGATGTAGATTTGGATCAGCTACTAATATGAACAGAAGTGCCATCCTTTGAAGGTATTGGTGGTGACGGGAATGCAGCAAGTTCACCTGCTGATCTTCTCATTCTGGGAGTGTTCTGCATCATCGTTGCCCCCGATGGGCAGCATCATCACACTCTTCCCTGTCACCTCCTGGAACGTCTGTGCAATTGGTATGGTGGACCCCTCCCTTATCATGTCAGGATCCACTCTGAACACTGGGGGCAGAAGACATCAGTTTCAGACTAAACGTCAAGATGCTGTTTTCCATTGTGGTGATATAGTTCCACCATGCCCACTAACATGAGAATTAGACCTACGGGAATCTAGCATAATGTGATCACAATATCCAAAGTTGTGAAGTGATAGAGCCATCAGAAAGCCAGTAACAAGGAGTTTGAAATAGATTGGATGACCATAAGGCTGTACCCTGGGACACTCTGATCTAAGAAACTGGCATATAAATCAAAAGATCTTAATTTGTAAATTCAGAATTAAGCTTGTTAGATGAAAATTAGTACTTAATTAGATTATTATGTCAAATATTCCTAGTGTGCACTATGCGGTCATGCTTTAAATAAACCACCAGCCCCAGTGGAAATATGAAATACATGCTTTCCTGAGTAGATGCCGTATATTGAATGCCTATAAGGAACACGATGAGCAACATTTTAGAATTACTAGACAACAAAAGCAAAATATTAGATCTGATCAACCAGTTTTAATCGCTCTTCTTCCTGCAACATATTGAGGGTCCATTAGGTCAGCCACCCAAGGTCTGGCTCCGACAATCATGGTTATCTTCAGCTTGTTGGGGCTCTTGTGCTTGTCAAATATACCCTGGAGATATTCCTTCACCTGGGACAGAGCAATCATGAACAGAATGAGAACTGAAAACCTTTAGTGGAAAAAAAGTTAAATGTCAGAAAAAACTGCAAAGAAATGTATTCACCCCCTTTTTCTATGGCATCCCTTAAATTATTTCAGGTGCACAAAATTACTTTCACAAGTCACACAATTAGTTGAATGGCCCCTGTGTGCAATAATAGTGGTTGATGTGATTTCAGGATGAACAGACCTGTCTAGGTGTTTTCAAAACAACTGAGGGATGAGGTTGTAGAAAGGCACAGGTCAGGGAAAGAGTAGAAAGCATTCAAAGACACTGACCATTCCTTTGAATACAGTAAAGTCCATCATCATGTAGTATAATGTACATCATACCAGCCAGACACTGCCTAGATCAGGCTGTTCTCTCCAAACTGAGGTAAGCAGGAAACTGGTTAGGGATACTGCTATGAGGTGGATTTCAAAGAGTTCAAATTGTACACTGTACTGAGTCAATGACTGAGATGGGAGGTAAAATGTCCACAGGGCACCTGGACTGTATGACAGAGCCATTATTAGATAAAAGTATCTCAGATCCTTCATGGAGTTTGCAACAAATGATTTATGTGATATTGCAATATGTGTCAAAGGGTTGTGCGATCAGATCAGACAAAACTGGAACATTTAGGTCTAAATGCAGAGTGTTATATGTCTGGTGTGCCCAACCAGTGTATCCCTCAGTCGACACCATCCCTACTGTCAAGCATGTTGGCGACAGCATTATGTTATGTGCTACTTCTCATCAGCAGGCATTGGGACGTTTGTCATGCCTGAAGGAAAAAGGAATGGCGCAAAAAATGGCAAATCTTACAGTAAAATAATTTATTGATCAATGTGTCTGTTTAAACTCATTGATCAACCAAACATATACATGCATACATCGATTTGCACATTATATGACAAAATTAAGAGAGTTAACCCAGTAGAACAGGTATTCTTGCAATGTTTTATCTAACTCAGTTTTGGATTAGAGCTACTGAATGGTGCAATATACAATATAAGCAGCCAATAGTCTTCAGGAAAAAAAAAATCAGATAGGAGCAAATTACCACTCGCCATAAAGTTCGCCAAGGACCCCAAATCCAGCACTGAGCTTCAAAAATGTCTATGTCGTGTGGGAATGCTATCCCTTGGTGGGGATTCAACAGAGAAAATCTGCAATGTGTCTCTGAAGCCCTCCAGTAATCATATGTGAAAATGTTCCTCAAAACAAGACTTATGAGTCTAAAACAATCAAAACCATTGAAAAATTGAGAACTGGATGTCTTTCAATACTGTATGTTCTTTAGGCAAATTTTCATTGAGGTGAAAAATGCTGTAAAAATGGTATTTAAGTGAGAGTGCATTTCAGGCCAGTGGAGGGTTTGGGTTACAAGAACCATTAAGTATTGACGGCAGATACTGTAACAACCAACATACTTCTACAGTACCTAATGTGAAGAAAATCTAATGTTTTTCTCACAGTTTCTCAAAAAATCACTATTGTGAAAACAAAGCGGAACCTTATGGAGTATCAACTGTTTTTCCACTGCCTCTTAAAATTTTGACAGTGAAAAATCTAAGAATATACTTAAAACATTAAACCAGAGCCACCAACACCATTGTGTGTGACCATTTACATCCCAGTTATTTTTTTTTCCATATATTTCAATTAGGACAAAACAAATCAAGGGTCAAGAGATCCATACCTGCCTCTCCACCACTGGTGGGTCCATATTGGGAACTTGACGGATGGAGAATTTTCCAATGACCTTCCTGGGAATAACAGTCTTTAATCCAGGGTCAGAAAAATCTCCCTCAATTCCATGGATTGACAGGGATGGATAGCGCCAGCGAGACATAAGTATTTCTTCCTGAAATGTGAATAAAGGTGAATTCTAGCATAGCATTTTCCTTTTTCTGTATGACGCTTAGCATGCTAAGAAGTGCTATTAATCTCTTGCAAGCTCTCTGCGATGATTGCTGTGGGAAGTACTGTCTCACACACTCTCCATCATCTCCTTCCATTCAGTGGTGTGTAGAATTCAGTTTGACATAGTTCCTTCAAGTTTAAAACGGCAAACAGCAGACTTGTTTTGTTACCCTGGCAGTGACAGGACATTTTCTAGGCCAACCAGGGCCCCCAAGCAACATCTGATAGCTGAACTTTTATGAGGTATGCAAGGATATCCATTCTGAATTGCTTTTTCCTAACACAGCATAGATAGTAACAACAGTATGATGATCATGGCAGTGTCTAGGGTATAAAAAAGCGCCTAGAAATTTAGAGGTTTCCAATGGTGTCGATGCGTGGCTCTTAAGAGGACCTTTTGCAATAATCAAAACTATTTCAAAACTACACTGAACTGAGCTGCGAATTCTGGTATCCCTGCGGGTCCAAGTGCTGAAGAGGAGAGCGATACCTTCTCCTGGAAACAGATCAGCGAAGCCTAGCTAAAGCATCAGGAGTGCCCAGGGTGTGCTTCTCGTTATTACAGTGTAAAATCTAACAGCCAATTACTTACTTTAGACAGTGGACATGACTGTGGTCATTTGAAGGGAATTTTAAACCCTGCAGGACTGCATCACTCAGAGAACAGTAGTTGCAAAGTAATCAGTTATATGTGAACAAATGGAACTGGAGCTACTGTTTAAAAAAACGTAATTGAATGAGACCAAGCAGGTGAATCATATTAATTGTGTTAAGTAGTAAATAATCATGAATATTTGAATGGGGCCCATTATTGATTTAATTTGATTTAAAATTTAAACCGTAATTTTAACCCTTGCGTTTGTCTTGCAGTTACATACGGAGAGTTAACAGTCAACTACTCAAAAATATTATTATTAGCAGGTTTTGTACTATTCTTTTCCTCTGCTGTTTTTTTTTTCACTTTTAGATTGAAATGTTTCTTTACTGCCCAAGCCACAGTATATGTGCAGACTGTCACGACCACACATAATCTAACACCAGGTCCTTCCCGCAAACCCCGACACATTCCCACGACCGCAGACAGACACCTGCTTTTTCCAATTTCCGCGAACGTCAACGCATTCACTAATCTTCCAATCACTCCTCTCACTATGCATCACGCCTCCCGTCTCTCAGTACACTTAAGGGCTCACTACAATCAGCACAACGCTTAGTATTGGTTACACCGAGAGGAGTTCCTGACTCTCGCCTTTTTTTTTACGAGAAACTATTGTAATGTATATTACTGATCCTCCAGCTTTTCGGCTAGTGTCTGAACCTTCACTACGATTCATGATCCCTCGATTTGGCTAAGTACTCCTGGCTTCTTCTTCGTACACTTTTTGCTCTCTCTCTCTCGCTCTACGCGTGAGATCATCAGTTTCTTCGCATAGGATCCATCATCTTCTCATTTTTTGGCAACAGCATCGTTACGCACACAGCGTATCAGTGTCCTTAAACTGCATTACTTCATCCCTTTCCGAGAGATGGATAACACGTTTAGTAATGTTGATTGGGGGGAAAAGGCTTTTCCATTCCTTCCTGCAGAGACAGGCATTTTGCAGTGTTTGTAGCAGGTGGCAAAGTGTAAAGAATGGTAACCATGTTTTCCTGCTGTACACAAACATGTGGTGTGCTGCAGCTCAGCCAAAAACGACAAACCACGAGCATTTTCAGCCCTGTAAAATGAATATGATTCTGCAGCTGTTCAAAGTTCCAACAAAAAAACAATGTGAATTTCACTTTCACTCTCTATATTCTGAAGTTTAAAACCATGTTCCAGGGAGGAAAAAGGAGTTAATGATGTTTACTTTTTTTAGTCTCCAGATTGCTTGCCAAAGTTTACATTTTTGCAGTAGGTGAATGTCCTGTCCTAAGGGACTAGGCCCTTGAACCCACTCCCCCCCCCGTGAGGTGCCAAGTTTGGATCACAGGAGTGTGTAAACGCAACCTTACTGTGCTCCAGCTCTCTGGAGCTCTGCAGGGAAATCCTGGCCAAAAAATATCACCCTGCAGCTCACAACTGGCAAACCACTACATCTAAGCAGGTGTGAGCCTGCTCAGTACCTGAATGGGAGCCCTACTGGGAAAAACTAAGGTTACTGCTGGAAGAGGTGTTAGTGGGGCCGGCAGGGGGTGTTCACCCTGTGGTCTCTATATGGGTCCTAATGCCCCAGTATAGCGTGATGGGACACTATACTGTTGCAAAGCAAAGGGCATGACGAGACACAGAAAGGTATCATGGCCATTCACTGCAACCAAGGAAGTGACGACTACTTGTACTACTGGACCCAAGCTTCTGAGGTCGAGAGAGTGGGACAGCCCCAGTACAACGGCTTTCCCACTAAAAAAAAAAACCTCTCCCGCCCAGGTTTCTTCTTTTAGCTCATCTTCCAAACATGAGCTGGACAAAGTACAACCGTCATCGTCAGACATGACAGACAACCATCATACTAAAAATTATTATTATTATTATTATTATTATTATTATTACCTTGCTGTCATGTAGGAATCTTGGAATGCCCATATCCTTCTTTTGCTCCTCCAGGTCAAACTCAATACCCTTGTACAGCTTCTTCTCCTCCTCTGTTAGAGAAGCCACAGCCTCATTGATGCCAGGTATCAGGATTCTACCACTGGGCTCGATGAGGCTGCCTGGAATGGTAACAGGCAAAATGCAAACAAACACAAAACACTGCAAGGGAAGAAGGTCGAACACAGTTGTATTGAAAATCAGATGCAGTTTCACATTTTATCCACTAGAAAGCTTTAACCCAAAGTAATATTTTAAGATTTTAACAGGTCAAATGCTGTTACATGGAGTAAAGGGCAAACACTTTCCTTGTGAGCATTTAAAAAGGTAAATTTATGAAGAATGCCACATGTTTATAGCTGCACTTTCTTAGAAATATCAAGATGGAGACTAAACTGAGAGCCTCAGCAAGCACAGGTCATGAAATATCCTTGAAGTTTGTCTAGCTGGGGGTTAAGAGTTAAACAAAAAGTCCATAAGACCCTCAGTGTTTTGAGCATGTTGTGATAAAACTTCTCTGTATATCAATTTCTTCCAGGACCTTTTTACCTGTCTCAGACAGAAACATTGAAGAGACTCCTTCTGGTTATCACTAAATTAAAGAAACAGACTTTTTCATCATCAAAATGGGCCCAGGTGTAGTTGAACAAACCCTGTAGTACCCCAGTGTGTCATAATCCCCAGAGGCGTGAGACAAGATATTAAAACATTTGCTGTTGACTCAGAATAAGTACTGTAGCTCACCAGAGAAGATCTTCCAGAGATGGGAAAATGTTCAAATCCTAGAACTGGCAAGCTTTCAGTAGGGTCACAAAGGCAGATGAGCCAACTTGTGAAAGGCAACCCCCAGTGTGAAAATGGCCAAATTTGATTGATATTAGCCATCCATCCCTCTGGATGTACTGCTTATCCTTTTTTAATATGAAAGGAGTATAAAACAGGCCTGCCTGCTCAGGTATTCTCTACATGAATGAAAATAAGCATCAGACCACACCTGTGTGAGAAAGATGGCCCTTTACACACTGGATTGCACAGTGTGAGGCGCTAGCCTGCAGGACTCATGAAAAAGAACAAGTTGTTTCACGCTTGGTTATTTGGTTTCACTGGAACACAATCTGTAGAAACACACTTCATTGCATTAGAACTGTTACTGTGGCATTCATAATTTATGTTTTGGTTTGATCTTTTTCATTGTAAACATTGTCGTTTTTTTAAGCAATGGTACTTGATGTTATTTTGTATTTTTGCAGAAAACATACAAGAAGCATAACAGTAAGGAATAACCATATCTCCGTTGCTTACTGGGTAAAAAACATGACAGTTTAATTCATGGACATTCGAAAACAGGGAAGAACAGTGCTGTATAAAAAGGCTACATGTTATATCTTACCAAGCAGAGCTATCAAATCTGTCATGGGTTCATGGACAGATCCTCCAAACACCCCAGAGTGCAGATCCAGCTTGGGCCCCTCAACCTGAAACAGAGCAGAGCAGTGCGATCACAGAGAGGCAGTAGTGAGCACAGTACAAAACTGTGGGGTTGGGCGAAGACCAATAGTTACTGTATTTGATCATTTGTTATCTTTCATCAAATTAGGCAGCAGCAAGTACCCCAGGTGAGTGACCTGTGTTATCTATACAGTATATAAGATATAACATGTAGCCTTTTAATACAGCACTGTTCTTCCCTGTTTTCGAATGTACATGAATTAAACTGTCATGTTTTTTACCCGGTAAGCAACGGAGATATGGTTATTCCTTACTGTTATGCTCTATATGTTTTCTACAAAAATACAAAATAACATCAAGTACCATTGCTTAAAAAAATGACAATGTTTACAATGAAAAAGATGTATGGAGCAGCATGAGAGAGATCACTGGCTTCAAACAGGCTGGGGGTGCAACAGAAGGGAACCTGGAGATGGCCAACGAGTTGAACCAGTTCTTTAACAGGTTTGATTCTGGGTCCTCTGTGGCGCAACACCCATCCCCCCACAGCCACACGCTCCCTAACCCTTCACAGCTGCGACTGCCCAACACCTCCTCCATCCCCCCACAAACATGGCCGGCTACAGCTACAACCCCCGACAGCTACTCAGCCACCCATCCCCCACAACTGCCACTCTCCAACACCTCCGCCATTAACACCTGCAGCACTGAAAGCACTATGAGCACCATCCCCCAGGCCAGGCTGACCATCACGGCTGACCAGGTGAAGAAGGAGCTGAAGAGGCTGCACCAGGGTAAGGCCACAGGACCAGATAACATCTGTCCCAGAGTTCTGAGGGCCTGTGCTGATCAGCTGAGCGGAGTGCTCCAGCGACTGTTCAACCTGAGCCTGCACTTGGAGAGAGTCCCGGTGCTCTGGAAGACATCATGCCCGGTCAGGTACCAAAGAAAGGGCGCCCCTCTGTCCTCAACGACTACAGACCAGTTGCACTGACTTCTCACGTCATGAAGAGACTGGAGGGGCTGGTCAGCTCATCACTGCAGTTTGCCTACCAGCCCAGTGTTGGTGTGGAGGATGCGATCATCTACATGCTGCAAAGGGCCTACTCACACCTGGACAGGGCTGGCAACACTGTAAGGATCATGTTTTTCGACTTCTCCAGTGCCTTCAATACCATCCAGCCCTTACTTCTAAGGAGGAAGCTGGAGGAGATGCAAGTCGATGCCTCCACGACCTCGTGGATCACTGACTACCTGACAGGCAGACCACAGTCTGTGAGACTTCAGAACTGTGTGTCTGAACAGGTAGTGAGTAACACAGGGGCACCTCAAGGGTCAGTTCTTTCTCCATTCCTCTTCACCCTCTATACTTCGGACTTTAAGTACAACTCAAAGTCTTGCCACCTGCAGAAGTTCTCAGATGACTCTGCAATTGTGGGATGTATCAAGGGTGAGCAGGAGGAGGAGTACAGAGGACTGGTCAGCAGCTTTGTGGAGTGGTGTGGGGTGAACCACTTGGAACTGAATGTAACAAAGACAAAGGAACTGGTGGTAGATTTCAGGAGGAAAAAGGTCAAACCTACTCCTGTCTACATCCATGGGAGTGGCGTGGAGATGGTGGACTCGTACAAGTACCTGGGAGTGCACCGATAGACTGGAATGGTCTAAGAACATCGAGGCCATCTATAAGAAGGGACAGAGCCGACTTTACTTCTTGAGGAGGCTCAGGTCCTTCAATGTGTGTAGTAAGATGCTACACATGTTCTATCAGTCGGTGGTAGCGAGTGCCATTTTCTATGCAGTGGTGTGCTGGGGCTCTTGGATGAGAGCAGTGGATTCTAAAAGGCTGAACAAGCTCATCAGGAGAACAAGCTCTGTCATTGGGTCTGACCTGGACCCCTTGGAGGTAGTGGCTGAGAGGAGAATGATGTCCAAACTAGAGGCCATCATGGACAACCTCCCATCCCCTCTATGACAGACTTGCAGGAATGAAGAGCACGTTCAGCAATAGACTGATTCATCCACGGTGGGACAGGGAGCGCTACAGGAGGTCATTCTTGCCTTCTGCCATAAGACTGTACAACCTTGCGTCTTGGGAGAGGCAACATCGACAGTGACCTGTTTCTGGACTAAACGCATCTACACATCTACTGCTACATCTGTTCTCTTTCTTTTTCTTTTTCTTTTTCCAGTTTACAACCATTTTTTGTGCAATATATGCCAGTGACCTGTGCAATACATTTATATTTACAGTATATCTATAGTTACATCTATATTTATATTCAGATGTGTGATACGATTTTTCTGTGTACTGTTCTGTTCTAGTTTGTTCTTGTGTGTCCGGACTTTGAGTAACTCTTGTATTGTATTGTATTGTATTGTATGTATTGTACTATTATTATATAATTTGTTACACTGTGGCTGTGTTGTGTGTGTTAAGCTGCTGTTGCACTGCAATTTCCCTCATGGGATCAATAAAGTATCTATCTATCTAGGGAATTGCAGACACAACTCCCAGATCCCAGGTCATTCCTGTGGAATCTGTTAAAATAAGGGTAACAACCTAAAGTATTGGTCAGTAACTTCAAAGTCTATCATAGGAACACTCTGCACTGGCTGTTATCCATGAAACCTTGCATCAAAGGTTTTGGCATTGACGTTCATTGGCAGCGATCAATGACTCCAACAATGAAACATGGGTAGTTATTCAATGTTTCAGCACATGCACAGGAGCTTGAAACCTGTCATCAATGTTTAACTTTGCTTACAGTTCCCAGCTGGAATCAAACTGCAGCTGGGAAAGAAAGACTAAAATAATGAGGCCAACAAAAAGTAATAATGAAGTCATCAGGGAAAGACACCACAGCTAAAACAACGAAACAGTGAAAAGCATAGAACTCAGCTGAGGTTAAGAATGGTGGAAAAAATATTTATTTACTGTGCCTGCTCTCTTTTCCAAATTAAAGGAGCAGGTGTGTCTCGGGGAGCTCGTATTTTCAGATTTGAAACGACAAAAAGAAGAAGACACTCTGTGTCTCCATGAATGAGCTTGAGATCTTTAATTCATAAAAAGAATATGTCTTATGATTTAAGATAAGTTCCCAGGGTCCCCAGCAAGATGGATTGTGAGCTCTCATCCATTCATACTGCATTTCCTTCTGCCTCTGAGGTGGTGGGGGCAGAAACACAGCAGCCTTTGAGTTCGCCTGGGTTTTGGGTGCTGTCTGCTGTTGTCTGTAACTATGACCAGTTTAAATAATCTGTTTTCAGCACAACTCTACACTCTACTCTACACAAAATGGTATTGTAGGAAAGGATCAAATTAGTTCACTGTCATTAGCAGCTGGAAGGGGAGAAGTGAACCCCTGGATAGTATTGTTATGACCACAGGGTTTAGTACAGAATGGAGCAGGTGTAGGAATCAGGAAAGGGGGTTGGACAACACATTTATTAACCAGAACCGGGGAAAGGTACACACACCTGGACAGGGGGTTACAGCGCTGCACCTACACTAACACAGACACGGGAGGGAAGAGCCCGCCTGACAGCCCCCACCCCCTTATATACTGGTTATAAGTCTGGTTCCCCCAAGTCCCGCCCCTCAGGGACTGTACCCAGCCTGCCTTGTGTGCGCATGGCCAAAGGGGATGGAGCAGCTGTTAAGCGCCCCACGTGGGCACTACAGTATGTTATCCCTTGACACACTACATCACATACTGTAATTTCCATTGTGTGCGGCTAGGAAAAGCGAGGCAAAGTGGCAGACAAAATTCAAAATCCATGACCAGGCATGGAGTTGGCATGGTGAGCAAATATCATAAAAGCAAGAAAAACAGTGTTTACCTCAACACAAAAGTAGCAGTTCCCTCTGGTGCCATATGTGAGGGCAGGCTTCCGGCTCACCCAGACATTGTCTGAGATGACAATGTAATCCACGTCAGAGAAAAAGCTCTCATTCCGCTGCCTAATCAATGTCTCTAAGCCATCTGATCCCACTTCTTCCATCCCCTCGATTATGAACTTGATGTTCACTGGGATTTCCTGTGGGGTGAGGAAACATGTCACCTGAGGCTGGCTACACCCGCAGAAATGGATCTCCTCATCCACAAGCACACGTGAGCTACCTGTTTCAGTGCCTGGTAGGTCTCCACTGCATGAAGCCAAGCGAGGACTGGCCCCTTGTTGTCTGTTGCTCCTCGTCCATACAGGTTCCCTATGGGGAGCAAATCAATGTGTCATCCCTAGCCACGCTTTCACAGGCCATGCAGATAAAGCAGCGAAACCAAAACCAGTGACATGGAAAACTGCAGCATTTACTTAATCTTCCACTTCCTCTAACACAGTACTGTATGTAACACCTTCCACTAGGAGAAAAAGCCTGAAATTCACATTAAAAGGTACAAACCTAGCAAAATGCAACGTGTATTCATTATATATACATACAAAACTCCAACAGCAACAGTTCGTTGATGTGGAGCTCAAAAAAGTGAGTAGGGATTGTACTGGACAAGAACACTTTCAATCTGTCGCAATCAGGTGAGAACCTGGAGGCAGCTAATTAGCCTGTTTTAATCACAGTCTTCTGTCGTAGGTTAGGTCAGTTTTACAGATCCAAATCTACTATCCAGAGATTCAAGAGCAGCTTCTTAAGCTGAGGTCTTTGTAGTCATGTATTGTCCCTCAGTTTATTATCAATACACCTTTATCATGTTGCTTCCTTGAAAAATATGTTACATAACAGCTAGGCAGCGGGTTATAGAAAGGCTACTGACAGGTTTGAGCTCCATGGTGTGTACTCTACCATTTTTATTTAGTGTCACAAGGAGCTGCTATTTTAATTGGAAAACACCAAGATTCCAACCACTTCCTATTCACACTGTTCTGACTGAAGATGTGTTTTGAAACAAGAGCTGTAAGGAAGCAAGTTGAACCCAGGCTGACCGTTGACTTCTGTCAGATTGTAGGGGTCAGTAACCCAGCCGTCCTCCTTCTTGGCAGGCTGCACGTCCACATGTCCATAAACACAGAGGGTGGGTTTGGTCGGGTCCTTCTTGAACTCAGCCAAGATCACAGGGGGCAGCGGGATAGATTCTCCACTGGGCATCTATAGAGAAAGACAGGCTCTGCTTTCATGACGGAACTTTAGATTTTAATCTATTTACAGGAGAGTGTCATCCACCCCCTCCCGGTTTTAGAATCTGTTGTCCCCTGGGAGTCCAGATCAACCTGGCAGATTGATCTCTTTCACTTGTTGCCATAACATACCAACAGCAGACTGCACCAATTCATCCAGAGTGGGCTAATGCAAGTCAAAATCAATGCAATACAGCTACAATTTGAAAATTGTGATGGTTTCCTTATTTGCAAAAACCTTTGCATGAACCTCAGACAGATAAATATGAAGACACGATTAAATAAGTTAGGTTTAAATGTTAGACTGACATCTGCAGGGACTTGGGAAATGACATAGTCTTGCTTCACTAACCAACCCTTTAACATTAACTTATTGTACAATACAGTGGTTCAAGGAGAGATACACATTCATTCCGTTACCTTATAAAGTGACTTGATTGTGGAAGTGGATTTTCTGAGAGCCCTAGCATCTGTCTGGATATTTGCAAAAATCTATATAATTGAACACATTCTCCTTTTTAATTCACTAGATTTGAAGAACAAAAACTGAAAGCAACTAGAAATCAGACCGCTACCTCCTGACTTCCCACGCTGGCAAGCTCCACACTTCCTCCTAGGTCTCGGATCTGGCCAGCAGTCACATTCAGCATCTTTTCCACTTCCTTCCAGGACTGAGAATTACTGGATTCACTCTCGATTGCCACCCACTTCTTCAGCCTCTGTGACGCAAACACAGCAGGAAAAAAACAGCGAATTTGCATGTAATTATTTAAACGGTGCAGGTGAGATGGTTTCACAATAAAACCTTTGAAACAGAGCCACTGCCCCGCCCCCCCAAAAGACATATTATCCAAACCACAACTGCCATAAACAGACATATACTGTAGCCTCACTTAACTCATTGGCTGCAGTCAATCATTCTGAATGACAGGGAGAAGCAGAGCTGGACCCTGAGGACTACAAGGTCTCCCAGCTTACCCTCCACCTTACAGTAACTAAAGCAAAGGGTTATAATGTGGGCCACATTACTGATTTTGTGAGTGAAGCCATTGTTAATTGAAAGATTATCATGCTATACATATTGTAGGAGAAGCATAGACCTCAGGTAATGGAGGTTGCACACCTTTAGCATGAGTAGGGCTCCCAGGGATTATGTTGGGAGTGATGTCAATGGATCCAGGAGAACAATGATTATACAGTAGGACTGGCTGGCCCACTTTAAATAAGATGGATGTGATTCAGTGTAAAGGAGAGGGTTCTACTATTTCCATTGTGTCTCCCCTTGTTGAAAAGAAACACAGGAATCTCAAAACTCACTTTAGCACATCAGCAATGACTCCACCATTTCTGAGGCAAACAGACAAAAACCCATAGCATGCAAACTTCAAGAATTCGGGAGGAATTCAGATTCACTTTCTTTCACTGTAGAATTCATACCTGCACATATTTGTCTTGGTTCCCATCAATATACTGAAATAAAGGATCCAGAACTGATGGAGTGACCTCACAGGCCATTTGCATCATAAACATGTAGAAAAGGAATTTGGTCTGTGAAAGAAAAAATAAAACATAATAAATGTGGTTAGGAAGGAATTTCCTAAGAGATTTATCTGTGCAAAATTAGTTAGTAACAGTGCTGAAAACATTCCATGACCATCATTTTTCACTCTGAGTAAGCACGAAACTCAAAAATAAGGCTACAATTTTGGTCACAAGGGTGCAAATCGTTTATCAGAAAGCACTTCACAATTTCACAAGCACTAATAAATTAACTAATAAATACAATCTCAGTGCTTTAACTCCATTGTTCTTTTATGCAGATAGAATTGTGACAATTGGTTTACTTAGTATGAAATGCTTGCTGGAAACAGGTCCAAACAGGAACTGTACTCACCTTCTGGAGAAGCACAAAGCACATATCTTACCAGATGAAAAGAGAATAGTAATGAGCTGTAGCTGTGCTGTGGGAAGGGTGTGCTAACATTTACCTGCTTTCCTTTAACCAATAACAAACAAAGGTACAAATTTAAACTTGAGTTTCTTGCTCTACCAGTTTTTTTCTAGGTTTCAGCCTCGAGTTAAATTGGCTCCTTTAACATAACAGTGGCAATTTCAAACTGACTAATCTTATCTTGGTACTGGGCCAGATGTGCTACCTGAGGGATACTATGACTTTGTAGCAGGACAAAAAGACTGAATTGAAAGATTTCAAATGTTTAAATGTGTCATCCGCACACAAATATGCATTGGAAAATAAAATGCATCGTTTCTTTACAAATTGTTGGAAATGATTGAAACTAATTTCAACCAACACATTTCAAACAATATGGAGTTTATAACAAAAGTTCGGGAGGGGTGACAACAACCAAGCTCAATCAGACTCATCTATAAGTAATTAGCAATCGTTCCTGACAATCCATTCCTCTCCCAAACGGTATAAATGCCTACAAGATCCCTATCTCTCTCGCTTTCATGTCTCTTGCATCCTACCTCCACCCCTGCAGCTACTCCTTGGTCACCCTGCATGGGGGTCCTGGCCTCCTTGTCCTATGGCCAGGGGGCCAACCCTCAGCCAAGTGGGTTAAGCCACAATTTCTCTCCATGATGCTTTCATGATGCTTGGGTGTTTGTCATTCCAGAAATTAAAATAATGTTGAATTTTGAGAAGATTTTCAAAGCTAAAGAATCTGCTTCAAGCTATATGCTTGAAAAGTAATTCAGCTTTGATCAGTAACCTTGTTTTACAGAGCACATACTATATCAGACATTAACAGACAAATCTAAACACTAATTGTATGGCCTATCTCTCCTAGACAAGGGATATTCATTCTTCTGAGTTTGCCCTATTAGCTGATACCAGGTGGCACTTGGACCAAGGATCTGCAGCTGTGGTTGGAAGGTTGCCGGTTCAAATCCCATGGCTGGCAGAGGAATTCTACTCTGTTGGGCCCTTAACCCCAACTACTCCAGGGGTGCTGTATAAATGGTTGACCCTGCGCTCTGACCCCAAGCTTCTCTCTCCCCATCTGTGTGTCTCATGGAGAGCAAGCTGGGGTATGTGAAAAGAAAAATTCCTAATGCAAGACATTGTATGTGGCTAATAAAGTGATCTTATCTTAACTCAGTTACTAGTCAACCAATGATAATTGAAAAACATAGCAGTCAGCCTTTAGTCTAGGTCATGATGAGTTTCATGTCACTGTTCCAAACAGTGCAGTAGTAACACAAAAAACAGCAGCAAATTTCTGACTTGTACATTTGCTGAACAAAGCAGTGCTCCTATATTAATTTAGATTGCTCGGTTGGACTCTTTAATTCATCCCTCTTGTTAACATCACCCCTGCTTATAACCATTTCCTCCTCTGTCCCAGTCTTGAGAGTGTACAAACTTAGGAATGACTGAGGTGTTATTGTATTTAGATAACAGCTAACATAAAAAGACATTAACAAAAAACATAATAAAGATCCTCAGACCAAACTGACAGCCTGACTCGGGCCTCAGACACAGTCCTGCTGTGCGATACAGGCAGCTGCTATGGTACACAAGCCAAGCAATGGGATACAGAGAGGAGGAGAGGAGTACCAGCTCACAATATCGGACACAGCCCGTGTTTTGTTCTTTTTATTGCAGCTGAAGTATCTCTGGATGCTACCTCAATAGATGCTGAAGGTGTTATTTGGCATTTTAAATCGCTAAACCAATGGCCGGGGTTATAACACTCGTAAGCCCATTCCCTCCTCAGCTCAACACATCCACGTGCCAGGGTCCCTCTGGGTTCAAATAGAAATTCCATAATACGGGAATCCTCCTTGATCTGTATGCACAATACTTTTGTAGTATGAAATGAGTATGTACTGTATACATTTTGTTATATCTTTCAGTTTTTCCTTCTTACATAAACCACTTGCATGAATGATCTCAGATGTCAAACATTGTGATAGGCTTCTGGGAAAATTGGACCCATGTGAGAGTGTTTGTGTCTGTGTGTGCCCTGTGATGGACTAGTGTCCCATCCAGAGTGAATCCAGGATGAACTCTTTCTCCCCCACAACCCTTACTGTGATTTGAAAAAAGCAAATAGAAAATGGATGCATGATCTGGTAAGGCAATGTCTTTCTCGTTTCTTATTGTAATGTATAATTGGATCATAAAAAGCTCTTTGAGCATAATTTTAGCTCAGTTATTTCAATATAATTCTGTTGGATCTGCTAATTTTTTCACCACAACTCCTGGATTTAACTCTTACCGTGTGGCTCCGAGCGTCTTGTCAAACAAACACCTTGCAGCGCTGCTGTCTTGTCTGAAATCCTTAAGCCTAGATTTTTTGGGCTTAGTCAGCTATCTATGTAAGGTCAAAGAGTATTTTCTTGTTAATGGTTAACATGTCCTTTAAACCACGTTTTTATACTTCTGTGCAACTGCAAGTCTTATACAGTTGTTAATGACCTATGACTGACATTGTGATCTGCAAAGTTCTTTAATATCAATTATTTTTCTATCTGTCAACAGCAGTTCCTTAAAACATTAACTTTACCATTTCTGAACCTTGCACGTGCAGTTTGACTGGGCAGTCCGCCAGCGCCCACATTTTGAAAAAAGTGTTTAAGATCAGAAGTAGAAATCAGAAGAATCACCCCATCAGGGACAGAGGGGTAGGCTACATAACACCAGTGGGACTCCATCTTTAGATTTCTTTAGAGTTCTTAAACTTGTCCAGCCTGAGATCGAGCAGTTGCTACTTGTATTCATTCTATTTTCTGCGCGTTGTGGACTAGTCCTCAGTACTAAACAACATTTGTATCGATTCTGACTTGGGTCACTGTTAAAATCCTCTCATTGTGAACAGGCATGAACAGAGACTAATACTAATGTAGGGTAACACAAATCTGAAACATTAAAACATTTGAAACAGGTTTTTCTATTCAAGAACTGAACATTTTTTGGTAAGCGAGTTTATGATAATGATGGAAGAGATTTGTGCGATGGTGTGCTGTGAAAGCCTTTGCATGTACTATAATGTTGTTTCGTTGTTACACTGTTTTAAAGTAAAAATCGCCTCCTGACCTTACTTGCAATACATATACCCTGGCTCAGATGGCTGATGCAGGGGGCAGAGTACCCCTATCGACAGCAATGGCAAGAACAGAAAGCAGATTGTTTCATTCTGTTCTGTCAACAGCGGTCAGCAAACACTCTTAAAATGTGCAAACACCAACAAGTAATCAGCTGACTTTAAAACATTTGCATTGCTTTTGATAGCATCTCAGGCCCCTGTCATGTAGAAAACAGAAACAATGAAGAGACTCACCATAGTTAACCTCACAGAAGCTCAACAGTCTGATGCAGCTCTGTCTTTTCTATCTTTGTGTTGTAAAAAGAGAAGGTGTCTCTCTTTTCTGTGGTGGAGATGCCCACCCCCCAGCTACAGATCAGCTGTTAACATCAAGCAGAGGTCTTGCGCACCAGCACTACACCAGCAATAATTCTAATCCTGAGTGGGGAAATCAGTTTCCCTACAGGCTAAACAGATTCCAAAGAGAAAAAATATCATTATTTAATATCAATAAATATAAATATCTACAGCTCTGCAATGAGAAAAAAGGAGAATTGCAATCCTCATTATAAACTTTAGAATCTGATAGAACCCCAATACGGTTAATTTCAATTATAATCGCCTGCAATCTCTGAACATTAAAAAAATTAAAACAAAAAAGAAAATATATTTGTGGTGCCCTGTCTGGGATATATTCTCAAATGAAAATGATGATGATGATTATTATTATACTTTGGTTTCATACTCAAATTTGCTGCCCAAATCTTTGTAGAACAAATATAATATGATCTAGTAACACTAAAAAAACAGACACTATTAAAAATATACTAAATAAAACTACTTTTGTTTCTGAAAATACAGGCAGTCGTTGTACATACATGTACCACATAACCCCAGTGGCATGTAGATGCTGAGAAGGCTATATTTTTGGTTGCAAAAGAAGATTAGCATTTAGAAAATGCACTTTAAAATAGATTGTTTACTTGTTGCCTTGGTGATTACTACAGGATTAATCCATTCTTAAAGTAATTTCAGAGGTGTAAAACGATGAATCCCACACTAGCCACTTTGTGCTACGTAAACACTGTGGTTTAAAGCTGATTATTTGCTTGTTCAATGGCTCCTTGGTTATTAAGGAATTTTGTATAGTCTGTATTTATTGCTATGGTTGGCTATAATCTCCTCAGTATTTTGGGGGTCTGTGGGCAGACCCGACTAGTATTTTACTTTTAAAGTATTCTATATTAATGCGCTTAATTTGGATTGCATATCACTGCCTGTTGTGTGTTTCTTCCTGTTGGGGAATACAGGGTTCAGGTCTCATGATGAGACTACAAAGTGCATTTTCTCCAGCTAGTCTATCCTTACTATCCAGTTTCTTTCCGCTTAGAATTCAGTGTTCAGAAAATGTTTTATTATTATATTAGTATTAACTTGCCTTGAACAGAAGATCACTGACAATTAAGGTTGTGTGTCTTGGTAACACAAACCAGGACATCATAAATTGGACTCATTGTGACACCTCTTTTAATGAATGGCCCATATCAAAACCTTTTAGATTGCTACTCCAAAAGAGGAAGGAGATAAACCCTGGCTGGAGGTCACCTGTCATAAATCCACTGCCAGAGGAATTCACCAGCGCGAAACCTACCCTGTGTGAAGACCACTACACCCAATGACGTCACAGACATTTCACCACCCATTATGCTATGATGTTACTGTTTCCACAGTTGTGATGCTCTATTTAACTCTGGCAACAAGACAGCTACATAATCACGTGACATTAACCATTGCTGTCTGAACCCCAACTGGAACAAATGAAGCTGAATGTGACTGCCAGGCGGAAAGACCCATGTAAACAGAATCATAAAACATTTATTTGAATCGTGTTTTGATTAGTATCTTTTGAAATCAATGAGCTGTTGATCAGCCATTTGTAGCACAGCAGACTGACACACATACAGTATGTTTATTTTGAATATTGGTATTCTATTAATAAAATGATATTCTTGCAATCCATGGGTGTATATCACTTTTGTTCGGACTGATCGATTGCTAGTACCTCAGAAACCCCCTGAGATTACTGTCCCAATTTCTTATTGTTACAGTTAAACCATCAATGAAATCACTATGCTGTTTTCTAATTATTTCTAGGGGATTCTCTGCCTGCCATCCCACATTCATTACAGAGATTAAGCACCACAATAACCTAATTTTGGGAATATTCTCATGAAATCTCTCTTGTCATCTCTATAGTTTTTCAGATTTCAAATGTAAAATTTGGAAAAATGGGTAGATCTAGAAGCATAATAAGCTACCATATCTAAATGAAATTATTCAAATCTCCGTTCTTTGAACTGCCTTATTGTATATCTAAGTTAAAGAAGAGGTGTTGCTAAGTGCTCCTAGCCTCACTGTGCTCATCATTTTGTACCTGTTTCTGAGGTCTTTCCTCTGGCACAAGGGCTGATCTTGCCAAGTTTAATTGTGATGTGCTTGTGATACTCACACATTACATGCATAACCTACTTTGCATTTGTTGCTCCATTGCTATGCCCACCCCATGTTTTCACAGCAGGCTGTGTCGCAGTTGCAGTGGCTGGGGACCACGCTGCCACTCGGACTTGATTGTCATGGAGACAACTTGCACAGAGCATTCGGTTGTTGTGAGAACTCTCACAACACTTGGTGCTCTGGGGTGTTCAATTCCTGTGCCGTCTCTCCTCAGTGATTTGGCATTGACGTGTTCATCGCTTCACTCCTGAGCCACTTCCCAGCGTCCCAGCGGAGCCCTTCCTGTTCCTGGTTGACAGTTCTCTTGGGCTCCAGCAGGGAGCTCTGTCCAAGGCTTTGCTGTCCAGGGCTTCTCCAGGCTGCTGAGTGTGAACCACAGGTCAGGACCCTGCTTCAGACCCAGACCTCAGCAGATGACTCCCTCTGCCTGGTCTACAGTGCATCTCCCTGGTCCGCCCTGACGTCGCATGCTGGCCTGGTCTCTGGAGAAGACCCCCCCCCCAATGAGGGCACAGCTTGTTCAGCCCGGTATAGATGTGACTTGGGGATGACCGCCCTGACTGGGAGTATCCTGCCCGGCCTCAAAGCAAGCCTCAAGCTCCAGATTCTTATGGCTCTCCCTGTCCTGCACTTGCTTTCCCTGCACTCCTTCCTGGATTCCAGCCTCCAGCTGCACTAAATGCTCATGGACAAGTGTCCTGGAGCTCAATCACAGCACAGCAGCCACAGCAGGAAGCACACAACTCACTGAAATGTCTTTAGAATTCTGCATCAGTGAAAGCATTACTGAAATTACTGAAGCATTGACACACTCTTCCCCAGGACACTTGACACCCTTTAATAATCTCAAACAGGTAAAGCCATCACAGATTTTCTGAAAATAAAAACCCAGTGCAAACTTCCATCATTTATAGATCTCCGACTCTGGAAAGTGTCCCAGGCTTGAGTAACTCTAAATCACTCTACAGCACATTAAATGTCACGTGACATTAATAGAAGAGTCAAAGGTCTAAACGCAGAAGACGAAGGACATGTTAGATATGTTTTCTACAAGCCATACAGCATGTTTCATTTTCCATCTGACAACATGAAAAAATGTAATTTCGCAAACAGAAGGGAACATACTCTAATCGGTATAGTAACATCCCAGAAGTGACTTCCTAAATCACTGGTGACAGACAAAATACTAATAGCAGAAGCATTGACTAAAACCCACTAAAACAGGAACATAAGCCGACTTTATATTAATGCTGTTAACAGGATGAGAAATTACTTCATGCTGAAGGCAGTAGGATGTAGCTGTTCTACAAAAAAACTTTTACAAAACCAGACAGCCGTCTATTTATTCGTTTTGGAAAAAAAATGTTGTTTTGTAACTGCATCCATAATTTCACCGCAAATCACTTCCTCAGTCATGGATTAGTGGGTGGTGCAGTTCAGTACCAAATTAACAAAATTATAATGGAAATGTGACTGCACTGATTCAATTAAGAAATCTACAACTGTTCTGTAACATATCAATTGATAAATCTCCCTTGATCTGAAAGGACTACATCAGCGAAATATTTGTGTAATGTGCTTGAGAAAGAAAAATAGATTTTATTGATTTGGACATACTTCTTACACACAGCACCAAAAAATCACGACTTTCCTATAGGAGAGGTTGGCTGTTTCGCTAAATTTGAAGATTGTGTGGGATCCCCCTTGGACTCATCAGACCTGTGCAACTTCATGGAGGTAGGCAACAAAGAGCTTAGTTCCTTCGATGTAGTTGTACCTGGAAAGCAAACACAGGAACAGTGTAGAACACATTGAAAGTGACAGGACAACCTCACAGACTGGGCTGAAAACGGAGTATAGTAAACTAGTAAAGGCGTTAAAATATTTAGTGGGATGTGCTTGTTCAGGTAAAAGTGGATGTAAGGGATGTAAGGGTGGAAAACTGGTAAATAATGTCAACGACTAAGGAAGACATAAAGTTCTGAATCAGAGCATAACTCATTTATGATAAAATTGAGGTTCTGTTTGCATAAAATCTCTTCCTAGATTAGAGATATACTGTAAAACCCATGGTAGCTTGACATTGTGGACGCAGTTGTTTTAAATATAATCATGCACTGTTAATTAAGCAAATTTTTCTTATTTCCTTATAGAAATTAGACTAATCACTCACATGGCTTAAATGAATCTAGTTAACATTTGTTTCCCCAGGGTGTTCAGATACATAATATATTTATGATATGGGGCTCAAACCCTAAAAAAACTGAACTTGATCTGGATTTCAGACATGTTCACATTGCCTTTACATTATGAAGAATTATTATCACAGTGAAACCCTAAATAAGTGCATTCGAAACATCTTTAAACCCAGAGCAGGTAAGGGAACAGGAGAGGCCAGATTACTATTATCCACTAACACAATTAAGGCAAGCTTGGAGAATGGCAGACTTCAGCATCCTAGGCTGCATCGATGTCTGTGATCTCCAAGAATGATTTACTGTAATGGAACTACTGTGCTGTCAGCGGAGTTACCTGCTCATCTTCTCATTTTGTGAGTGCAGGCCATCATCAAAGCCCCCAATTGGCAGCATGATGATCCTTTTCCCTGTGACGTCCTGAAACGTTCTCGCTATCGGGATGGTTCCTCCCTCTCGGATCATGTCCGGGTCCGCTCCCAGCACTGAGGGAACACGTCAGGAGGTCATTTTTACAGAGTCAAAGGAAAGACCCTTGTCCATAGTGTTGTCTCACTGCTATGCCCCTAAGCAGGCGGAAAGCCACAGTTACCAGAGTTGTTTTTCTAAATACCAAAGAAAGCTTAAAATTTGAGGGAGACCAAGTGAATTCATGACCCCCTTCTTGGTCAGGAATGAAGGGCACATGGTGGACGCACCTGCGATCCTGTGATGTGTACTGTACCATGTTTAAAACATCTTGTTCAAAAAAGACGTCATAGAAACTGAACAACCCCTACTGCGAATAATAAATGAAGAAACTCATTGAAAAATCAATATCAATGAGTTATCTATTGTCAATGTGGAAATGTGCTAATTGTTTTACGTTAGGTGTGAGCACTGACATGACACAGTCAGGCAGAGCTAAGGAGAAAGTTTTCTGAACATAAAATGCTCAATAAGAGCTTAAGGCCATTTGTGCAGTCAAATAACAGCTGCTCTGTTATGCTCAGGTGCTCAGACCACCTAAATAACTTTATGTGTTTCTCAACCTTAATCTTAACCTTACGCACGCAAACGCATTCCTTAAAAAATTACATTACATGTCATAGGTGGGATATTTTTATTCTTGTGTTTCTTGTATCACTACATATTTTTTACTTTGACGAAAACAATCAGCAGAGAAAGCTTCTCTGGATGTTTAGCTTTCCATTTACATCAGTAACACTCTTCAGGCTTCAGCTGAGTGTGCATTGTAAAGATGCCATACAACAAACTAAAGAAAACGTTTTAATTAGCACAATCAAAACCAGAATTCAGATTGCATAACATTTCTACATTCTGAAAAACCTGAAAGTCTCTGGGATTCTTTTGCAAGCTTACGGTTTATGACAAACATCCCAACTTGTTCCATCTGTTCCATCTGTCTCTATTCAGTTTGGCCACCATAATCCAAACAGCACCTGTACAGGCTGGGTCAGGATATGACTGCCTATCATGGTTCTAGACTGATAGGCACATCCCAAGGGCAGGAGCACTGACCACATGTTTTGTGTTAATTAGTTCTCATACTTGGTCTTCTACCAAGTATTGTGCAACTGCATAAGAATTATTGAGAGCTCAAGACCTGCTCCAGGGCAGAAGGGATTACCTGTTTTTACAGCTCTCTTGCCTGCTTCATACAGTGAGTCCTTCAAGTCAGCCACCCAGGGCTTGGCCCCAATGACCATGGTCACCTTCAGCTTGTTTGGGCTGTTGCGTTTAGCAAACTCAGCATTCAAATGGTCAGACACCTGCAAGGACAGACCCAACGACACTGTATTTAGAAGGAATCAGGGATTTACAGTACGAAACTCCATCAGAGTAGCCATGAGCTCCAACACAAAGGCGGTAATGTACACGTCTCATTCAGTGGGTCTTTTTAAAACAGGCAGATATATAGACAGTTTCCCAGTGTCCTTGTCCCTGGTGTTGCATTCAGGAAATCCACTTGGGGATGAATGATTATGGCTTTTCTGAATCTCCATGTAGGAAGGCCAGAGAACACAAGCAGTGAAGTACAAATCCCTGCTTTCTTTTCCCTACCTGCTTTTCCACAAGCAAAGGGTCCATGTCAGGCACCTGTCGGATTGAGAACTTGGCAATGACTTTGGCAGGGATGACGGTTTTTGTCCCAGGAGCAGAGAAGGCTCCTTCTATGCCATGAATGGACACCGTGGGATAGCGCCAGCGATGGGCAAGGAGGTCTGCCTGAAGGAAAATCAAGTTAGTGTACTGTCTCTGAGCAAAATTCTTCTTTCTGCCAAAGGCCTTTTTAAAACCACTTCAGAAATTTCCAAATTCAGTTTTAATTCTGTCCCTCCGATCTCAACAATTTAAAGTGACTAGAAAGCAAGAGTGGAAAGGTTTTCTTTAGTGATGAACTTGCCATGTGGCCAAGAAATTGAGGTTCTGGATAAACTTTCTGTTTAGAACTGTTTCAGGCTCCCGTTTTTCGTACTGTAAGATACTGTACATCCCTGGAGTCCTGTCTTTAAAATTGAGAATCACTGCTTTAAACATCACTCTGCGGATCAAAAGAGGCATGAAAGAACAGAATGTTTCCAGTGTGCAACTGAGACCACTGCAGGAAATGTGTAGCCTTTTTTTGCAAATTGAACTCATCTCATCACATGTAAAAAGAATCATTTGGTCTCTTGAGCTGAGCTGGTTTTTCCATTGTGGTTTGGGCACACTGCCCACTCAAAAGAGAAGAGGATTTATATAGAAAATTTGCCTGAAGAATCTGGCCAAAGGAAAGACTTTCTAAACTTGCCTTCAGTGCCCTTGACATGCCAATTGGCAGCCTGTCAATACTAAACAGATTTCCTTGAGATGGCACAGGCCCTAAATATTTACCTTTGAACTATACATGAGACGGTCAACCCCAATTTTCCTCTGGTAGCTCTCCAGGTCAAACTCAATGCCCTCATACAGCTTCATTTCCTCCTCTGTTAGAGCAGCCACAGCCTCATTGATTCCAGGGATCAGGATTTTACCACTGGAATCAATTAGGGTGTCTGCAAAGAACAAACCTGTCAGGCAAATGCTGGAAACATGAAAACACAAATTGCTACTCGGAACTTCCTCTGCCATTACAGTCAAGTGTGTGCGACAGTCTCTTGCATTAGTTAGAAGAAACTGGGTTACCTAGGATACCGATGAGATCTGTCATGGGCTCGAATACTGTGCCCCCAAAGACTCCGGAGTGTAAATCCTGTTTCGGACCCTCCACCTGTGGCCAAGAAATGTGTAATAAGGAAGTTTAGACGAGGTCAAAGAGGATGCTTGGAAAGTTAGAGAAGGGCTCGTTTATCTCTTCTTGCTAATCAAGGCAATCTCGGGGCATTATCATAATATTTTAAATTAAGACCCTTTATCTATTTGGATGAGGATAAGGACGGGGTGGTCCACATACTGTACATTAAACAATTAGACTGACTTTTGTTAGCTTTGATTAAAACTGCCTGAGAGTCCCTATTTGTGAACACTATTTTATTCAATAACACATAACAAACATGGTCACACACAGAAAGTTATTTTACACTCTGCACAGTCTGGCGTAAAAGAGCTGTTTATTAAAAGAACAAAATCTATGCCTCATTGAAAGAAATCAATAGACGAATGCACCCAAGTATAGAGAGGCAACCTTGCTGCACAAAATAAATGTTCAGTGTTTTTAGGCAGGTGTGTAATTTACTACTATTTTTCTCCAAAGGTCAATCCTGCAAGGCACAGCAGGTGGTGACTTGATGTTTAGATCTGTGAGGAAAAAAAATCACTGCCCTCCCACCTTATGTTTCGTGCTAAGGCTGTCTTCTCACCTCTGCCAAGAAGTAGCAATTGCCTCTGGTCCCATAGGTCAGAGCGGGCTTGCGACTCAGCCAACCACAGTCTGAGATGATGATGTAATCAACGTCAGAGAAGAAGGTGTGGTTGTGCTGAGAGATCATGGCATCCAGGCCGTTCGACCCAGTTTCCTCCATTCCTTCGAGGATGTACTTTACATTGACGGGGAGTTCCTGAAATAAGTGAGAGGTCTTTTGAAACAGCTCAGCGCAAATAATAATAACAATAATTGCTTACACTTATATAGCGCTTTTCTGGACACTCCACTCAAAGTGCTTTACAGGTACTGGGGACTCCCCTCCACCACCACCAATGTGCATCTCCACCTGGATGATGCGACGGCAGCCATAGTGCACCAGAACATTCACCACACATCAGCTATCAGTGGGGAGGAGAACAGAGTGATGAAGACAATTTTTACCGTAGATAGGTATTACTAGGAGGCCATGATTGGTAAGGCCAATGGGAAATTTGGCCAGGATGCCAGTGTTACACCCCTACTCTTTTCAAGAAAAGCCCTGGGATTTTTAATGACCACAGAGACCTCGGTTTTTACGTCTCATCCGAAGGACAGCGCCTCTTTACAGTATAGTGTCCCATCACACTATACTGGGGCATTAGGACCCACACTGACCGCAGGGTGAGCATCCCCTACTGGTCCACTAACACCTCTTCCAGCAGCAACCTTAGTTTTTCGCAGAGGGTCTCCAGGTACTGACCAGGCTCACACCTGCTGAACTTCAGTGGGCTGCCAGTTGTGAGTTGCAGGGTGATATGGATGCTGGCCAAATCACAAAAGGCATTAGTTTTCACAACCACAGTGAACCCCTGTGCAAATTTCAATTAACAAATCAATAGTTACAAACATTTGCTACTAGCTAATGATAAACATGGGTGAAAAGGCTTAAGTTTTATTAGTTTGATATTATTTTGTATCAGATTTTTTTTTCTATCTTAGCATCAAGTTGTGGTTTGCTGTGTTATTGTGTGCAGTAACTAGACTTATGAGAGGACAGCATCCAGTAGCAACAGGACTTTCACCATTGAGACAAGACAGTACTACTTTGTTACAGAAATGGACTCCACATTTCAGATTGTCATACCATGACTGGAAGTCGTCAAGCCACACGTCTTGAATGTGTCTGTTACAGATGTGTGCCAGACCACATCAAACTCCTCTCTCTAACTAGAGAGACGGCTTACTTGCCTTTTTACACTTATCCTTTTTACACTATTTTTTTCTATCCAAAACTAGAAATCTAAAACAAAAATCTTGTGTCAAAGATAACAGAACTACCACCCGAAACTGTGTATTTCAGGATGTACCCAAAGTAAACGTTCAAACAATTGCAATCCTGATGCACCCATTCAGCCAAGAGCTTAGAACAAGTTCAGATTTTAAATTTGTATAGTTCAGCCCACACCTAAAGTATAATTGAGACTCACCATGTTGAGGGCCTGATAAGCTTCAACTGCATGTATCCAGGCCAGAACTGGAGCCTTGTTATCCGAAGCCCCTCGGCCATAGAGATTGCCTATTCTCAATGTAGGAGGGATAAAACAGAAGTAATGGCAAAGGTGAAATATTGTATACAGTAAATATGTACAATGGCAACTTCATATTTTTAATTTTGCACTGTGTTAATATGATGTAGAATATGTGTTGACATGGAGACAATTATAAATACCTAATGGTTATAATGAATTATCTTAATTATAATTAAGAATTAGTGGAGTGCACGAATTTAACAATAGTTCCTAGATTTCTGGCTAGTCTTTGGGCACTTTTCTTGTTCTTACAATCCCACTACAAACTAGTAATTAACTAACTACTCTGATCAGACTAAAGAAGATGACTTTATTGGCTGTATACAATTTCTGGTATCAGGGATTTTTCTTTTTGCATACCCCAACTTGCTCTCCATGAGACACACAGACAGGGAGAGAAGCTTGGGGTCAGAGCGCAGGGTCAGCCATTTATACGGCACCCCTGGAGCAGTTGGGGTTAAGGGCCTTGCTCAGGGACACAACGAGTAGGATTCCTCTGCCAGCCGTGGGATACGAACCAGCAACCTTCCAGCCACAGGCACAGATTCCGCACCACCCCAAACATTGTATTCCTGTGCAGGAGTACTGTTACACTGTACCTGCAAACCAACACCTGAGATAAAGGAGGACATGTGGTGTGTGAGAATCAAAGGCCCTCACCATTGATCTCAGTGAGGTTGTAGGGATCCGTCGCCCAGCCGTCCTCCTTCTTGGCTGGCTGGACATCAACATGGCCATAGATGCAGACAGTCCGTTTGCTTGAGTCACTGCCAAACTGAGCAGTGACAACTTTGGGGAGGGGAATTTTTGTGCCATCAGACAGCTATCAGAAACAAAGGAAGAGGTTTAATATAAGGAGAGAGAACTCATACACAATGGGACAAGACAAGGACTTCCTTTAACCTCTGATTCATGCTCAAGTGTCTTCAGGGTTGTTCGGGGTTAGTTTTGACATTTCTGAATGTTGTATTACTCAAGGCGGCAGGCACTAGTAAGCCACATATTTCAGATTACCCAGCCCTTTGTTCCTTCAGTAACACCAATTTAAACCCATGAGAGTGGGACCAAGGATTGTGGAGTCCTTGAATGTCATCAATGTCAACCTTATCTGGCTGAGAGAGTCATTCTGTGCTTCTGAGGTCTCGCTCAATCCCCAGACCTTTAGGGGACTCTCTGAGCACATGCTCCAGTGTAGGAGAACTGCTGGGGGCCTCACGGCATACTGTATGTGGTCCAAGGTGAGAGGAACTTCTGGCACATGATATAGTGGGGAAACCCACGCTGTGCTGCTCCTCTCCTGTGGCACCACATCAAACTGGAAGCGCAGCTTTCGACTGACGTAACTGGGGTTACAAATGTGTCCTCTAGGAAAAAGAGCAAAGCCTTACAATATGTCACATTACGTCACATTAATCGTGCTCTAATACTCTCAATGGGCATCTACCAAACTCTCCTCCCAATGTCCAGCCTGCAAGTGAAAGGTCGACAAGCACTGAGGAATGTAAAGACTCTGATGTGGTATCATTTATTTTTGAATAATGTAAAAACATAGTAATAGGTAAAAGCTTCTGGGAACTCATCTGGCATCAGAGTTCACAAAGCTAGGACTGGGAAGCTCATCGCAGCTATGCCTGCTCAGTAATGCTCCGTTCCTACTGCCAGCTACAGTACATTACCAGTGGTCCACCAGAATGAGGGTTGCATGAGGTAGGAGATCACATCAAAAGAAAACAGGTGAGCAATGATTATCATCAGACATTTAATTTATATCTAAAATTATTATTATAATTATTATTGTTGTTGTTGTTGGGTGCAACTCATCCACTACATGTCTGTGCAGGGGCAACAATGGCATTGACCTGTTTTTGACTAAACATTACACTCTCTGCTTACATCTGGTTTTTCCTATTTACAACTTTTGGGGGGGCAATAGACAGTATGCTAGGGGCTTGTGCAATATAATTTTCATATTTATAATGTGTAATACAACTTTTTGTGTACTGCTCTGTTTTTTGTAATCTTTACTGTGAGCAACATTTTTTAGTGCACTTCTCACTGACTGTACTGACTGTATTGTATGTACTGTATTGTTGTATTATTTCATTACACTGTGCTGTGTTGACTGTGCTACACTTCTGTTGCACTGCAATTTCACTCACAGGATCAATAAAGTATCTATCTATGTAACTTCTCAGGGAAGTATAGGTACAGTAGCTGCAGATCAGTACCTCCTGATCACCAATGTCTACCAGTTCCACCTTTCCACCCATTTTTCTCAGCTTCTCTGCAGTGATGTCCATCATGTGCTCCAGTTCAGCCCTCTTTAGCACATCGCTGGAGTCGCTCTCTACAGCCACCCAGTCGCGCAGGGTCTGCAGGGGCACAAACAGGCAACAGGCTGGCAAATTGGGACAAAAAACCCATTTGAAAAAAAAAACAAAACTTGCCCATGTAATAAGGGTACAGTCTGATATCAGTTGGGAATTAAATAAAACTCTACTTGCAATGTGGAAATAATTTAAAACAAAAATAACACCTTATTATGAAAGGTCAGCTTCCATTATAGCTGTTAGAAGCAGCAGGTCTCAGTTGACTTTAGACACTACTGGAATTGGAGGGTGACAACACCCGCCTTTTCTGCTGACCCCCCAGATTGTCCCTAAAGATACCCTGGGGTCTGTAGGACTGCTGGTTATGAATGACAGCTTTAGAGAATAACAGCAATCACTTCTATATAGATGACAAAACGTGTGCTGTAAAAAAGACACACTGCCAGGCAAGGCAACAGTCAGATTGAAGAATACAAACTAAAGGGATTTTTAAAAAGCTGTCTGTGCCTCCATCAAAAAGAAATCCATCCATCCACTTTCTAACTGCTTTATCCAATGCAGGGTCGTGGGGGGCTGAAGCCTATCCCAGCAAGCAGAAAGCAAAAAAAAACAAGAAAAAAAACTCTCACTTCTCCCACTCCCAATTCTTAAACATGCCCTGAAAAGCCCACCTCCACGTATTCATCCTGGTGGCTGTCAACATATTGAATCAAGGCATCCAGCTGGAATGGGTCTGCTTGAGCCATGAGCAGGAGTGTGGACAACAGTAAGAAATGCAGCTATGGGGACAAAACAACAATTCTGAGCATGGAGATCACATTTGAAAGAAAAACAAAATAACTGAACAATATCATAGTAGAAAGCAGAATACATAGCTGTCAGTTACCAGGAATGGGGATGAATGTCCTTCACGTCTTAACCTTTCTTATTTCCTTAAAATGATTCTGTATCTTTCAGTAGTATCTCTGCTACAGTTCTTGAACAGCCTATTGAGACTCCTGTCGCATTATTAACAGCCTGCACTGGATTACTATTTGACACTACACGGCTTTAATAGGGTTCACTCCCAAACATCTTGGGACAGAGGTGTGCGCTGCTGTGGATGGACAAGACAAGGCTGAGAGCCGAAGGGCCAGTCGGCCTTGTGTGAGCCAGTGTCTGGCAAGGGAGTGACCCATTCAAGACCAGCATTCCGGTACTTGACACACATTAACGGGTTTGAGTGATCAGCCCTTTACCCTACAGTGCCCTGCGTGATGAGCCACACTCTGTTTCACCTCCACTTTGCACCTCAGACATCACTGAACATAACTTCTTTGGTTTCTGTACTTTTATGTGAAATTGATATGACAATGGTATACAGACATACAGCAACTCAATTGCCTTGAGGAGTCAGCCAGTATACTGCAGAACTGTACTGATTGTGAGGGGGCATGTTTTATTGAAAGGGTGGATTTGCTCTTTCCTTTTTAACTAAATACCTTTCAGACGCCACATTTATTTTCTTTCAAAATTATCTCCACATGCAAATGTATATAGTATTCTCAGTTGTTTTGATGGAAATAAGAAAATCCTGATTATTGTAAGGTTAAATATTTGAATATCTCTCCTGTCATCCATTATGCCCGGTTTGTTATTGTTCATTTAAGTAACAAATTTATCCGAATGGTGACTCCCAGGGGCACTACACTAACAATTCAGAATCAAATCATTTAACTACAGAAAAGTACAAACTTTTCATTCTGTTACAAAGGCTTTTAAAAAAGGGAATTTTACATTTGAATTTTAAAGTTTGAATACGGTCATAAAAAAACAAACAAATCTAAAGCCTCTCAAAAAAAGGAGTTCATGGGCACTGAATACTACCGCTTACAAGCTTTACAGTATGAGCAACTAAGCGTGCACAGCTAACACTGTGATTATCTGCTGTGATATGAAAGCTCTTAATTATAAATGCAACAATACGACATTCTAAATCTCTTCGGTGATGTGTACTTCAGTATTGAAATCACAACAGTGCAAAAGCTCGCCATGGGCACTGTCTCATTGTTACTGCGCTACGGTTGACATGGTGATTATTAGCTGTTTACCCGGGCGCTCCCAGTTCCTCCTCCGTTGCTCCCTGGCCAGACACCCCGTGTGCACGTGTCCTGACACCGCAGTTTGAACAGCTCTGCTTAGCCTGAGCCCGGCAGCCTCCTGACACGGAGTGTTTTTTTATGAAATAGGAGACACGATTGCCGCTGTCCTCACTGTTCTGCCATTACTTTCTAAGACGCTTTAAGGCGACAAACATTGATATGCGACTAATAATCGTTACCTTATTAACACATCGTGCGTTATTTTATGGAGCAGTGCACACTGAAATATTGCCAAGACTCACTGTATAAACTGCCTTTATTACGTTTGTTCTAGCTGACCTGAGATTTTTAGAAAACGTGTTACTACAGAGAACAGTACAGTACGAACTGTATTAACAGGCATGTCCATATCCAGTGGTCCTCATTTAATCCGGGATAGTTTTAAAAACAGGTCTTCACAATGCTCGGTGGTATAAGTAAAGACAGCACACGTTTTTTTAAACTTTTTAAATTTGAGTACCCATTTTTAAGACTAATTGCAAAATAATTATTCAAAGTTATTCAATTACAGGAAAAAAAATAACCGAACAATTCATTATTACGCACTTATTGATCGCATGAAAATTGTTTAAAGATTAGGAATATAACCAATGAAGCCACGCACTCATGCCTCCTCACACATTAAGTGGAACCGAACCACCAGGTTAAAGTAGTTTGTTTGTTTGTTTGTTTGTTTTATTAATTAGCAAGGAGTACTCCAATAAATATACCCCTTACCATGGTCACTGGCAATGAAGCACCACTCAAAACGTCTGGTTGTTCAATCCTGCTTCCCCTGCACGCTTTTTGTCGCCTGTGGCCATAATTTATACACTCTGGAATAAACTCCTCCTCATCTGGCTGGAAAAGGACTGTGTCTAGCTCTATCCTCAAAACCAGAACACCTGAGCACTGCCTACTGACCGCCCTACTATACTGTATATCTATAAAGAGGCGGTATACGGTATACGGTATACGCGGTACAACTATACGTAACTCAATATACATTATGCATTAAGACAGTTTGTTGTACTTTCAACTACCCACGATTCTCGTTTTAAGTGTGTACACTACCAGTCAGGTAACATTATGGCAGCTGGAGAGCTACAGCACTTGAAGGGCCAAACTACTGTAAGGTGGTCACTTTTATGACTGCATAATGCAGTATATCTCCTTATGCAGTCTAATTTGTTATATAATGGAGCAAAAATGCAGAAAAGCTTCAGAAAATTCAAGTTTGCATGGCGGCAAAGAATCCTTGTAATCTTATAAACGTTAAATGGAAAGTGAACCAAATGTGCTACATTTTCACTTTTAAGATTTGTAACTTTAACTTTGAACATAACTGTAGTTGTGACAATATTTGCACCAATAAGGCACTGATGGTAGACTTACTGCAACCAAAAGCAGATGGGTGAAAGAGTAAGAACAGGCGATTTGTAAGTCTTTTATAAAAGAGGCCGTTTTTGATTCACAGAAACCTCACACAGTATTACAGTATGTGTTTGGGTGAGGTTTGCAAGTTGCAACAAGTAGCAAGACACTACACCAACTTAACTGAAACTTCTATCTTATCAGTTAAGCTGACGGACCCCAGCAGAAGATTTATCAGAAACACAATGTGAACTGGAATTCTACTGATCACAAAATGACAAAACACATTGGCCAAGTATATGATCAGAGCAAGAACAAGGTGAAACAAGATCCTGTTGAACTACAGGCTAAGTTAAAACTACTGTACCTGACACATGCAGAGCTGGTTACCCAGAGAAGACAATTTGTTTCCACTACCAGCAGGGAAAAGCAGAAATTCAAGTTGCACTGTCAAAAATAAAAACAAATCTTAAAATTCTCACACTGCCAGTACTAGAGCAGCTATGAGTCCTAAAGTGGAAAAGAGAGAGAAAATCAAGAGGTGGGAGCACAGTATGTGGTCTTAAGTCACAATCTAAGGAACACAGTGAGCCTCTCCAGTAAAAATGAAAAGCCTTCCAAAAACCTTGAACATGCCTAATAACCCACCCTGCCATCTACAGAAAGGTCATATACAGTACAACCAAATAAAACGAATTGGAAGTCAATCGTAATTGCTTTGGCAACACTATAGCTCATACGAATTAGAGTTTAGCAGAGTCCAGCTGTAGGTCTGTTACTTAATAAACCTCAAAGCATTCCTCCATAACCACTAAATTGCTGCATGGTTTTGCATGATCTGTTCTTAATATAAAAAGTGGTATTATTTTAAAATATTAAAGCATATACTGTATGCGTTGAAATACGCAGCAATAAAAAGGTGGCATTTGATACTTTTGCCCGTTATTCATCTTTTCAACTCAAATCTGATGTGCTTGAGTATACAGCTAAAATAATAATTCTCATTTCACTGTCCCAATACCTACGGAGGGGTGTATTGGGGTGTATTCAGCCAGATTGGAAAAGAAACCTCTTTGCACATGTAAAGTGTTCAACCCATGTTCTCCTGCACCAGACCTGAAAAACCCAGAGAACATCTGGAATGTACACCTTACATGTGCAAGTTTCTTTGCACTTTGTTCTTGAGCTCTTTCTAACAAGTTGTAATCTGGCCATTCAATTTATTACACCGATTAGAGGTTTGTATCTTGTAGTGTAGCCCTTATAATTCTGCTGTCAAAATCTCCTGTGAAGAGTAGGCGATAATACTTTCACCCCTGCACAACAGAGGTTGTTGGTGGTTTCAGCAAGTTTTTTTAGAGTTTTTCTTCACAGCTCTGATCATTTTTCTATCATCAACTACAGTTGTGTTCCTTGGCTGAGCTGGTCATTGCCAATTGCCAAGTACACCAAGAGGTTTCTTTCTAAGATATTCCAAATAGCTGATTTTACTATGCTCAGTTTCTGTACTATGGTTTTGACTGATTCCTCTTTTCTTTCAACATTCAGATTGCTTGCTTTTCTTCCAAGCCAGTTTTTTTGCCATTAAATGTGACCAAGAATTAAATGTGATGGGGGGGAGGAGAACAAAGTAATGTAGCCAATTCATAGAGGAGGATTATTAGGAGGCATGAGAAATTTGGCCCCTACTCTTTTCGAGGAACACCCTGGGATTTTTAATGACCACAGAGAGTCAGGACCTCAGTTTTACATCTCATCTGAAGGATGGTGCTTGTTTACAGTGAAGTGTCCCCGTCACTATACTGGGGCATTAGGACCCACATGAACCGCAGGGTGAGCGCCCCATGCTGGCCTCACTAACACCTCTTCCAGTAGCAACCTTAGTTTTTCCCAGGAGGTCTCTCATCCAGGTACTGACCAGGCTCACACCTGCTTAGCTTCAGTGGGTTGCCAAGTGTAAGTTGCAGGGTGACATGGCTGCTGGCAGTACGACATACAGTACTGTTTAAAACACAGAAATACCCATAAATAAAAGGCGTCATTCTGTACTTTTGCCTCATATATGACTGGTACACAAAATGAAGGGTTAGGAGGAAAAGCCAGTAATGATGGTTAATTCATAGGAATGTCGATATTAAGCCCCAATCTTGTATATGAATTTTGAGGTTAATAAACTGAAAAATAAATTCCAGTTAAGTAAACTTGTCCTATGTTTTTATTCTCAGGCCATTGTTACATTTTGCAGTTTTATTAAAAAGAAACATCAAGCACATTAAAAAGAAGATTGAAATGCTTTTATTTCATACTTTTTCATGTCAAATACTTTTGTATTTGACACGTTACCGTCTGGTTTAGACTGAAATAAAACCTCTCTTCTTATGCTCATAATGCATTAGGTTCCAGAGAAGATGAAGTCGTTCAGTTCATTTAGATGTTGACAGCCAAATAATCTGAAGATCATATTCAACTATTTCATAAAAGAAACCTGGGTTTTAACAACATGGACGGGCATCTTAATTATGGAGTGTTTTCTGTACTTTGCCTGTTTGCATTTACATGCAAAAAGTCCTGCAGACAACTCCTGATAATCTGGACAGGGTTGAGAAATCAAGGCCTATAAAGACCAGTGCAAAGACCTTGGAGTCTCCTATCAGGAGATCAATCAGAAGCAACAAGGTCCACTGGTTTGTACGGGAGCTAATCTAACCTGCTCATGAAACACTGTTCAAACAGACACAGCTATTTAGACAGAAACATGCTGATCAAACAGATCTTAAATTCCCCCACATCTTTATCTTGCATGTATTTCATCATTCTCTTGCAGCGCTCATTTTAATAATTGGGTTTTAACGAACCCACCGTCTTGCTACCCAGGGCTTCTCCTATTTGACACAGCTGATAGACACTGACCAAGCAAAACTGTGCACAGGATAAAAATGAGTGTTTGCTGGTTGTTGAAAAATGAAGAAACTGTACTGTTGCATATTTTTATACTTTAATGCTTAAAGTTGTCATTACAAATTCATATTGTACGTTCAACATTTTCAGAGTATTTAAAAAAAAACAAGGCTCAGTGATCTATGGCATTTTTTGTCTTATTTTTACAATTTCTTACGTGTGCGGTTTTCTCAGGTGACGATCAGAGGTATACTCATGGCTTTGGAAGGGGTAGTGAAGATAATCTTGGGGGGAAAAAAAGCCTTCCTGTTGTTCTGTCCTCTCTCTCAAACACGTCAGCTCCCACTTCTATCACCTGCCTGCTAGCGAATTAGAATTGAATTCATGATCTCGTAACCAAGGATTATTGGCTCAGCATCATGTGTCAGTACTCAATTAAAAACAGAACTCCCCCCATTCTCCAGCGCTCTACTGATTGGATACAGGCACAAGCTTGCCTTCAAAACAAATATGTGATGCTTCCTCTAATTCAGTCATACACACAAGCAGCAAAATGCCCTGTTTCCACCATAGGCAATCACTGTTGTCCTGTAACTTTTTTAACTGCAGATCTGGCTGGCAGTTCACATTTCTTTTGACAAGCCTTCACTGAGAGACTGAAGTAAAACTAAACACCCATGGGCCACGAAATTAAAAAAGAAAAAGAAAAACGGTGTGGGTTGTCCAAAGTCCATCAGATGGCGTGTTACACTTCCATGCTTAACGCAATGTAACTTATCCGATTACTCCAGAAGAGAGACTTCATGGAAGTAAGCTCCCAGCAGCTTGGTTCCTTGTATGTAGTTGGACCTGAAAAAGAAATGCCCAATTTGTTTCCATTCTTCAAAATATATTCTCCACTTTTCCCACATGATCTACAGTATAAGCAAAATAATCAAACTCTTAGGAACAAATTTTAAAAGTCATGTCCCATTTTGTATTACAATAGTAGCTTTCTGGTGTTGACTTCCTTGCTGGTGACCTTTTCCAGGTGCAAATGAATAATCTGCAGACCCCTTTCTTCACAATAATCTCTCGGTAAGAAAGCAGAACTCCTTAAAAGCTGAAAATTTGCAGCTGAATGAGATGTAACCTTGTAACCTTTGAGTCTTGATCCATCTGGCACGTCCCAAGGATTATTTGCCCCAATATTACCATTTGGAGGAACCGGAGAGCTGATACATAGACCCTCAGCCCATTCTAAGAGATCACCTGTTGATTTTCTCGTTTTGGGAATGGGCCCCGTCATCGGCAGCCCCCATCGGCAGCAGCATGACATTGCGCCCTGTGGCCTCCTGGAACGTCAGGGTGACGGGAATGCTTCCTCCTTCTCTCGTCAGGTCAGGCTCCACACCGAAAACTGGGGGGTGGGAAAAAAAATAAAGGAGGAAACAAAGCTCAACTGCTGTTTTCTTCCAGCAGCTAGAGAACCAACCAGGTTTGACATTGTGATAATGACGATTTGGCACCACACTGGGTCTGTGTTGGTCTTGATCCTACGACTGCAAGGTTTAAACATTGTGATACGCACGGCCTCAGACACGCAGCAGTCCGGAATAAAACTGGCGCCCCTTTGCAAGACAGATCATTGGTGGAATATTAATGGCTTTGACAAACACAAATCTTTATAATAACCCACACAATGCACACTGCTGTTCTGACATGGATGGAAGTTCCTGTGCTGATGTCAGGATGTCTGCATCCTGGATACTGAAGAAGGTCATCTAGCACTGACCTCATTTTAACACAAGAGAAAGCTGCGAACCAGGAACATCCAACTTAACGTAAAACTAATGAAACCATATTGGGACAGCATTGAGGATTGTGTAGCCAACTCTCTATGTACTGGCAAACTCATAAGCCTTTATAGTGGGGTTTATCCTTAATTGTGGAGAATGACACAGAGCACAGAGCAGACACAGTTTGGAAGACGGATGTCATGGGTCATTCTTTGATACAGGAACCCCCCCAATGTAAGAGTGAGTTTGTCAGTAGCCAGGTGATGGTGCCACAGCATACTCTACCTGTCTTCATGGCCTTTCTGCCAGCTATGTAATGGGGGTGGTTGAAATCAGAGACCCAGGCTTTGGCCCCGTGACCCATGGATACTTTCATCTGGTTGGGACTGCCCAGATCAGCGAATGTCTTCTTCAAGTGCTCGCTGACCTTGAAAGACAGGACATGAAGGAAAAACGTTTTGCATGTTTGCAGCAGACAAGTCACACTTTTTCTGAAAAGGGATTAAAGAAACCACAAATTCAAACCAGCAAAATAAATATTATTTTTCTGGGCTAACCAACACAGGGACTGAAATCCTGCTGTTCAGCTACCTAAAGATAAAATAAATGTCTAATCAAAGACTAAGATTCAAGTATGAAATACCATACAGGGCAAAGAAACTTGTGGTAGATCCCAGTTTTGTCAAGTCTGCTATGCTCTTTTTGCTAGTTCAGGCTTGAATTTTGGAGTCAGGTCTCTAAATATGCAAATTAATATGCAATGGGCACATAATCTCTCTAATCTCCTTCAAATAATTTTTGTAATGGCTGAACTGCAAAAATAATCAAAGCAGGTCACAACAAGCCAATAGATTGCCCAACAATTTCTCCAAAAAAAAAGTCCACAGGGATTTAATTAAAACCTTGCATTGTTTTTATGCTCTGCAGTGAACAACTACCTATCTGGGTGGCAAGAACTCCACTTGGCACATTGACTGCTGACCACTGGATTCTGGAAAACCCAGTCTGCTCTTGTGAAATTAACTGCTTAGCAAAAGGCTTCTGGATAAACCTCTTAATAAGTTTAATGATTTTTAAAACACTGATCTGATTAAATACTGATGGAATTCAAAACATTTCCACTTCTGTACACTAAACTTTACATGTGCAAAACAATATACAGCACATTCCTTTTCTGCAGTATTTTTCTCTCAAATTCTACCCTGACTGGCTGAAATAACTTAATCTTTTGGTCCTGTATGGAGAAAGCTACCCTAGATACTGTGCTGAGGGTATCTAAGATCCTCAAAAACAATAAGCCAGCCAAGAGGACAGAATGAACAGTGAAAAGTGGAATAAAAACAGATAAAAAGCTCTCCATGTAAAATACTCTTTTTACTCAGATCTGTCCAGAAGGGGGTGTGAATGGTATATAAAGTTATGTTGATGTAGTACACGTACAGAAATATGAAAACATAGGAGGGTCATTTCGTAAACAATCTAGAGCAATATGAAAAAGTGAAAAAAGAAAAATACCAGAGTTGTCTTATCATGGCATGCTGCAATAATTCACATCAAGCAGCAGCTCAGTTGGATTCAAGTTCTTGGGGTCACAATCTGCTTTTTTTTTTCCAGTGGCTCACTGTGTAAAATAGATATTAAAATGACATGTTCAGTCTTGCCCCTTACCTGTTTCTCCACAACTTTGGGGTCCATGTCGGGCACTAGGCGGATGGAGAACTTCCCGATCACCTTGCGGGGAATGACGGTTTTTGCTCCTGAGGCAGAGAAAGCTCCCTCAATGCCGTGCAGGGAGAGAGAGGGGTACCGCCAGCGGTGCATCAGAATTTGCTCCTGGAAGTCAACGATGACATACGAAATTCCTAATCAGGAAGTACACACACTGACATATGTATTTCTATACTTTTAAGGACCTTCCACTGCCTCTCGTTCTGTTTTTATACAATATTATATAGTGAGTGAAAATTAAATTAAAAACCATTCTGGGCTGGAGGCAGATCCCCAGAGTGGTTTTTGGCACAGGTTTTTAAAATGTGATTGATTACTTTGTGCTTACGTTGCCTGATTCAACTGGATCTTTTTGCCCTTGTCGTTGTTTCGCTCCAGTGCATTTAATTACACACGAGTTTTGGGAAAACAGCAGATTTATCTATTTGTCAAGAGTGTTAGGCTCAAAAAGAAAGAAAAGGAGACAGAGCCTCTCTGGGGGAAAAAGTGTAGCTACACATCTTAACCCACTGAAACTGAATTCGAACTATTTTTTTCTGGGCAAAAAACTTATTCCAGTGTGCTGCCTGAAAGTTGCAGATTTTTTGCCGCTTCCTGATAATTCATTCTGAGTTTTAGATATGTCAGCTCTGGCCTCATCCCCGCTACTGTTCTTCTAATCAGCACCCTGCTTCTGTGATCACCTGCCCTCTGCTGGTCACACACACAGTGCACTACCAGATATTCATAACCTCCAACAGTCAGATGGAGGGTACCTTTGTGTCATGTAGCAACTTGCAGGCTCCCACATCTTTGGAGAACTCCTCCAGATCAAAGTCTATCTTTTGATAGAGCTTCTTCTCTTCATCGGTTAAGGGAGCCACTGCATCGTACATGCCAGGGACGAGAATTTTACCTCTCTTATCCACCAGAGACCCTACAAAGCACAGAGGACACCGTAATGAGATTTCAATAAAACTGAAGGAGAAGAGTTTTGCCTGCAGTTAAGGATCTTCCCCACACTTCCCCACTTCAGGTCAAGATGTCATCTGAATTCACATGCGGCAGGAGAACTCCTAGTTTACACCGACACAAAACTAAATCAAAACACAGTAAATACATTCTTTATTTACACCCAGACAATTAAAAAAATGTACAATGTTTCACACTTGTGAGGAAGTGGTGTGTTCTGGGGAATCTGACTTCCTTTATAAAGCACCTACAAGGAGATGCCAAGTCTTTCTTTAAGAACATAGTGGAATTCTGCAGGTGTGAACTGAAACAGTTTTGTGGAATGGGCCAAAATACCATCTAACTCCTGTGCAAGTCTGACCAGCAGCTACAGAAACTGTTGGTTGAGGTTACTACCAATAAAGCAGGTTCTACTAGTTACTAAATATAAGGGTTCACATACTTTTTTCGTCAATGACCTTGATTGTTTAAACCATTTGTTCAATAAAGATATGACCATTTAAAATGTGTGTGTTGTTTGTTAAATAAGACTGTATTTATTATTATCAGATTACATTTTAGGAGCCATTGATGCAGAAATCCAGATAATTCCAAAGGGTTCACAAACTTTTTTTCACAACCAAATTTGCTTATGGTACCGTTTAATTTAAATAATGACCATGATTGGGGCTACAAACAGGGTTTGGGACAGGGGTGGTCCTCCTACAATCAAATCCTGGTTACAGGAATGAAAAAAAAACAGGTATTCTGGCAGGAGTGTATATCCCAGAACTCCAGTGGCCCTCTGGGAACAGGCACACCTCTCCCGTGTCAGCGCTGCCTTGCTGACTGGAAGAGCATGTGTAGAGTGATCGCTGATCGGGCGTCAGGTTTTCTGCAAGGCCACAAGCTCAAAAGCTGGGATCACTCACCCATCAGGGCAATGAGGTCAGTCATGGCTTCATGGACCGAACCCCCAAACACTCCCGAGTGGAGGTCTTTGTCAGAGCATTCCACCTGCAGGAAACGAGAGAAGCCCCATACATTACAGCCCAGGGTGAAACTGAACCATTCTCTCACCAAACACGCTTTTCAAAAGATCTGCTGCCCTCTGATCTTTCTTTAAGCTCCCTGGTTTCATGCACATTCAAAACACGCCCATGTCTAATTGTACTCTGCATTAATAGAGGCTGAAGCTAAGAAAAATAAATCATGCGGAAATGAGTTGTAACCGCAAAAGTTGTAATTGGATAAACCACCAAGCTAAATCAGTTCACCTTTTTCATCAATCTATATTAGAGATTGTTATTAATGAAACAAGGTTGGGGGGTTACACTTGAAGATCTTTAGATCTCCACAAACACTGAAAATATAGAGGAATCTTCTTCAGGAAGCCAAATATTTTAACTTGTTCAGACGTGAAGTCTTCCAAGACCAAAATCAAATATTTAAGTCAGTATCAGCAGTGAGGATACATGAGCTTGTCAGTGTCAACTGTCACATAACAGTTTGATATTACTTTTTTTTTTCAGTTTGATATATCACTGCTGCTTAACCAGCTTTCATTTACCTTAGAGGAACTGAATACTGTCAGCAAACAAATACAATCATTTTGATGCTATTTGGAACACAACCCTGATGTAATGTTTTAATTTGTAATTAATTTAACCCTGATTGCTCTGATGTACTGTAACATGATTGAATGCTTAATGATAAAACAAATATGAAAACTACTATTTGATAATTATCTTTTTCATAAAACATTCACTGCATAAACTGCATAAACATTATAAAATGTTTAATAGCACAGACACAGGCATACTGTACATAATATCAAAAAATGTTTGTTTGCCCACTATTTATTCATAATTCACTGGCTTTAATCCTAATCAACATTATTGTAAGCTGCGACAGTTTTGCTCTGTTTGATAAGTCTGTTGTAAACTACACTGACAAACAACTGAATGGAAGCACCACAAGCACAAATATGGTTATACACCCTTAAAAGGCAAGCATTTCAAATATATTCAGTTCGAGACATACCTGTTCGAATTAATGCCAATGCATAATGCTTTGCACTGGGCAGAAGCAAAGGTAAGAACTCTTTCTTAAAAACAGTTTCCTAATCCATGTATGAAATTCCACAAATCCAGGTGTAACAACACCTTTGACACCAGTGCAAGAGACAGAGCCACACAAGCTGGGCATGTCGCATACCTCCACAAAGAAATAGGTGATGCCCCTGAGCCCGTATGTTATACAGGGCTTCTTCTTGCCGAGCCAGTAGTTATCGGAAATGCAGACGTAGTCGACTTCCTTGAAGAAGGTGTCTTTGCGGGAGAACACCAGGTCGTCCAGCCCCTCTGAGCCAGACTCCTCCATACCTTCAAGGCAGAACTTGATGTTGATGGGCAGCTCCTGCAATTGTGAAACAGAAAGCAAATCAAAACCCTTGTGACTATTTAATATCCTTCTTTACTTTACTTTGTTTGGACAAAAGACAAGCTGAAATCAGCTTCTGAACAGACAAAAACAATTTTTAACTGGATGAGACCTCTGTTCCAGCTATAAGATGTAATTCTTATTTTCACTTGGCCCTGTGTTAAGTAACTAATTATTTCCTACTGAACTCAAGCCTATGCTCTTGAAATGCATACCTAAAGCAAGAATTAAAAAAGACCTATACATCCTGCTGGATTGAAGCACCGCAGTCCTGTGTCTTTCTCAACTTCCATTATATTTCCTGATTGCGAGAGTCCCTACTCCCTGAATTTAAGGGATGAGATTATTTCAGTTACCAACCTATTGTACACACATATGGTTATGTAACTTCAGAGAACACTAATGTGTTATGTTGGATTATATTACTTTCATCCAAGTTCCTTATTTTACATTCATTATATTTTCTCTTGCAGTAATCATTCATCATTCCACTTGCTTTCATGCTAAAGCCTGGAAGAGATGAGATGATGCACAGCCTTCCTCTGACGTCTCTGCTAACTGTATGTTGCACATCTTCAGGGGTCACAAGCAGAGCCTAGGCACCATCCTTACCATTAACACAGAGTGACAGAGAGGGGTTGCAAACCCTTGCTAAACTGGCAAAAAGTCTGTCTCTCTGAAGCTCCAGTTTCTATTCCTCAAACACCTAGCATATTCTTAAAAGTTGTAAGAGAACAGTCTCAGAATATATTAAGTTTCTCCTTCAAAGGACTGAACTCCCACAAGTACCTGTTCAACCAAATGTGTTCCATGCTCTGGAAGTTTGCAATAACTTCCACCTACTGGTGTGGGCTGATATTTTAGACTAGCCCCTTCCAGACACAGCACTTAAACAGCCGCTACTATTCCGATACCAGCCACAGTTGCTTACATTGTTCTACAGGATATCTTAAACTTAAAACAATGCGACACTGATGCTTTAAAAATAAATCGTCACTTTCACAAAGTTAATTGGTAAGTGTTATTGACCTAATTTGCTCAAAATATATTGGGTTTACCAATCATAGCCTCCTAATAATCCCCATCTATGAACTGGCTTCATTACTCTGTTCTCCTCCCCACTGATAGCTGGTGTGGGGAGCGTACTACCGCTCTATGGCTGCCGTCGCATCATCTAGGTGGGGCTACACACTGGTGTTGGAGAAGAGTCCCCATTACTTGTAAAGCGCTTTGAATAGAGTGTCCAGAAAAATGCTATATAAGTGTAAGGAATTATTAATTATTATGAAGTAGGTGACCTTTAGATAAAATTAAGACTGGAACCAGAAAATGAATTGATCATTTCTGTTACTTTGTGGTCTAAAATTACTGCTCCAGGGTGAAGACTTTATTTCACCTGTTAAAGCAGTTTTTGAATCCGGAGGCTAAGAACTGGCACTTTTCCCAGCTGCAGTTAACAAAATCCAACAGCAATTACAAATAATCAAGGAATGATAAGATTTTGGCCCGAAGCAAAGCGCAAGCTGCTGAGCCTGGTGATCTGTCTTTGATATGGACAGACCTTTGCACAGCTGTCCTGCCAATGTGGCGCAATGCTGCCCTACCTGCTGTGTCTTCTGATAGGCCTCGATGCAGTTGAACCATGCCAACACTGGTCCTTTGTCGTCTGTAGAGCCGCGTCCAAACAGCTTCCCTGGAACGAAGAATACAGAGCGTTGAAATAAAAACTCAAAGTAAAGGAGTGTTAAAAGTCACCACAAACTCTATATCCCCTTTAACCTTTGGTATCATTTAATGCTTTTATTTCAACGCATTAAATATAGAAGCTGTATCTTCTTCATGTTGAAGAATGTGCACATGTGCACAGGTTAACATGAAATTGCAGCCGATCTTCAGCTCAAGAGCAATTTAGGCGAGTTGCTTTATACTTCAGGAAAGTGCCATCTCTGCTTCCTGTCTGGACCTGTAACCTCATGTACTCAGCTGCTCTGGCTAGGGATGATTTACTGCGCCACATGTCACCTTTATCGCCTCCATCTACTGCTATTACACAAATGTCAAAGCATTCCAGGTCCTGTCATAATGTTCAAGCATTCTTACATTTCAATGTATCTTTTTTTTAGGTGCTTTTTTTAGGTTCTAAAATGATTTTTTAAATGAAAATGAGCTATTATGCAGCATTAAAGCATTTCTCCTAGTGGTTTTATGCAGCCAAGTAAGTGCAGGAGGCAACAGCTATCAGTCTGAACTCAAATCTTCTCTTTTTTCCACTAGGGTGCATGAATGCACTGTCAGCACCACGTTTTTCAATTCAGACTTTGTCAGCTTGCTTAGAACTGCCAGAAGTGGTTTTAACAAAAGATGTTGCAATAGTAAACTACTGTACAATCAATCAGTTGTGTTGCTGTGTCACAAGACTGTGTTGAGTAAGAAACACAAGGCCTGGAAATAATTCCAATTCAGAGCACTGTTGATAAGTTCTTTAAAATAACACTTAAAGCCACTGTAATCAGGAGGTGTATTGAAAGCAACATTTTACAACAGGTTTTTATTGTGATCTGTGCTTTGAGATGCCTCCCACAAAACTTTGGAAATCTCCACTGCACTGCATTAGTTTTGCTAATCTAATGCAATCTAATGATCCTTACACTGCCCTGTACTAAATAGTGAGTATACATTATCACAAAATAATACACAAATACATATGATTGCATAGCAAAGGAGCCACCTCTACTACTTCAGACTGGAGCTGAGTTTCAGTATTCTGCTGAGCTGCACAGGTGAAATTCTGCCAGAAGATATTGCCCTTGAGCTGCAGCCACTGGACTTTGAACAAGTGCGTAGGACACTTAGCTCCTACGAGGAGTGAACTCTGTCACAGCTCCCCCACGGCAGTCAGCTTAACTCAACCAGGTTTGTTTTGTTTAAAACTCTGTAATAGATTAGCACAGCTATGCGGCAATAGGATACACTTTTCACAACCATGTTGGGGTTACAAAACATAAAATTATCAAAAAAAAAACCTTGGTGATGAGCAGTTCAGTTTACCGCTGAAATGCTTAAACAGCATGTCAAGCTGGTGTTGCGTGGAGGGTATAACAGTATTAGGACAAGAACTCATCATGAAGTTCGTGGGTTATTAGGCCTCTTCCTGAGTGACGGGTCTGGGGACCAGTGTGTGTGAGCACAAGTGCTGGGTGTGAAGTCTGAGATACGCGAGGTGCCCAGAAACCCGCAGTGCTCAGAGGCAAATACTGCTCGGCCACGCTATGGATTCCACCAGTCTTACCGTCTCTCTCCACCAGGGTGAAGGGCTCGCTGTCCCAGCCGTCCTCGATGTGGGCAGGCTGCACGTCCAGGTGCCCGTAGATGCACACAGTCTTCTTTCCGGGGTCTGAGCCCAGCTGGCCCAGGATGATGGGCGGCAAGGGAATCTCTGCTCCATCGGGAAGCTGGGAAACAACAGAGGAGTCGCACGTTAACCATGGGACCCACTGTTACCCACGGGATCAAGCCAGCCAGGAACTTGGGGTATGAGGCAATCTTTGTTTATTTGACACTGAAGGCCTATAAAGTCCTATCAGTTTTTCTCTAACTTTAAACTCCGATCTGATTTCTGGAAACCCAGGTTTGAACGGCAACATGAAAAAACATTCTTACAAGTAGTGCTTGCTATCTTTTAGAACTTACATTCCTATGGGGTAGACCATAGTAAAAAATACAGGACAAAGGGTTTAAAGGTGTCCGTTACAGAAGCACTGGTGTAATGTGATCAGAAAGACAGGCTCGGTGCAACCTGCCAGCAGTATTCTCAATATACTAAAACGCTGAAGCCTGCTGAGTTTGCAGACTGATAGAACCACAGATAAGGAATTACTGCAGACAAAGACAGAAACTTATAAAGGAGAGGAGCATCTCTGCATCCTTATCATCTTGGTACATTTTAACTTCACCGATACATTTCCAGGGATAAAAAGCAGCTCTAAGTGCCCAGAGAATTTAGAGCCAATTTACTGCATCCCTGCTTTGATGGGGTTTAAGCTCAATTAAAGACTATCCCAAACTGGACATCAGCTAGATACCCTGAGTGGCAATTTGGTTTGGAAATGCAACCCATAGGAACAACATCTAACTACAGGAGGGGATTTCCTGTGAATTATCTGTAACAACCTAGAAAACACATTGTAACCCACAAGAGTGTGTAAGTTTTAGGTAAATAAGGACCAACCGGTAGAAATACAACATACAAGCTGAAAAGAAACTGCTCTTAAGTACATAACAACAGTTACAAATGAGAGGTGGCCAACTGACCCATCTAGACCTTTCTGTAGTTACCACGAACAGCACCAGCAGCTAGGAGGGTGTGGACATTCTTTTCGATATTTCAAACAATGGGACAACACTTCATAGAGCTGCACAGGTCGGGTTGGCTGCCCAAGAGCCAAAGCTATTTGACTTTGTCTGGCGACACGAAATTAAAACTAAAAGCCACTCTTCCTCCCGGAGCCGAGTGAAGGTCTTGCTGACTTGGCACTCTCACCTTTTGCTTTCCAACGTCCACGAGCTCCACTGATCCGCCCAGCCTCTCAATCTCCTTGGCGGCGATCTCCATCATCTTCCTGATCTCTCCCCTCTTCTCCGGCCAGGCCGACACGCTCTGCACAGCCACCCATTGTGCCAGCCGCTGTGAATGGAGGAATAGGGCACAAGTGAGATGCAGGTATGGTCAGATTCACAGAGAAACACGGCCAGTAAAAGGAGCAGCAGGCTGAGTGCCAAATGCAGAGCTATGAAAAAACAAAGCATGTTTGGCCAATAGCTGATATAGTCACTGCCAACTGGTATATAATATATTATATATATCAACATATATTGATTTGGTTGCACAACCCTGAATTCACAACCAGGCCTTACACACACCAAGGGGTATATTCTACACTTTTCATTCCAGAAAAGGAAAGTCAAAGAACTGGGTTAACAACTTCAGGATGTTTACAGGCCCAGAAATTGCAGAAGGTATGTTGTTGCTTTTCAACTCTACAAAAACTGCTTTATTTCTCATTTAGATCAAACAAAAGTACTGCCATCATTTTGAATGTATTTGGATACAAAGATATGGAGCTCAAATACAGAATTTGTTTTAGTGGGGGAAAAAAGCATGAAACATATTTTAGAGCCTTTAAGAATCCATCCAAGCAAACTGTAAGCTGGTAAATTCAAAGAGCACTGAGAACAACCACAGAATACTGCACAATGTTTCCAAAAAGCTCCTGGCCAGAAAGTTGATAAAATAATTCAAACTAGTAAAAAAAATATGCAAGAATTTTATTTCTGTACAAAATCCTACAACCTATAAGGTTCCATAAACACACTGAAGAGAAATGAAAAGGCAGCTCTTTCATTGTTAAAAGCTGTGTTAATATCACTATTTCCTCAAAAGTCACGCGAAGGTCCTCATCTCACAAAAGCGCGGATGTTGCACGTATTGTCAAAAAAAGCACATGACTGGCTTCAGCTTTTCCTGTCACACCATCTGCCAGGCGTCTACATTGCAGTGTAGTAAATGAGGAGTGTGTCAGTCGAAGTGCAATTCTGTTAAGAGCAAACATCAAAATGCTACACAGCTTTGGAAATTTTCCTCAGAACAATATTTCATGGTACTGTGCAGAGCTATATTGCTTTGTAATCTTTGTTATGTTTAGCAGTGTACAGTTACTGCTACAGCCTATCTAGCATGAAACGTCTTACCTCTACGTACACATCCTGATGCTCATCAATGTACTTGAACAAAGAGTGGAGGCCAGACATCTTTTACGACAGATTAGTCAGGATCGGAGGAGGGAAAGCAGCACTGAGTGTCAGGAGCGCAGCTGGAAAGTGAGAGAAAGCAAAACCAGATTTCTTTCCTCATTTATACATACTTGAGGATACAGCTCCACCCCTGTTTTAAAACTCCCTGCTGACACTCACAGTAACAGCCAAAGAAAAATCTCAGACCTGCAAAATTTGACAAGGCTGCTGTCTGTGGTTAAACAGTAACTTCCCTCACAGCCTGACGTGCCCAACGACCCTTGGTCTCAATTAAATCACTGATTACCTGCATGCTATCGGTACCGACAAAGAAGAGCCCATACTAGCCCCTACCAGTTTCTCCTGTCTCAGCAAGCACTTAATACCTGTAATACAAATCAATTGGACCGCAACACCAATCAGAGCACATTAAACAGTGCTGTCATCTTCAGCGCTCTCTGGTGGAGATTCTGGATTGGGGTGTCAATGAATTGTCTTGAGGTTTAATCTTCTCTTGAAATGGGATATTTTATTAAATTAGATGAAGGCATTTAAAGCACTAAATCATATGATAATTTCAACAAAAGAGCGCTGATGTTCTTTATTTTCTCTCACTCCAAAAGAAAGACATAATAAATCCCAAATCCCAATTTCCTCTTGGAGCAGGTTGTTACAGGGCAGGCTATAAAAATACTGTCACTGTTACACTAGGGATTCCTGAATTCTTTCATTCCTACACTACCTCAAAGGAACAGTGCATTTTTGACAGAATTAATATTTGAAGTTTAAAAACTCATTTTAAGAAACCCACTTTTGTTATCTTCTCATTTTTTAAAACTCAAATTATTAGAACAAAGGTACTTCTTAAAAAACAATGAATGTACTGAGACTACAAACATCAATCACAAAGAAAAACAAGTATAAAAAGTGACAAGACTGCCCTGCAGCTGAAAATTGTCACGGATGCAGATAACATGAATTGATGTAAACACAGAGGCAAACAGAAAACAGCTCATGAACATTAGAAATACTGAAAAGATGGTACTGAACCTTATAGCACCAGTCAAGCACCTTTGAGTACAGTTTCACCCATGGGAGAACAAAAGCTTTGAACAGGCAGTAAAAAAAAAAAAACTGGAATTAAGCCTAAGGGTGGTAATGCCACAGCACATTAAGAAATGCTGCAGTTCTGGGAAGATCTGAGACAGCACACTTTGTGTTGTGCAACAAGTAAAAAGAAGAGAATCTGCACATTAGCAGGGAGCTGAGTGAATCACAGTGTCCTACCATCCAGTAGGGAGGGAAGTGATCAGTATCCCTCATAGAACTGGCACACTAGGACATCAACTACAGGCAGAGGCTCAGAGCCAGCATATCCCAGACCCAGGACAGCTGGGGTCTCTTAACTGCTGCGTCATACTGAGAGTGCCAATTCATCAGGATGCTTCAGTATACGTTCCCAGCATCACTACAAGTACAGTGGCTTACATCAGAATGGTTACAGAAGAGAGGAGGCCATTAAGCCCATCGGTAGTTAGTTGATAAATGATCCTATGATCTCATCCAGCCGTTTCTTGAAGGAAACAAGGTGTCGGCTGCAATCACATGGTTGGGGAGCTTGTTGCACACTCCTCCAACCTCCCATCAATTAGCCTATTCCTGTAGAACAGGCTCCCACTTCCTCTGAGTAACCAGAGAGAGGGATGGGGAGAGGTCACTTTTCTGTGAACACAATCTAGTGAGTTTATAAACAGCACATTCATAGATTTCAAACAGTGAAACAAAACCCTGTCAGCATTACTTTAAGACCCAGGGGCCTGATACACAGGTTTGCTGGAAGCTATTTACTGTGCCTATCATCCAGCTGAGTTTCCTGTTCCTCAGAGAAAGATCACCTGTTTTTTTACATGCACAGCTCACTGCAAATGAGCAACTGGGGAAATGGGGCTGAATGATGCAAATAGCACACTGAAAACAAATTAAAGACACATTTAAGATATGACATCGTAACAATGCCTCCGCTGGTATTATCTGTATCTATTAAAACAATAAATGTATTTCATACACGTAGCTACTGGTCAATCTCCTGACTTCTCTCAGGTCCTTGCCATTTCTGACTTTTTTTCCACAAAAGAATTTGACGAGCTTTACTGAGAGGTCCAGCCAGCAGTCCTGTAGGGTTATAAAAAAGAAGCTTAAACCATGAAATTGGAGGAACAGGCGGACATTTGTCGGTTTTTGTGTTTTTTTAACCGTCCTCCGAGCCACCCCGAAAACTGAAAAAGCTGATGACCCGCTAGGTAGACCTTCATCTGGTTAGGTGTGTTGGACTGCATACTCCACGCATTTAGCTCGTATTTAAATTGTACAGAGTATAGTTGCATGGGTTTAAAGTTAGACGTATAGACTCAGCAAATAGTGAAATATAAAAATAATAAACAACCATTAACATGAGTTCTGCCACCTGAAGAAATGAAACCACCGAGTGGAACCGATCTTGCTAAACACAAATGCACGGTAACAAGCAGTTACCGTGTCATTTAACAGCGGTTCTTGATAAATTCTTAACATTTCGTCCCTATAGTACAGAGGTACTTTCACACCTAGACCCCAAATGCATCTATGCAAAAAAAAACTGACTCTTGTAGAAGAAAACCCTGTTCTTTGAATGGCGGAGACCCATCCCACTGAGCAACACTTAGTCATCCTCAAGTCCAAGTTCTCTGCCCGGCCTGCTGTCCTCCACTCGCAGCACAGACTTCACAGTAACTTAGAGCACCCGCTAGTGTAACACCTCACATCCTCTTCTGAAGTCTAGTCTTTGTCGGCACCACAGCATCAGGAATTACACGCTGCATTTAAAGCCATAAAGCAGTTTTTTTTACATTGTCTTTTACATTTGGTAATAACAGAACACGGTTCATCAGTACAGTTCAAGACAAAACCGGTACAGCACGTGTGGTTTGCTTTAATAATGCTGCGCACTGAAGATGAATTCATGTCTATTATTATAATATCAGCTCGCGATATACTATATTAAATATCACAGCTATCTTTCATTACTCACCCAGCAACACACGACCAAGTTACAAGACGAAAAAGACACGTGATGCTGCCTGTTTAGCATAAACTCCTACCCCTTGCGTGACGATCGCCAGCCTCGGCGACTGACAGCTGCTTTAGCCTATTGAAACACCACAACGGCAGTAAGCGTTTTTACCCACCTAGGGTAAGTCTTCCAGGTGGTTTGTGTTAATTGTGATTACTGGGAGAATTTCATTTAGAACAGTAGGTTTCCAGGTATCTGGAAAATAATTTGAAATACTTATTTACTGGTTAAGTGAAGGGTGGCATGGTGGTGCAGTGGATGTCATTGCTGCCTCTCAGTGCTGGGATCCTGGGTTTCTGGAGTGCTATCTGTATGGAGTTTGTATGTTCTCTCCGTGTTTACATGGGTTTCCTCCAGGTGCTCCAGTTTTCTCCAACAGTCCAGAGACATAGCAGCACGTTAATTGGCTTTTGAGAAAACTGTCTATGGGGTGAGTGTAAGAGTATCTGTGTGTGCACTGCAAGGGACTGGAGTCCAGGCTGTATTCTGCTTTGTGCCTGTTGCTTGCCAGGATGGGTACTGCCTCTCCCCTGAACCTGTACTGAATAAAGCAGTTAGAAAATGAATGGATGCACCTAACGGATGGACTTGACTAGCCCACTAGTAAAGTCTGTCTATTACATGAATCCATCCATTTTCTAACCCAGAGTGACCCAGGTCACTCTGCTTTGTGCAGTCTGCGACAGAAATTCCTCACCAGTCAGTGAGTCAAAAAAGATTTGTGTGATAGCACCTCGTCTACACCTTCTAAACACTAAGGGGAAGCATTAAAAAAGGCCAACAAAAAGTAAATTAAAGGTATCAAATTTAAAACAAGAGAAGCTACTGTATGTTGAAATTGTATATAAGGCCCCATTTAGAATATGGTGTAAATCTATGGTCACCACATTCTTAAATGGATATTGCTGCAGAGGAATCTGACCAGAGAAAAACAACCAGATGTATTCTGGGAATGTTCTTCACTGACAGGCTGAAGGAACTGTTCCTTTCAGGTTTTGAAAGGGGAAGACTATGAGAGAATCTGATATTCAATTCATAAAAGGCAATAATGACAATGTCAACCTAACTCAATAGATTTTTACAGAATTAACAGAGAAAATATGAACCAGAGGACACAGGAGAAATTATGTGGAAGGGCATTTGAAACCGAGAACAGGAGGAACTTCTTTACACATGAAACAAGCTGCCCAGCCATGTTATGGAAGTTCATAATCTTGCTTAACGAAATGGCTGTATGACATCTTTGGATGAAAGAGCTAGTAGCAATTAAAGAGCTTATCTGTCCAATCAGCCTTCTCTCATCTGTAACTATTCTCATGTCCACAGTGTATATTAGTGATTTGGGGCTCTGGGTCCAGACTGGAGCGTCGTGAGATTAAATCCCAGGTGGGATGATAGTATTGTATTTTTGAGGGGTGTACAGTACTCAGATTGTTTCAGGGGATGTTCGACTGTATATATACTGTAGAACTCCAGGTCACCATTGTAAACTGCTTAATTAACCTGGTAAAATCCAAAATCTATATAGTCACCCAGATATTCATCATAACTCCACCTGGCTAATTCCCTGAGGACTTGTTGTCAGTCTGGAAATACAGAAGAGAACCTTTTCTCTGTAACAACTGTGCTACGTTTGATGCTCACTAGAATGATTATAATGCTTGATGCACTATATCTGACGTGATCTCGTATACCAGTTGAATAAAAATATCAATGACAACATCTCTGAAAATGATAGGGACTGAAACTTCTTATGTATTCTGATTTTTTAGTAATGTCTGCCTTTTTGGTTTGAAATGCCCAGCCCTCCTTGATAAACTCAGTATTACTGTCCCTGCAAGTTTATTTGGTCACCATGACAACAGCTACATCATCATGCTGCATCACAGCTCTCCATGCTTGTGATGTCATCAGAACCCTTGACATGAAGGTTCCAATCTTTTAAAAGCAGAAACCCAGAGGTAAACTGGGCATTTAGTGTCTGGCTACCATAGTAAAAGGATGCAGGCTGTGAAGAGTCTACTGGCAGCTTTTGGGCTCCTAGTGTGGGGAGGGCAGTTTGCTAATGAAAAGAGTGTCCCAGTCTCTGTAGAGCTCCGCTTGGTGCCCACTGAGGCTGAACTGCTGATCAGACAGGAGGAGGAGCTGTGGGGGCTGGAGAAGGACAAACAGAAGACTGGGCAGCTCACAGTGGAAGAAACACTGGTAGGAAACAACAGGCCAAATAACTTCTCTTTCTGCTTCAAAGGCAGAGTAAAAACAATTTAAGAAGCTATTTTCTACCATGATAAATAACTAAAAAATAGGTACTATGAATTCAATGGAACATCTTCATATCTGGGATAAAACACACTTTACAGACTACAACTCTATTTTCCTAAATTCCTCAGAATTTCCTCATTTAATCTATTCAAATTTACTTCTATTACTGTCAGATTCAGGTCAACAACAGGAAGGGAGAGGAACCCAATGGACCAAAACTGGCCTTTGACCCCAAAGCTGCCGCCAGTGCAGCCCAGGGGAAGAGCTCTGAGAGCTGGGCCCAGATGATCAGGACCCTGGACCCCTTGTCCACAGAGACAGTGATGGCAGGCTGCCGTCTGTGTGTGGAGCACAGTGGGCTCCTTCACCTCCTGTGCTGTGTCCTGGTCTGGATCAAGAGGCGTCTCACACAGAAACGGGTCAGAGTCTCTATGGTCAGACTTGATATAACTCCACTTCAGTCTTAGGAACACGCGCAATTCAGTCACTGAATGATCCTCATACTCATGGAAACACACACAGGATACAGAACAGGACAGGATGAACACATGACCCATCCTTTTCATGTTGTCTTCAGGGCTTCATATCTGCTAAATTATATTGGCTTTACAGAAGTTATGTTTTGAGTAGGACCCTACTGAGCCCAGACTGATACTGTCTATAACCCCATTCTACTAGTTCAATGACTTGACTTCAAATTAGATTTGGCCATGAAAGAGAAGAGTACTGTCTAATATTTGTATCTTTGTGCTGCAGAATCGACCCTGCTCAGGCTGTCAGCAGAAAGAAGAGAGGGAGAGACAGAGAGCTACTGGATACTAGAGCCCCACCCCTCACACCCAGCTCACACAGCACACCAAGAAGATGAGCAGCAGGGGGAAGTCACCTTCATAGACTGACACTGTCCAGGAGAGAACACCAGGGGCAGTGCCTGAAGTCTGTCCTTACTGAAGAACATCAGTGCTCTGCAATTATTTCATACTAACTATTAAACAACTATTGTTTCTTTTAGTGACATCTGAATTTATTACATCTTTTGTGTTCTTTTTATGTGAGATCTAGTTATCCACAGCTACTGTATAAGAGACTTCACATTTCTGTAGCTGTATAATGCAGTATGGGCTGTATCAATTTAAGACACTGCAACTCCATCCTTCACGTAAGTCACCCTTCCATCATGAATGTTTAAATTGTTCAAATGTAATTGGTGGAGTACTAATTAGAATGAATGTATTAGAAACAGTTTTCATCCCAATTCATATCAATGATCTAGATTCTGCTATAGTTAGCAGAATCTAGATTCTTCTATAGTTAGTAAACTGATAACATTTGATTCAAACATAGAACTACTGTAGCAAACTGTAGGAGCAACAAATGAAAGTTAAAATAATGAAGATGCAATTCAAAATTGGGAAAACACTGGGCAGATGACATTTCGCAATCAGGTGCTGGGATTTGTTTGGAATCAATACCAGCAAAAAGTGTTAGCAGAAAACAGGAACCCCTGAACTAGAAGCTCCTAGCTGTGAGAAAGACATAGGAGTTTATGTTGACACACTGCTTCCATCTTTCAGATAATGCGGAGAAGGAATAAAAAAAGCAAACAGTATCTAAAAAAGATACTGAAGATGGCTTTACGTGGTTTTACATATTCAGCGTAAATCCCAGAAGACAGAAATGGAAACTACAGAAGTGCATTTAAACACTGGGAATTATTTCATGTAAACGCAAAGTATTGTGGGAGTTTGTAACCCAGCCATGGGTACCATAAGAAACTGATCCCCTGGCTACTGAACAACCAGAAGAACTGTGTTGGACGAATGGCCTACTCTTGTCTATAAACGTTCTTATGTTCTAATGAAGCACTTTGTGTTTTTGGCAAGCCAGTTTTCTTTATAAAATACAGGTTATGAGTTTCACTGAAGAACAACAGTCGAGATGAGGCAATCATAAAAAAAATCAGTGTTTTATTTATTAATGACAGCAATTGTATTTTATTCCACAGCACAAACCACACTGAAAGGCCCAGCCTGAGCAGCTGCTGTCGATTCCCTGCAACAGCAAGAGCTGTTCGGGATGAGAACTTGCTCACAAGAAGAGCTTGTCTAAGTAAGAAAATCATTATATTAATTGAAGAACTGGTGTCTCGCATGAGAACTAAACCCAGAGGACCTCAGGCCCTCCAGGAACTGGGTGCGAGACCCAGGGTCACATACAAATGGTCAAAGGCCGAGAACAATTTCAAAACTCAGGAAGTCATTAAAGTTAGCTGTAAGTCAGTCAAGTGTTCAATTTCAGTGGACGTTAAAGTAGGAAACTGACGCCTCTCTACAAATGAAAATAAACAGATGTGCATAAATGCACAAATTATACGTTTTGCTTTTCCTGATCAGACTGGTGCTGGTGTTGGTGAATGTTAGTGTAAAACCAGCTCTTGAAACCATTGTATAAAGCTAAAACAGAATACACAGCCCCTGGTTGCATTATAATGTCTATAAAGTAGAAAGTTGCAGTGCAAGAAAAGTTGTCTTCAGTCCTCAGAATACTCATCAAATCAGCAAAATTCATGTTTTTAGGCACATCAATCCAAACATGTATGTTTATAGCTTATTGGGTGCAGAATCAAGGATTTTCTCAACAATGCACATTATTTATCACAGTAGACAAGAAACAGTTGTACCTCTCTGTCATTATATTCTTTTAGCATTAATCTGCCATAGGCAGTGATCATTGTTTCAGAACAGACACCAAGCGGGGATCTTTTGTCCTTTCCATCAGCTCCTGAGTGCTGCTGCTTTTTGGAACAACAGCTGAGCAGCACACAAAGTCCGCATCGCAAAGTCCGTTTCAGCTGCTTGAGGGGTATTGTCTGAGCAAGTACAAGGCCCACATCAGTTTGCCATTGCTTTCATCTGCTACCCCATCCAGGATCTCCGCATCGCAGTCTGGTCAGCTTTTCTTGGGATGAAAGAGATTTACCACATTTCCAGGAATTGGCAGCAGTTTTTGTTTTCAGATGGAATGAACCCTTTCTCTTCTCTTTGTCCTCTTGACAAACAGACAGACCGCCAGAGATTTTAAATCAGTCTTTTCTTTATCCTTCTCTCAGTGTATCTCTGTGATGTTCCTCTGCGTCGGCCTCTGTCCATCCTCCTGAGGCTGTCTCCCACAAGGCCAGACATGGCCAACTCGGAGCAGAATCCCGAGAGAACTTACTTCCACCCCTGCTCTCTTCTCTCTTGTCCTGTCCTAGAAGCCAGGTAGACTGATATTCTGAACAGCCCAGTACTGTCAAACCCAGAAATCCTCAGGTTGGCACAGCTTTCCACCAGTGGGCTGTGTTTCTCCACCACTCTGATTGGTCACCAGAATCGTCTCCAGAGCCGTCTTCTGCTGATCCATCTTCAGAACCTGTTTCACCTGCGGTCCACTGCCTCTCAGCACATTCTTCACACACCTCTGAGAGAGCACAACGATGTATCAGCACACGCTCAAGAGCTGATGTTTCTCTTCACACATTGTGACTTTCACAGCACAACCACGATATTAATATTTATAATTAGATTTAGCAACCAGGCATTACAAAACAATTCCATTTCATTATCTGTCAATTTCCAGCTTTTTTTTTTAATGCTGTTGTTTTATTTAGCCATTGATTTTCAGGCACTGGTTAATCACAATCACTGCCTTGCTTTCCCACACACAATCCTCTAGGACCTTTTACACTTGCCTCAGTTATTTTAGAAATTCTTTCAGCGCTCTCAATAACTTCATAAGCCAATATTACTGTGTGGCCAAGTGCCATTTCCAATAATTTAACAGCAAAGTGTATTCTACCCTACGCAAATCCCTAAATCCCTAAATTGACAAGAAACTTACCCAGCATAAAAAACAGACGAGGAACGAAACTGCAAGCCACAGTACTCGGACCACAACCTCCCAGACAGCATCCAAGTAGTTGGTTTTTATTTCATCAGTGCAACCTACAATAGCAAAAAAAGAAAGCTGTTAGTTTTGAATAACGTGAAGGCTTCTCTAAATAAATCGCTAGACCTTTCAGAATGTTCCCTTTTTTTCTTTGAAATATATGGGTTTTTTTTTTCTAATAAAGGAACTTCATTAAAATGGCAAAAACAATCAGGCCCGTTTTTCCTGCTTTCAGGACAGGTTGTGCTGTTACTCTGGTGAACCGGTCTGGTGCGCTGTTCCTTCATATTAAACAGCATGACCTCAGAGAGATGCAGCGTGCTCTAATGTTCAGTCCGGCTATGAAGGACCTCAGTCAGCGAGGGAGGGACCATGCAGTTTTCCAGTGAGTGACTGGAACAGCAGCACTCAGTCTCTGCCAGGGTATTTGTTGCCTGCTGAACCAAGAGACTGAGCAGGGCCCACCCTGGGTCTTTTAGTAGACAATTAGTGTCCACACTCAACACATGGCAAGATATTACTGGCATGTTTTTATCAGCTGCTGTTGGACGGTCGAGTTCTGTCTGTTTCAGTACCAGACAATCTAAAATTTAAAGTATTGGAATTTGTATAGTCTGGTATGAGACCCAGGTACTCCTCCTCAATATGAGCAAACTGTTGCTCACTTTCCTTTAATGTCCCACATACAAAAGCCTTAGTTTGCCTGAGAGCTTCCTGCCTGGTTAACCGGACGTGTACAACCCTCAACATAAGTCCAGTGTTGGCTGTGTGCTCAGGGTTTTCCCAATGTCCTTGGCAAACTGGTAATCAGATTTCATAACTTCAACATTGAGGATTACTGGCTGACAAGGATTCCAACAACTTGATGTTTAACAGTTTCCTTCCAATGTCTGACATGACAAATGTGCCCATACTGGTATCCCTTTTAGTCCAGTTCGATCAAGCAAGTCTAATAAATCCACACTGACCAGGATCAGCTCTGGTGGATAATGAGCGAGCAATTTAAATCTAGAAACGTTAGCAATTCTCATCTGGGTCTGATCCTCAGCAGCAAAGCCATGACGCCACTATACAAGACCTCACACTCTGCAAACGCAAGAGCAGCTCTGGTGAATGATGTGTACCCAGCTCTCCAGACGGGAACAGCAGAAGCCAAAGGATTTCACTCCGCAGATACTCACCAGTCACTCGGAGAGAGATGTAGCCTTCCTTGTTCTGCTTTCCCAGTGGAGCCGACAGAAAGCAGCTGTACTTCCCACTGTCCTCCTCTGTGATATTCCTCAGAACCAGGCTGAGGGACCCATCTTGGAGCAATTCCACTGTTCGGTTGAAGCCAATGTACTTCCTCGAGGAATTTTTCAACAAGTTGTTTTTGATGACCCCAGTTAACAGCGGATTAAGGCCTTCGGTTACCTAAAATAAAAATAAGAAGAAAATCTTACTATGGGTCCTCCGTTAGATTCCCCCTACCCCAATCATAAGGTGACAGAAGCAGATCAGTTCGAACTGTTCGATCAGTCTCGAGCCGTGAGTATATATCCTAAAAAACTCAGGCGCACCACACTTTTTCAGAGAAGGAGAAACTGAACACCGTTTTATCCTGTATTACACTACCGCTACCTGGGACAAGGAAAGTGTTCAACAAACGTCTCTTCTAAAATCGAGGAGATTAAGAAAATCCGTGAATAACTGTTTCAGATTAAGGAGGCAATTACTGTACTTTTAAAACGGAATTAAACATTCTTTGCGGCTGAATCAACTGAACAACTGAATCACTGCGCGTTCACAAAGTATTTTATATTTATGTCTTGCTGTCAAGGCAAAGGCATCCTTTGCGACTAAATAAAAGTGGAACCGCGCTTTAGATGAGCTACAGTAAATCAGCTAAATGAGCTAAAACGGGTGCACGGTACAGGGACAGAATGGACCGCTGGCCCTTCAGCGTGCCTCACCTTGTACCAGCTCACGCTCCTGTACTGGACCCCGGGCTCGGGGGTGACAACACAGGTCAGCACGGTGTCGCCTCCGCAGCTCTCTTCCACCTCCAGCACCGGGGCGCCTGAGGAAGGGACGCCAATCAAGCCTGAAATGAAAAGCGCGTTGATCAAACTCCGTTGCGCGGAAAAAAAAAATGACAATACAGAAAAAAAAACAGGTCAAACACATCTATCTTACCGCTGACAAAAACGAGGGTCGGTAGGAACCACATCTTTTCTGCACCGCCTCACAGAAAGTAAAGTGAAATGATGAGACACGGAGGACCTACAGCGATATAAACAGCCTTGGTGACGTCAGGGGGAATACCTACTGTAGCGGCGGGGCTGAGGCTGTCCTAAAGTTCAATATACTCTTTCTTATCGACCTTAAGAACTCCTGTAGAGCCGATTAGAAATGAACTCGCTTTTAGCTTCTGGAGTTTTTCTTTTGTTTCAAGGTAAGCGACTTAATAGCATCCGCTTATGAAAGTAGAGACTTATAATTGACCAAAAATAAAATCCGTATAAATTATATACAAGTAAAATCAGCCGTGGGTTAAGGTTTTAAACTACTCTATTGCACAGGTATTATTTCTATGTGTAAACTGTAATCCGAACATTTCAAAAGCGCATTTCGAAAACGTCGTTTGGAACGGAGATTAGTTGCACTGCAATTCTGACTTTTGCAGAGTAGAACATGTACTGTAGGCGAACCTGGTGTAATCTAATTTTAAACTGGGGAACTGGGAGAGGAGAGATTCGCCTACGCCGCTGTGTTTCGGTATGTGTGACTGTGTGACGTAGCCGGTCACGAGTTCCGCTTGCTCGCTGGCTGCTTGTCATTAACTGCGGGGGGTTATGTGTGATCTCGTCTCGTGAGATTAATTAAGCAAATAAGATCATCAATCAGTTCCTTAATGGATAATTAATAAAAATAAGATTAACATTAAAGCATGGCTGACAGGACGCATTCTTGTTTACAATAATTAGGCAGATAAATTTCCCAATGAAAGTACCTCCCTACACAAGTTAACAATGGGGATTTCCCCTAAAAGGACTTTTCTGAGTCACAAAGATTTAAAAATTCCCCTTTTAGACGTTGTTTTGTAAAATACTACTGAATGCTTTAAATATCTTATTGTTTTTAATTGAAATTTTCCATTCATATTGTTTTCCAAGTAATTCTAGTCTGATTTAACCTTTATAGGCTATGGTTTATGTGAAATGAATGCAGGCGGTGTAAGGGCACGGGATATTAATAATTACACATCTCCTAATCGCCTTATTTATAACGACGAAGTTAACGACGACCATTCGTCCCTGCTGTTTTGTTCGTCCTCCATCAGAAACACCGCCGTTTCAAATTGGAGCAGAAGCATTTTTCAAAAATAATTTCTTATCTGGGCGTTGCGCTTTCAGAACACAACACCGGTTCTGAGGTTAAATGCTGACTTTGCTCACCTTTAGTTTACCATTCACTGAAGATCGCTTAGCCACCACATTCAAAAACACAGGTCCATATAAACCTTGAGGGTGAATTCAGTTTATTGTACTCAATCTTTTCTGAGTTTGAACACTTCAGAATAGTGTTCACGTATGCCAGACTTTATTATGTTTTATCATAACAAGACGTACACTATGATCTATAACTTAGTTTTACTGTTTGTTACTCTAGTACATGTTCCCTTTATAATTAAAATGAGCAAAAGTGTATACAGTATATTACTGTATTTAAGTCAACTCTGTGGAGGGTGTTGTTTCTTGTTGTGCCCATAAATACAATAATCCCCCCACTTGACTGTCTCTTAATTTGCTAAACTGACATTTGCAGCATTTGCTAGTTAGAAAAGGTGTAAAAAATAACCTTTTTCCAGTTTTCTTTCAAGCACAAAACAGCTTGAAGCAGGTGGAGCGTCTAAGGTGGAGTGTAAATTCTGTACCTGTACAAGGTCAATACTTTATTACCATATCAACTTGTTGCATGGAATTTGGTAAAAAAAATATTCAAGAGAGACACAGGACTCAAACCAGGGTCGAAGGGTTGGAGAAAAGTCAGTAGTTCAGCTGATTGAGCTATACTTTCTGCCAACATTACTGATAACTTGTTTCTTACTGATATCACTGATATCCCCTTTCTTTCAGCGCTATGCACCTCGGTCATCATTGAAAAGTACAGAGAATATTTTTGCCCAGACGGAGAGCACATATATGAAGTGTCCTACCTGCTTGAAGACTACAGGATTGAGCACTGTGAGCAGACATGGACTCTGAAGACAAGTGTAAGACTTCCTGTCCACAATAACACTGTTCTTGAAGAGCCTCATGTCAGCTGTATGACCTTTCTGAAGACCATGCTGTTAACAACCGCTGAAGGGTCAGAGTGTTAAAAGGGGTCTTGTCAAGGACGCACTAGAATGCTGAACCTGCTGTGCAATTTGATATGCAACCTTAGTGTTCTTTTGAAAGAAACGAGGTCAGACAAGCACAGCACAGCTTTCTGCTGCTTGGTCTTTTATGGTTTTAGCAGTCCTAAAACATACATTACAGTAGCCTCTTTGTTCCATGATCAATCTCTACCAATCAAGCTTCATTTATCCTGTAATATTGAATGTGGAACTGGTGTTAAGAGATTTACTGTAAGAGCAGGTCGATTGTGTGTTAATACAGTGTTGATCTGAGAAATTAGTGGAGTGAGGTGGCAGCATTGTGGCACAGTGGTTAGGGCCACAGTTCAATTCCAGAGCCGTGTGGAGTTTGCATGTTTTCCCTGTGTTTGTGTGGATTTTCTCCAGGTGCTCTAGTTTAAATCCCACAGTCCAAAAACTTACTGGTAAGTTGATTGGCTTCTGGGATAAACTGTTCCTAATGTGAATGTGTGCGTGTTTGTGTCTGTCTGCCCTGCAGTGGGCTGACATCGTGTCCAGGTGTACCCTGCCTTACACCCATTGCTTGCTAGGATAAGCTCCACCTCCGCTGTAATGTTGAATTGGAAGAATTGGTTTAAAGATGGATGATTGAACTACTGTAGATTGAGGGTGAAAAGATCCCTTTTGTCTATAGAAATCCCCAGGACTGTGTTCATTATCTTCAGCATAATCTTCAGCATAAGAGGATTTTGAAAGATGGGAACCCATTCAGTGTTTCTGCTCTGTTCAAATTTGTTGGGGGTACAGGACAACAGGTACCATTCTTTACTTTAGACAACTGTAACATGTAACACATTTGTTACATATGGTATATCTGACCATGTCTCACAATGTCTAAAATGTCATTGTGTGACAGTGAAACGTAATAAAATTCATAGCAGCAGAAATACATTACACATGTGCTCAAACTTTCTACAGTATCTTGTACAGTATATGCACAAGCAAATGTCTGCTTGCATTAGTGTGACTTTCTTCCTGATTTACAGAATTCTCCAGTCTCAATTTTCCACAACAAGAGTGAATGCAGGAGTCCCTGTACATGGTCCACTTCTGGGAAGATCCAGCTCAACCAGTGTGTAGATCTCACTCTCACTGTTGTGTGCTCTGAGGATACAGTAAGTTGCTGCTAGATGTACTGATTTCTGGAAACACGGGTTTCTGGATTTTCTAACAAGTTACAGGAAAAAGATATAAACAAATCAAGAAAACTCCATTCCAAATTTACATAATACTTTCATGAAAACCCCAGAGGTCAGTGGACAGTGTCTGCAAAGGATGGAAACTTAGTACATATAGTTTTGATTTTATTTTCGCTTTAAAATGTAAAATATTACAAACATCCAATTGGATGACTAGACGCTCAGTGGCAGACGATACACGATTGCCTCAAGAAGCCAATTTTGTCGCCTTTGCTGGCGAGAATAATCCCCAGATCACAGATGTTAGTCTTACAAACTATGACCCTCATTGCAGCCTCAGCTAAACGTGATCCTGTTATCAGAGTGAGACTAGACTGGGCAGAAAATATTTCTGAAACTTGTGGAATATATCCCACACCCAGTCCAAGCTGCTGGTACTGCTCACAGAGGCTCAACAAGGTATTTGGAGGGAGTGACTAAAAAATGAGATCTTATACTTTGAGTTAAAAGGCGTGTCATTTTTACTTGACCTGTGTTTGTACCTTTTCAGAACACCTGGAAGGAAGTCAGAGTGCATTTCAATGGTGGGTAACATTTTTTTCATTTCACAGGTGATTGAAAAGAAAATCTTGTGCCCATGAAATGTGGAATAAAACCATACTGATCAAACCTGATTAAAAACAGATAACTAAACACTGTTGACTGCAATTATCCTGGAGGATGTTTGTTAATATCTACTCTATTTTTGTTTGATAATCATATAGATAGACTTCATTTTTGAAACTGGAGGTTCTCAGTGTTGGTGGGGGCACATGATGTATTCTTTGCATTTTTATTTTCTCTTAAACAGAAACATTTTTTGTGTATTTCAGGTAAGAAAGTCAAAGGCTTTGGACAGAACAAACGCATAGGTATAGTAGTACCTTTTATTTGATACCATACCTTATTGTGGCCTTCCTACTGTGGATGTTGATACTGTAGCGTCCACTCTCAGATGGAGCACTTCATACCTCTTTTAGTGAACATTGAAAGTTAACAACTCAAAGTACATTTTTGTCACATGCTGTTTGCTCTTAGGCCAGCCTATAGTTTTTCTGTAATTAAAGCTAAGTTATAGATCTGTCTAATTGAAAGATGATGTACCTGAAAACAGCATTGACAGTCAGTTATGGTCATTCGTGATCATCAAGAGCCTTCACAACCATGACCCATGGACATCAGAAGGTCTTCTAGTGATTTCAATGCATGCATCCAATTACTGTATTTGTTTTAGTACCAGATACTGCATTACCAGATACTTACCCCTCTACTTGAAATGAATAACATACTGTGGATGCGTCTTAAAATATTTAGATGGTGGTGAGTTTTATTCTTGACTGTCACTAGTAAGATATTTTGTTCACAGTGATTTCAGTGCAGACGTAAAATTGTTGTGGATGGTGTTAAATATTTTTTCTTTCTGTTTTTCAGGACTTTGTCTCAGCGTGGGTCTGTTTGCAGTTGTTCTTTTTATATTGGTATGTTCTGCAAGAATAAGGGATCCTTGATATAAGTATCATACAATGTGATACTTCACTGCTTGGAGCCAAATATTGTACATGTATACATTTGTGGGGAATTGTCGGTTAATGTTAAGACTCAGTTCTCTGACAGTGACTCCCATACAGCACTGTGCCTGGCAGGAAAGTCAGGGCTTTCTGGAGAAAAGATGTGTCTCTCGCTGCTGTCACTGATGTCCAAAGTATCCCACCTGAAATGTGATGTAGCCTTTATATTTTAATTTGAAGTAAATTATTTTTTCTAATTTATCTTGTGGCTGACACTGATCTTCCTGATATGCCAGTTGAAAGACTAATCCAATGTATACACTTATTCCACTACTGTAAGAACCCTTAGCGTAATCATTAATGGAAATAATGATTCAATTGTTATGGTGTGAAGTGTTCATTTTGGATGTTTCCCCTTTACTGGATCATTTAATAATTAGTTCTATTTTTCATGTAGCTGTATGTCTAGCTACATGAAACTAGCGGGGTTCTTACCTTATTTTCAGAATATTTTCTGTCCTTTCCAGTTTTCCACTGAACACACGTGGTTTTAAACATTGAAAGAAAAATACAAAATGAGCCCAGGAAAAGTGACCCATCTTGCCCCATAGGGTGTTGCAGGCTGATGGGAAGAGGATCCTGTTTTTGAGTTACAGTGGGTCTGGAGGGGTGGAAGGGTCTGAAACACCTTTTCCTTTTTTTTATTACTGGGGGTGGTGTGGGGAGAAGCTTGCAAAACCATTTTGGGAATTGGATACAGAGTTATTATGTTTGGAGATGCTTGTGTTTGTGACTATGGGTGTATGATTGAACTGTATGTTTTTTTTGTACATACTGTAGCAATAAAAATACAGTGTTATGATCAGTGATTCAACTCTTTCTAGACTTTGCACCCCCACCAATATCAATCTAATGGACCATGTCAGAATCAGCAGTGACACCTGGACTTAATGACATTGCCTGCACTGACAGGATAAAAAAAACAAAACAAATAATTTTAGCAGTGGTTTGACTTGGCAATCACTTGTTGCAACAATCCAGCCATTATTGATAACCAATGATGAAATACAGAGCTGAGGATTAAATGAAGAGGATGCACATTTAGAACATAGATCAGGAGGCATCTCTTTACACAAAGGGTGAGTGGAGTCTGGAACAAGATGCCCAACCGTGTGATGGGAAGAGGTTCCTGGGCTCCTTCCAGGACTGGATGGAGCAGATTCACAGAATAATAAGCAACTACGCTAGAAAACAGAATGGTCCAAAAGGCCTTCTTCGTTACTTTTCTTATAGTCTTATGTTCTGTAATTGCCCATTTGTAGTTGCATACCCTTCATCTGAAACAGGTTTTATACATTCAGAAAATAATTAGAAATAGTTATTCACTAGTTCAGTGAATCGTTTCCTGTAAGACTGCGCAGCGCATTTGTATCACATCCAATGAACTCGAGCTACTTCACCTGGAATCTTTACTATTTCTTGCTAGGATTCATCAGTTCATGAAATGGTAAAGATATATAATAATATTTGACTGACTGACCTACATAATAACTGATTCAGATCAAGGCTGTTGATATTATTGTAAGCAACTGGCAGCATTTCAAATTAATAGCCAAATTGTATTGAGGTTCTGAAGTGCAAACAAATAGACAAATAGACGTAGTTTTCGAAACTGGAGGTTCTCAGTGTTAGTTTGGACACATGATGTATTCTTTGCAACGTTGTTAGGAGCAAATTTGGTCGCATGCGGTGTTGTCCATGTATCCATTTTAGAACTGAAAAAATACGAAAATAATTTCAAATGCCACAGTGTGAGATATTTCCCAGAAGTATCTGGGATTTCAACTACCCTGCAAGTTGTCGTAGATGCAATATTGTGATGAGTTATATACAGTACCAGGGGCTACATACTGTAGTACAGCACCTTCAGTGTTTTAAAGATGACTGACCTCTTCAATTCCCTTACATTTTATTATTTATGGTTATGCGTTTTCCTTTGTCTGTTAGTATTTGCAATTAATTACCCCAGTTAAATTAGACAAGTGCTAATTTTCCACGAGTTTCAGTCCCTTTGGCTCAATTTCTCATGGAAATTTATGCTGTATGTTACTGATCATAAAACTGATCATACTGCTGGTGTCAGGAGTGAGCAGAATAACAGCAATGGGATGTATTGATTTATTGTCACCTGAATATTCTCAATATATCATTATCAATCTGTATTGATCTACTTTTGGGAGGCTTCCCCAAGAATCTTAAACACTTAATCCTTTTGGCTATCATTGTCCAACTTAGAACTGCAAATATTGATTATTGTTTCTATGTTGACATCATTACGTAGGTGCAGAGAAAAGCAAGCATGAAATCAAGTGTGGCCAAAACATGACTCTCTCTCATATGGCTCCACAGGGTTTATTCAGGTTTTATTCACATATCATTTTGGAAGATCAGTTTTTCAACTGTTACTTGCGTTTGTCACGTGACAACTGAAAAACTCTCTGTTGTTTCTGTTTGAGTTACTCTGGTTAAATAAATTCTTCTTTTGATGTGACAGCCTAATTTAAAAAAAAGCAAAGGATGAAATGATCAAACTAACAATGACAGAAGAAACAGGGTATTGTAGTAGGGTGTAACTGAAAGTGATCTTCTTTTCCTCTACTACTAAAAACAAGCTGAAAACTCTCTGCTGCATTGGGAGGGATGACGTTGTAAGGCCTGGCTGGTTTCACTTCCACTTTCTATTTTCAGCATGGAATTTTTTTAAGTATCTCGCTTCTTGTTTACCAGACTTACAAAATCTGTTCAAGCTGTCATTTGAAAGGATGAATGGAAAATCCTTGGAAAGACCATACCAATGTTGATGTCCATGCATGCCCCAGCACCGGCAGTTGAGTGGTCTGCTTGGCCCCTACAGCAGGTTGTGGACCTTCTCCGGTCTCTGGCTCCAGAGCCAGGAGCTCTCTCACAGAGAGAGGCCGCCACTGTGGTCCCGCTGCAGGAGGAAGTGACGCCTTGGAAACATGATTATTTAGAGGATGAGGTAAATAAAACCACTTTGTACTGTGTTCAGGCTCTCTGACGGTCTTGTGAGGTTACCGCCGTTACGTCCGGCAGCATTTGGGATCATAGAAATGTCGTACACGTTTAAAAAATGCTGACTCCAAAAGCCCTTTGACGGTTCTTTTTTGTCATCAAGTTGCAACAGGACATCACAGATGAAAAGTCTTATACTGTGTGGTCACAAATCCAAACTTAATGTTGGGCACAGCTGGTGACTGAAACAAGACATGGGTTATCTTCTTGCACTGTCTGAGCACCTGGCTGCCAGCTCCCTGTTGTACTTACGTCATGAAGTAGACAGGGCGTCGATTTCAAGATGACTAGTAAATCTAGGTTTGTCCTTAGTTGTAACAAGAAATTGTCAAGTAGGGCTGCTCAAGTGACTGCTGCAGGGGTGGAGTCAGGTTTCCCCAAAGTTAGGTGTATTAGAGCCTGTCATCTCTGGAGGGGGGCTGTCTAGAATCAGGAATCCCTAGGATCTGAAAGAGAGGAATAAGCATCTTTGGGGTAGGGTGGTCCAGAGTCAGGTATCTCTGGGGTGGGGGTAGATGAGAGTCAGGTATCAATGAGATGGGGCAGACAAGAGTCAGGTATCTCTGGAAAAGGGCAGATGAGAGTCAGGTATCTCAGGAAAAGGGCAGACGAGAGTCAGGTATCTCTGGGACTGGGTGAACTAGAGTTAGGTATCTCTGGAAAAGGGCAGACGAGAGTCAGGTATCTCTGGGACTGGGTGAACTCGAGTTAGGCATTTCTGGAAAAGGGCAGAGGAGAGTCAGGTATCTCTGGGACTGGCTGAACTCGAGTTAGGTATCTCTGGAAAAGGGGAGACGAGAGTCAGGTATCTCTGGAGTGGAACAGATGGAACACAATCACACAATAAAAAACAATGTGAAATACCATTGTCCTTTGTTTTTAATTACAGAAAAAATCAAAGCTATCAACGGGGAGGAGGGACAACGTCAGAATGTCTTGATATAAATACCATAGAAAAATAGTAACTCCATGCACACTTATTTCAAACGTATCTATAAGCAAATCAGTATCTATGACTTCTGTCCTCTAGTAGGAAAAGTCCTTTGATTTTGAATGAATGGGTTTAATTCTAATGCATGAGATCCTGACATAACTGAAAAGATGTGGTCAGTAGTAATGTCTGAGGAGTAAATGAAACCAATACCCATCCTGTAATTGAAACGAACTGTATTTAAAAATAGATGTAATTAAAATAATATAAAAATAAAGCAGAAAGTGGGATTTCTCCTTGTGTCATTTTAATAAATATTGTGACAAATGTAATACAATCACATCAAATATGTAGTGTAGAAATACAGTAGAATTTATTGGAGTCACAAACGTGAGAAATTACTTTTTACCCATGGTAGTGTTTTGTAATGTTGGTCCCAGTCAAAAAGCTTTAAGCTGAGTATTTAAGGAGTTATAACTGATAACAAAACCCCAAAACAGGCTAAAACAAGGTGTGATTGTTAAAATCCAACCTTCAGAAACCTGACCTGGACTTTGATGTGTCTGGCTCAAACTGATCCGACTGTGATGCCTTTATATTGTTTATATTGTTCTCCTTTGTAATGTTCAAAGATGACATATAACACAAACCCAAATGACATTAATGAAGACAGCCTAAGCTGGCTCTTAATCAATTTATCTGATCAAGATATACAATATGTGACTTATAATCAAATCAGCAAAAATGATCTATGACTGACAGTAATATTGATTAATATCTATTATGCTCAACTGTTCCTAACAAATACATCTTTGGGCTTAAACAAATCATCCTTTCGTTTTCTTGCTAGAATTGAAGTCTTCATTTCAGATAAATCTCTTTTTTAGAAACATGGTTCATAAAGTTCTCTTTTGCTGGTTTGTAAATTGCTGAAAACATCCAAACACACTTGTGTTTTTAAGATGGGTTTGTGTACTTAAGATACTTTACAGTTATTATTTACAGTTCTTTTTTATTTTCCTCTTAACCATTGCACTACTAATAGCATGAAAAACATCTTTAAATAGCTCAAAATCTAATTAGCTTTAAAACAATTACAAACATTTTCAGATTCAAATATGAATTTTAGTGACCAGAGTCAGAGGGTTAGTAGTGGAGGGATAAAGGAGGGGGTCCTTCTTCTTCGGAGTGGAATGATGTTTCGCGGTCTTGGTGGTTCAAGAACAAGATGAAATTCGTGATTTCTAAGAAAAATGTCAAGACCCGTGGCCAGACTGAAGTTTCAGGAAGGTGCAGGATGTTTCTAGCACCTCCAGGCCGAGATGGAAAAACTCGCACCTGAGCTATCGGTGAGGTAAATTGGTCCTTCACCCAGTCAGTCTTTTTGTTAGGCGGAAGGGTGCTTCACCAGGCCCTGCTCCTTCCTCACCACAGGGGCGTGGATGCTGCAGTCCCTAGCCTCACACACCCCAGGCACCCCTGGAGGCCCAGGCAAGCCGGACTGACCCACAGGACCAGAGTAACCACGTGGGCCCTCCAGGCCGGTGATTCCATCTTTGGCAAGTCCTGCGTAGCCGGGATAGCCTGTGGAAGGACATTTGCCACTTTTAAGTGCGCTATTGAGCAGTAGACGTGTGCGTTCTTATAACAGCCATCAAGAGGACAATATGGCAATGAAACTACTCTAGGATTTACCGATTTTCATTGGCCTGCCATGGTGGGAAACACTGAAGTAGGCCTCTACTGGCCTTCCCAGTCCTCACCCTCCAGTGATCCTGCAGTGACCCAGAGTAAGCATGCCCCAGTAACAGGTCTGCCCTGTGATGAATGTGTTACACCGTCCTACCTCGGAGCCCCTGAGGTCCGTCGTGTCCTGGCAATCCCATGCCCGGATCACCCCGCTCTCCTTTCTTGCCCTTTGGACCTGGAGTTCAAGAAGAGATGGGACCAGCTATGAGTCATTGTAAAGGAAGATAAAAGAGCCATGGCGTAAACTGAGCACAGCAAGGGAAAGGCACAGAACAAACAGCCTCTGGAACTCCTTACAGCCACACCTTTTCAGCTTTTATCATGCTCCCCAGAGTGCGTGAAGCAGATAGCAAAAGAAGTTAACTGGGTTGCTGGATTTAACATGGCCAGAGTCACCACACTGTTCAGAGAATGGAGTGTGCCTGTCCACCCCTTGCACAGTCATGGGAGTGTAGACAGTGGAGGAGTGAGACTCCAGAAAAGGGACTTTACCTCTCTCTCCAACTGCTCCCTTCTGACCTTCCAATCCAGTTGGCCCTCTCAGCCCCTGGGCTCCTTTGAGCCCAGTACGTCCTGCCTTCCCCTGGAAAAAAGACACCACAAGCCTTTGGTTGAATAAAGAAAATTGCAATATAGCATCATTTTTTAAATCATGAACTGAAGAGCAAACTGTTAAACATCTTGACTCTGTGTCATTATATCACCTAACTGTATGCCATGTACCCCATTAAAGTAGCTTAGTCCTCCACAACAGACATTATCAGTTTTACATGAATAACAAACCTTGATGTGCCAAGAGTCATTGTTCTTTGAAAACGGTTTAGTTTTCATTCACTTTACTTTGATTCTGCATTTTTCCTCAAGAGCGGGGTCTGCTTATCATTTCTGGTGTTTAACTGGTGCAAGCCCTGCAGTTCTTACAGGTTTCCCAGATGAGCCAGGTGGTCCTCTGACGCCAGGGGGGCCAATCAGTGTCCTGTTGTTGATGGGGCAGCCCTGGGCACACTTGGAGCGGATGGAGACTGCATACTGCGAGATCTGCGCTGTCACCACACCTCGGCACAACTCATAGATCTGTGCGTCACTCAAGCCTGGACCCTGGGAAGCAGATCAAAATGTCGGTTTGCTCAATGACAACTGTCGATTTTCTCTTTGCTTTTTATTCTTCTCCTTACATGGAGACAAAAGTAATCTATCTTTGTTGTATTCACTTGGAGCTGTGAAAGCTGAATTAGAACAACTGAGCATCGTAGTTTAGAGTCTTATTGGACTCAACTTATCAGTCCAGTCGAACAGGTGAAACAGATCTAAAGTAATCAATACATCATCAATAATGATTACCTGGTAACTCGAACTCTTAGTAAATTAGGATTATTCCAGGAATTCTACTGTTGACACCTTTAAAGGCAAAGTGATAAACTTACTGCTAAGGTCACAGAAACACAACAATAATGTACAGTATCTCATTTCTTGATAAACTGACAACTAAAACAAGGCCAGGAGAAAACAAAGAACTACACATTTTCTATTTAATAAAATGTAGTACCATCAAGGAAACCAAAACCACAGAATATTCCAAACTCAAGATTTACACAGAAAACATGGAACACATAAGGGGAATTCCTTCAAGAAACTAGCTCTCGTGTGGTTGACCAGACTGGACTGATTCATTGCTGAATGCCACAGACTCTAGTCTTAACACTAGGACCAGTCTCAGTTCTAGATGCACTGCAGGGGATCATTCTTATTGCTAGAACTGAAGAACATGAGCTTCACCACCAATAGGGGTGTTTTTCCTAGTGCTCAGAAAACACAACACAGTGGAATGAACTATGTAATATCATAATAAAAGTTAAAAAATCAATACATTTTAAAGGAGCGCGGGGCTTTGTCATTGAGTTTGGTAGTTGGTACTTATTCAATCCCTCTAGCTTGTTATTTCGTTGTTACCCCTCGGCTTTGGTTCCTTACTTTGTGCTCCTCAGCTTTGACCCTTGTTTGTGTCCTCATCTTGTCTCTCTTGGATTCATATTTGAACTTGGATACTCGAATACAACTCATCCTCACTACAGACTGAACTTCTTCAGCCCCCAAGCTAGCCACTACAGCATGCCTGTCTGTTAGCATGGCTACTACGTTCGTTTGTCAGCAAGTAGTGTTCCCTACTCCCACTGGTATCAGTAACGTGCAGCTCTGGGCTATTCCTGGTGTGTAGCTGGCAGGTTCCCAAGCCCGGCTGCCTCTCCCCCAGCAAGTGGTTCTTCCATATTCCTGGATTGCACTATGAGTCCTTCCTCGGTAGTGGGACATTACACAGTGTAGTTGAATATCTGTTTTTTAACATTAAAACAATGAATTAAGCACATCGCATCAAAAGTGACGGTGATAGCGATAGCAATCTACTTTGAAAGTACCATGCAAAAAAGGGACTCCAGGGAATTTCCTGCTTCTCCCTCAGAACTTTTTGTAAATTACTAACAAAATAACAAACATACACATTTTAATATGCCATCAAAATGGATTAATATGCTAAGAGTGGCCTACAAAAGAGACATCTGATAAACCATTAAAACAGCAGTGGACCTTACTGAAATGTGCAAAAGGGAAGTCATTTCAAACAAGATGGCAGTGCTTGTACAGTATGAACCACATTCCCCAAACATCAGTAGGGAATGACCTGCCATCCCCATTAACCGGACCAATTGGAGGAGAACAAGTTTTTCTCAACAGATAATCCTTCTAGTATATAGTCGTCTATAATGAAGATTTTGATTTCTTCTTGAAATTGTTATATAGGCAGAAAAGCGTTGATGATATTTTACAGCTGAATGTAATCCTTTCCATGCAAGAGTGAAATGAATGACAATGAGAACAACTGGATAATTAACTATGCTTTGGCAAGATATAAAATAGTGTGAAAAAAACCATCTCTGAGATGGAGTTTCAAGCTCATGGACTGTTGGTATTCTACAGGACAACTACAAGGCAACTCGCCGCCCTTTCCAAGTCACTTTGGATAAGAGCCTCTGGTTAAATGAATTAACAAAAATGTATGTTTCTCTCTAATGGTCAGAGCTTTTTCCTCTGCAGTTTCTCTTGCTGTAACAACACTTCTGCGTTTTAGGAGCACAAGCACTCAGTGATTGAGCAAACCACACCAAAGGTGAAGTCAAGGTAAAACCTCAGTCCCCCTCACTCTCTGTTACTGAAATATACTGTATATATCATTGAATATTATCAAGTATCATTGGAAAATATGCCCCTGCTATAGTTTTTGCGTGTTTAACACCTTATCTGTTTTATTTTGGTGCAGTGGGAAATGTTTTTCATGAGAAGGCTTTGTGGATATTCATTTGAAAATGCCAAGCACCACTACTTGATACCGCTGTCGACTCACCTGGGGCCCCTGCACGCCCTTTGGCCCTGCTGGGCCTGCGTCCCCGGCGTCTCCACTGGGACCAGGAACTCCCCTTGGGCCTGGGATCCCTGGGGGGCCTCTGCGTCCCACTGGGCCATCAGGGCCCAGAGAGCCCCTCTCTCCATGCTGCCAACAGAGCACACAGCGTCAGAAACCAAGCAGCCCTCGGATGGGATTAATCAAGCAACCAAAGGTTGCGCTTATTTAAGTCTGAGCTGGTCTCTTCCACTTCATTCACAACTGTAGGTTTTTTTGAGTATGTTCATGCTGTTTGACTTTAGAAATATTCACTGTGTATTTTACCTGGATGTATTTAGCTTGAATGCCAATATACTGCAAAGATGCTACCAGCAAAAAGAGAAAGATAGCTTTGTTTGACAGTGTTCTGACTGGAAGTTGAATTTAAAATGAACAGAGAAAATCTCACAAATTAGAAACCTGTACTAGCTCTGAAACAGTGAAATCTCTCAGTGAAATTTGGTTTTGTGTGACAGTGGTGGACTGCTATAGTTCACAGAGCCCTTTTCAAACAAAATGACTAGCTGGAAACAAAAGCCAATAACCCCACATAAGAGCACAAACTGAAAATGGTCTAATTTTAGGCTTGGCAAAGCATCTCAAAGGAACATATCAAGAGTCTGACGATGTGAATGGGATGCAAACTTGAAGCAGCCATTGCATGTAAGGGATATGTGACCAAATGCTGACTACACTTGATGAGCACTTGCTCACTGAAGTGGGAGGATTGAACACAACAAATTATGTTGTTCTAACATGGTTAAATAACTATGCAAAACACATTTCAATAGCACACAGCAAAAATTACATTTCACTTAACCTGCTTTCACTATATACGATAAATTATATTTATTTTTATTAGGCTTTTAGATACAGGCTTAAATTTATCCAAAGAATGTACATCGCTTTGTTCTTCAGACCAGTTCTGCTCTTTATTTAGATCCTGCCTGGTGTAAACCAGGTTCAACTGGCAGTTTCCACCAGGACAGTGCGATATTAGAGAAGCTCCAGTGTGATGGCCTGGCACCCTTGCCCAGCTACTGAAGCTCTAGGCTGGCCGTGTGAGGTGACGTAACTCACAGTGTCCCAGAAAACACAGCCGTAAAATCGGTTCCCTCTCAGATCGAAAATGGCAATTGAAGATTTGGTGAAAAAGTGACATTTTAAAAACAAAACAAACAAATGTATCTTACAGACCTGTCCTTTATCTCCTCTGGATCCTTTGGTTCCCTGTGATGGAAAGAGACAAAAAGAAGCCAAGGGGTCACAGATGCCAGGATATTCCAGGGGCTTCAGATGGACATGTGAAAAAGTAAAGCTTTACCTCCTCCCCTTTATCTCCCTTGATGCCTTTCCTTCCCCGCTCACCCTGAAGAGACAAGACCACACAGAACAGAGTGAATCCATACCGTGTGCAAGGCTACCACACATGGAACACTTGGCATCTGGGACTCCACAAATACTCAAGGCCTGAACACAAGCTTGTGCTAGGAATTTGTACCTGGTCACTGCAAGCCGTTACATGGACAGAACTTGTAGGAAAAAAAAACATTTAGGAAACTATTAGAGATAGCACAGCATTAATGGCTGGAGTACTGCTAGAGCCCAGTGTAAAATAATTATTCAATGCTTGTTGAAAAACAATAATGACCAAACCTGGGAGTGAAACAATCCTGTCATGTTTTATTTCAAAAGGCTGCACTTTCTGAGCAGTGTCTTATTACGGAGCAAAGAAAATTGATTGGACATAGGCACCCAGGAAGCACTGATGTCAGGGGCTGGCAGGCTGCTGTTTGCTGGGTACACGGAGGGTCAGAGTCCCTGTCTACCCACCTCTGCTGGAACAACACTCTGAACTCTTTAACGCAAAGAAACCCCAATGTCTGAGTGAGCTCACCTTGTTCCCATCTGGACCGGTCTCTCCCTGAGCTCCCTGTGGAAAGACACGCCAGAGAAATCAGAAGGGTTGGGCCAAAGGGCAAGAAAAACAGCAACCGCGGCAAAGGTTTAGAAAGGGAAATCTGGCGGCATCCAGGGGTGGAATGACTCACGGGCTGTCCTTTCAGACCTTGGGGTCCAGGCTTCCCTGGGGTGCCTGGATCTCCGGAGTCTCCTCGGGCTCCCTGATGCACACGGCACATTGACGAGGCACCGCGATAAGAAGAACAGAAAGAAAAAAGAAATGAGAGAGTGAGACAAGGCAGCTGCAGTCGAATGTCTCAGTTAAGAGACACTATGGACATAAACATTATATTGTAACGCAACGGGGGCTCAGGCGGGCGCCCTTGCCGCATCTGGTCGGCCCCTGCACCGTCCGGGGCTCGAACCCGGGACTTCCGCGTCTCTCTGCAGCGACCTAGCCCCGTGAGCTAAAGAGAGATCTCTCTACAGCCCAGTAGCTGTGGTCCTGCTATCACAGGGAAGGGCGGTGACGTCACCCGCTCTGGTACGCCGGCTCTTACACACAGTGCTTGTCGGCCGTAAGCGTTACAATATCATTCCAAGCCGGCAGTCTTATTTCTCATTTTCAGTCTCACAACTACAATCATTTAAGCTCTTTTTGGTCAAAACTTTCTCTATCTTGTCATATGGACATGTAGAAAATTAATATCCTTTAACAGAGTACAGGTAAAAATACAACACACAGGCACATCATAAGAGCTATGGATTCATAAAAAGAATTCAATTGCCTTCTGTGGATTTTCAGAACCTTGGAGAGCAACAAAAGTGATCTTTCCCACATAATGTGTTTCAGCCTCTTTTCAATGTGAGGCAAATCATGCCATTTCACAACTCACAAACTCTCAAGTCCTGTGCGTCTTTAAACATTCCAGTCTTCCCACACAGTTCTGTGGGTTAACCTTTGTAAATACCAGAGCGTGGTCTGTGTGAAACTCTAAAGAGAGTTCCTCTTTTACCAAGTCACAGACAAAAAAACCTTTTAAATGAGATGACAATAAAAGTCAGACATACACATGACAGGGGCAGATAACAGAACTACCCACTTACAGTACGTATCACTAACCTCTGCCCTCACAGAATACAACTACTGTGTTTTTGTAAAGCATGGTGTTCTATATGCATTTGTTTCTCAGTAATTTACTGTACTTTTAATAGTACAGTACACTTATAGGCCCTTAACTATGATCAGGATATACTGCAAATTACATTTGTAAACTATAATTTAAATTACATACAAATTCAAATTTTGTTGTTCTCAAATGTGTTCAAATTGTATTGTAAAACTAATTTTCAAATAAGGATTTGTGAATAAATATTATTTCACTCATATTTTCATTTAATAAACGTTTAATGCAGTGAAAGCCCAAATCCAGCAGGCTTTATTAGGAACTCAAGACAAGTTAAGAACAAACTAATTCAGTTTAGTCATTAAAAGCTCAGTTAAAATGAACCCAGCAGAAAAGACATTAAAAAATATTCAAAGATTTTTCGTTTTGCCATGGACAGAAACGACAAAAAAAATAGAAAACTTTGTTTCCTCAGTAACAATGTCAGCATAGTTAGCCCTGTCATTTTAGAAACCCAGAAAAAAAATGTTACATAACTATAAAAACAGAAAGTGTGTCAAGAGCAAGTTTTCCTTGATGCAAAGTCTTGAAAATCACACCAGAGATTTTTATTCAAGAAAATTTCTAAATATTTTAAAATAGCACTTAAAACTGTAAATTATTATTGAATAAGCACAGCAGAGCTTCAGTTAGAGTGATGAACTGAAGTTCAGCAGGGATGACAATGACACATCAGTCTCACACAGCTGCACCCAATCACCACCACCACCAAACTACAGTAGCTACATAAACAGAACTCGACAGCTCCCTTCACATTCGTGTCATCCTCCCCATCTCCACCTTGCAGCTTCCCCTTGATTCATTCAGCCTGACTGGGGTTCAAGCCTCCTTGTTCTGTGGCCAAAATATTCAAATCCTGGAAGTTGTATCCCTAGTGAAATGGTGTTAGCTGAATATAAAGTACAAGTGGCATACAGTGTCTTTGGCAAAGAAAACAGTTCAGTTAGACACTTTACAAGTGTGTTTCACTTTACACTTATGTATAAGTGTTAAACTTGTCAGTACGACCTAAATTTATATTTACAGTACATTGAGATGTAAATGTGTATGTCTACATTTTTAAATATTTCTCAACATATATTTTGCAGTTATTTTAAAATATTGGAAAACATTTGTACAGGGGTGTTTCAACACATAATGAAAAGGGTATTGAGCCCCCATAATGGTACTGAACAGACTCACACAGAGGCATAATAAGGCCCTGCTACTGGCACTTTTCCATATGGTCTCCAAACCTAGTTGGCCTTGTGTCCAAGACCCCAATCTGGCACAGCAGACAGCCATGTGTAGCTCCTGCAACCAAGATTTACCTGTCCGATGCAGTTTGCCTCTGTTGGACAGCAGGTTTTTAAGGACTAAAGAGTTTAAAACAGGGGCGTGAGGTAGGGGCACCAAATCAAGCGACAAATCAAAGGAGTGACTGTTTCATATAGTTCTTATAACCAAGTTCATTAATGTTTTTTAAAAGCACGAATATATTCAAATACAAACCAGGGCTCTTTTTTTAGAAAACCAATGAAAAGGAATTGTGGATAATAATGCCACCACAGTTTTAGGTGGAAGACTCCAAGAATCCCAGGACAGAGAGGGATGCATTTGGGATTGGTGATGGCACGGTTTAAACAGCAACTTTTTTGTGCTCCAAAAATGCTACAAAAAATCTCTTTACAATGCTAAGGGTGTCCGTTTTGAACAAATATGTCTCTTTGCTTTACCGCTCTCTTGATTATTTTTTTCTGCATACCTGTATATGTAACACAAAGATTGTTAACATTGTAAATATAATGCATCTCCTTTTTCTGTTTAAACACATTGCAAACACTAATAATGGTTTAATAACATTAGCCTCTCACACCTTTAAAGGCCAGATAAACCAGCAAACACATAAAAGCTGACAACAGAAGGACTATGTTATGTTCTGTTTCAACAGCAGGTGTCTCACCTGGGCACCCTGTCTCCCTGGCGGTCCCCTGCGTCCAGGATCCCCTCTTTCACCCTGAAGGACAGGACACACAACATGTGCCAGACAAAGTTTATTCCTGTGGATCCTATTTCATTGTACTGGATGTATTGGTATTTATCTGTTAAGCTGTAACAAGGCATAAGTGCTGATGCCCTCTATTCCATCAATTTTATTTAGAAGTTTGTAAACAATATTGTTATTCAAACTAGAGTTATTTGTTAAGATTGATTCGATCTTTCAGCGCAGCCCATAGGGTGAGATTTCAGAGCAGCACACAATAATCTTTCATACTGACGATCTGTCCTGAGCTGAAAGCTTTTGATCCTTTACAGTTTTCTGCTTTCATGAACAGCACAGAGCTTTCTCCTTTTGCAATTTCAGAGCAAGCAAAAGTCTTCCATTCTGATTCTGGAGTATCTTGATTGTGAAATTTTCTCAGATTTGCAAAGGGAACACTTCTGTTCAAATCCAGGCTATGCTGCTTTGCTTACATTAAAATGATTGATCTCGGTACAATTCTGATAGATGTCAACATGTCTAACATACTGTACCTCAATATCCTTGGTCTTTTTTAGTTCATTTGAGCTTTGCTCAGAATATGGTATTCTTTAAGCTTGCCCACTAACATTGTAATGAGTAAAATGAAACTCTATAGGCAGAGCCAGTTGTTACAGGATTGAAAAAAGTCCTCCTACATTCTCGAAAATTCTACAGAGCATATAGGTACCCCAATGCCATCTAATGAACTAGGTGAGCACAATGGACCACTCTTTCCTAGATTTTTATTTCAAAGAGGTGATTGTTTCTTCTAGTTCCTTTAACCAGGTTAATTGAACTTTTTTTTAAATGGGCACTTATCTGTTCAGTAAAATAAGAAACTACACTAAGACAATAATTGCGATTAAGTTGTACATTGTTTCCTTCAAGGATACAATTACTTAGAGACTTGAATATTCTCTTATTATGGTGTCCTATCAAGTACAAGAACAGCCAGCCACAGAGAACAATCTTGTATTTTACTTCAGGAAAGATGGAGAGAATTGAGATGGAGAATTAGTGCTAAGGACAGCATTGACATTTTGCAGGATACAGTCGGGGACACTTATCGCCATTACAGAGCAAGGTCTGTGGGTGTAATAAATTCCTTGAAAACAGAGTCTTGACTCCTCACTCAGTGCAACTGGCTGGTGACTTATACAGTACATAGAAGCTTGCTGAGGAATAGAGTCATGGCACTAGTAGTTGCTTGGACAGCATACCGAGTTCACACTTTAACACAGCCGGAACTTCATTGGCACGCAGAGGCAGGAGTACAAACCCCCGCAGGTTAAAAGAGGGTGTAAAACTATACAGATCCTTTGTGACTTGTCCATTATAGGCTGTAGCTTGTAAAGCATTTTGAGAAACAGAATTCGCACAGTAGTCATTTCTACAAGTGCCAGGGTGATACTTAAACTCCTGCAGTCCACGCAAGGGAAACAATTGTCTATCCAAAGCAGAGAGAGAACAAATGTCATTTCTGACAGCTGGGTAACTTCATTCCCTAAGACAGTTTTGCTCCTCCTAGCTGTGCAGAAAGTATGGATTCCCCAATCAACCTGCCCTGTTTATGATAATCCAATACATTTTACATTTATTCTGAGAAAGAAAATGTCAGCTCTGTCTTTGTTTATATCAGCTTTGACATTTCTAACCCCATAGAATTCTCTCCCATAGGATCATCCTGAAAAAGCTGGCTCTTTGTGGTCTCTTTAATTCCCAACCTTTGCCTTCCTCCTTACCTTTTTCCCAAAAGATCCTGGCAGACCACTCAATCCAGGGACACCCAGAGGACCCTTTATAAAGACAGAGAAAGAAGTCAAGAGCCTTGTTTTGGGAAACAGTGCATGAAATGCCTGCTTTTGTTCCAGTTCAATCTGAAAGGCCACTTACGTCTTCTCCAGGCTCCCCATCGCTGCCAGGCATTCCCCCAATACCCTTCTGTCCCTGTGCAGGAAGTGAGATGGAAAACAGCCATTAGAAACATAAGAACATAAAAGAGGATACTAACAAGACCAGGCTGACTGGAGCTTATTTAGTTTGGAATAGTAGATTGATTGAAGGATCTTGTCAATCTGTCTCTTGTAGAATTCTAGGTAATCAACCATAACAACTGACCAGTTCAGTTTCTTCCAGGCTCCTTCTACCATCTGTGAAAGTATTTTCAGGATTTCACATATGTGAGTCAAATGCTCTCACAGTCTTACCTTTCATTCAACAAAGACACTCCACAGCTGTAGGAGGAGTATTTACTGTTTCATCCATACGAAAACTGCCATCTAATCAGAATGTTTTTCCATAACGGGGCGCATCCATTTTATTAAGGATTGGTATTGATTGGCATTATAGACTCGCTCGCTGTGAACATGAATCCAGACCAACATGCTAGAGAAATCAGGAAGGACTTAATGAATCTGATATCCTTAACCTTAACCTGATATCCTTAATCTGCAGCAATGGTCTGGGAATAATAATTTTCAACAATAATAATATTCATAACAAAAATGGGATTAGATCAAAATGTATTTTGAAATTTGATTTCTGTACCACAGCATTTATGCTTTAGTACAGGTTGAAGACATATCAGAAATTCAAAAGGGAGATTCACCAGCACACAACAAAAAAACACCATCACTTATAAGAAGAGTTTTTGTTGAATACCTTTTCACCAGAATGTCCCCTCTCTCCCGGGATTCCAGGATATCCCTATGAAAGTATCAGGAAGCTCATTAGGGCATTATAAAGAAACCTTGAGATTCAATTTACCGTTGCACACCTCTCTCATCAGTTACCAAAAACATTTTAAAAACTCATCCACCTGGAAATGAAATGTGCACCATCTGCTTCGTATTCACTTGTGTGGGTTTAAATAGTTTCCAGACGATATCAGTTTGAGACTGGAGTCTCATTGTTAGTTCTTTCACTATAAACCACTTGTCGATATACATGCTAATTTTGCCTCAGACATTTGTATTACAAAAAAATAAAGTACTGGACACATTAAGTGCACTATAATATTTGCTGTCTGCATGTATTGTAGCACCTCCAGCATGTGTTTGCAAACCAGATATACTTAGTGGGCAGAACATGGCACAGTGGTTGGGATTGTTGGTGGACAACAGCACTGGAGCCCTGGGTTCAATTCTGGACCTAGAGTGTAATTTGTGTAATTCAGAAATGGATGGACTAAGTGCATTGTTAATGTTAGTTTCTGTAATGTTTGATCTCATAGCATCTACAGCAAGCGCTGGCAAACCCGATAAACTTACTGAACTGTACTGCTCATTGTACTGATCTTTATTGTGCTTGGAATGTGTAGATTCATACAAAACTGAAACAAGAAGATGGATAGGAGTTGACATAGAGATCCTCCACTGTAACTGGCCAGGCAAGGAGCAGGACAGCTGGCTTTATTGTTTGCACGGCTGTTGTCTGGCAGCTGGTGATTTCAAACTGGGAGAAAAAAATTTGAAAAAATATAATGTGGCAATTGCTTCTTTTTTAAAACAATTGCTCTCACTTACAATGTATCCTTGTTCTCCGACGTCTCCGGAAAATCCAGGTGCTCCTATCTGACCCTGTATGTGTTGGGGGGAAAAAAGGGCACAATTTAGCAGACCTAGGAAACTTTGGAGAAGCTGATTAAGAAGAAGGTGAACATCCTGGTGTTACAGAAGAAAATGTTTTCTGTCCGTACCTTCTCTCCCACAGGTCCTATATGTCCTTGTTTTCCAGGTTGTCCAATGGATCCCTGTGGATGAAGGCCTCATTAATCCCCATTATGTCCTTACTACTGCAGAAATAAGACTGTACTAGAAATAGTTCAGAAGAATTAATGGATACACCAGCAGTTTACAACCTTTTGTCTAATCCTGTTTTGCATTCTTATGTAATTATACTCTAAGAAGAAGAAACTTCCCTTGACCTATGGTGTATCGTTATTTATCCACAGTGGAAAACTGAATAACAATGTTTGTAGTTCTAGACTAGCTTTTGAATATCATCCGGCAGTTCAAGTCTGTTATTCATGCTAAGGTTTTAAAACAATTTGGGCCCTTTGTTTCTCAGCAGTAAAATAATTAAATAACAAAAAATGACCTCAAGAACACTTACCTTTTTTTTATTTTTTGGGCAATAGTTGGTGGTGTGATTGAACTGAGCTGAGAATGAATGTGGTAGGAAAGCGAAACAATTTCTCTTCTTTAGATGGAGTACCAAATTAATCAGAACTTAATCAGAACACATTTAACAGGTACACACTGACAAGTGAATAGTTATTGACATAGAAAAGTTTCATCAAATGCTGGGCTTTTAATTTGCTATATGAGGGCTGTGGCTTTGATACAATCATCTCCTCTACCACAAAGCAAGTTGTCTCCCACCAGCTTACATTAGGAAAAGCCAGAAAAAACAGATCTTTTTAAGCCTTGGGGGAAAAGACAGAGGCGCTGTATGTAATGACTCGCATAAAAGTGATTTCATCTACCTTTTCACCCTTGGTCCCTGCTGGCCCAGGTGATCCTGGCTCACCAGACTCCCCCTGAAATGAATAGAACAACAGACTGAGTCCCTCTACTCTGGCTGGGAACAAAATTCTGTCTGGGAACAAACTCTCTCTGTAATGTTCCCATCTGCACAAGAACAAATTATTCCTTCATAGAAATAATTTGCCTAGATTACTCTCTGTCCCACATTATGTTTCTTTGCCAGAATTTATACAAATATGCAAAACGAGGACATGGCAAGCATTCCTTATTTAAAAAAAATGTTCTGCAATGGACTAACCTGCCCAAGGAGAATATCTGGAGGTGTGTCGATAGCATTGATTGCCATACGGGATGACTGTGATTGTACAGTACATAACAAAGCTTTAACAACAGTTGTGAGCAGTAACTCTAAGTTACTCAAGCTCTAATTGAGAAAATGTCACTGACAAAAATGGAGCACAGCTACTTTAGTCTACAAGTGCCTGTATTTTAACAGTTTGTGTTGTTTTTACGTTGTTTTATCAAAATGTAATTTTTAATTTTACTGTCGTATGCTTTACTGTTATCACATTTTGATGTATGTGATAACGTAGGCTGTGCATATTAAGGGCAAAAGGCTTGTTTTCACAATTTTGCCTCTCTTACAATAACTTAACGACTCTTGCTGTAAAACGCAGGTTACGTGATGGAAAACAGTGCAGTCACCTTCAACAGTCAGAGTTTCTACACTCATGGAAACTAGACTAGGGTTGTACAGACTCATAACACAGCAATAGTGAAACTGGCTAATGACGGCTGTTCACCTGAGGTGAAAAAGTGTAAAACAGCACAATTGCCATGAGACAATTGTATTAAACACAGTTTGAAAGAGCGATGTCTCAAATATGGTTAAAACAAGGAAAATTCAGTGTTGCAAATTCTCTGTACTTCCTCATTTTTTAAATCAGATGTTAAGATCACGTGTAAACTCGTTTGATTCACACCAGGGACCATCAACAGGAAGAGAAGTATCATTCATGACAGTTCTACAGTACTCACAGTTATTCCCTTTGGTCCTGCTTCTCCCATAGGCCCTGGCAGTCCAATATCACCCTGAGACAGAGAGGACAGTCATTATAAGGTCTAACTCCAGCAGTTATGCATTCTGAATTCAGCTGCTTATATTCTTTGGAATTTTGGAACTTAAGGTGGCAGATTTTAATTTATTTTAGATGTTTGTAGTTAGGAGCTTTTTGAATAACTGTCTCATAAATCTTATGAGACTGATGCCGAAGGGTTCAGGGTCCACGGTATAACAAATAAGATTGAAAGTTTGACATCATCCTCCTGGTTACCCAACAGACCCTGTGTCAGACAAATAGGAGTGGCATCATCTAGATGGGTCAGCAGGTAAAAAAAAACTGACCCTACTTGGGGAAAATGTTAATTTGCAGTAGGAATTTGCAATAATAAAATGCGATGATCATAATAGACATAGACATAGTCAATCTGGAATCACCAATTGATATTTTGTGTCTTGTCTCACAGCACTGACTCCTGTACTGCAGGTGGGCATGAGGGTTGGCAGAAGAACTCCTCTGACTCCCACCTGAGCCACTCATCCCATGATATGCTGCAAGCCCAGCAGAGCCCAACAGGAATGGTAGCTTTGACGGGAGTAGCGATGTGATTCTCAGTGACATCACTCCAAGCCTGCAGGTAGCTGAAAACTCACAGGGGTCACCGCCAGGAGCTAAGAGGCCCATTAATCCCAACCTTACCACTGGCGCCAATGTGCCAGTTGTGTGCCACCACCCGGGAAACTCTGGGTAATAAAGAGGTGATCTCACAACATCTGCTCTTTCATCCAAATACATTTTTAAATTATGTCAGCTCTAGTGACAAAATTAGTTATAGTAAGCATTTATTAAGCAGGTGCTGGCTTACAGAGGGTAGGGAGTGATGTGAAGTGAACAACATTAACAACTGCTGCAGCACAGCCTCTCACAGCAGGGTCTTAGTGACTAAACTCTTAACTGCAAAACCAGTGCAAAAAATCCTAATACCAAAGTCTCTCACTGACCACAGAAAAGAGAAAAACATTTTTTTCTTTACAGAGGAAAAAAATCAGTGACAAAGATGGGGGACTCCTTTTTATTGTTCTTTCTTTGTTCAGTGATCACTTAATGGGCACGGTCTTACTGTATGTCAAGTAGGTACCATGGACATTCCAGAATGTGCTTGGTGGAAATGGTGCCGGTCTTTTTCACTGAGTCTTCTGCCAGCCATACTGGAAGCAGCACTGGAGTGTATTTGATGAGGAGTTTTCTCCTTTGTGACTGTTAAGAAGTGAAGTTGGGGAGCCAGAAAGCATGTGCCAGTACCTACAATACCTACCTTTGAGCCTGACCCACCCATGTCGCCTCTGTCCCCTGGAGATCCTGGGAGCCCCTGTCATAGAGATCACACAACCGCAGAGTCAGCCCACGTTGGCAAAGAGAGAATATCTGAGATATATCTGAATATCTGAGATCTGAGGAAGGGCACACTCACCATGGCTCCTGAAAACCCAGAAGGACCATCAGACCCATGAGGACCAGAGTCACCCTGCCAAGAGAGAGAACTGGCTTCAACTGCATGCCTCTTCTGTGCTTTTATTCTATCAGCTACAGCCAGCATGTTTACTCAAACTAATTGTTTATAGACTAAAATAAACTTCCATGGCAGAAGTGAGGTGCTGTAAACCATTATTGCAGCCTATTACACCCACTCCCGCCGTACTTTAACAACATGCCATGGTCAGTGCTGCATAAGTTATGCTTCTTGAAACACAGGTTACAGCTTTTACAACTGTATAGTTATATATTCTATCACAGTGTTAATTGTACAGTTCAGTTTTCGTCATTATATGGTTCTGCTATTCCTATCCCCAATCAAATTGTCACAGTTCACTACCTACATCACATGGCAAGGGAAATGCAATAGGCAATAGGGCTTTTGTTTTTCTGCTTTACATGGTACAGAAGATCTCCATAGTTAGTGAGAAGTATGTCTGATCCAATTCTGTATTCACACACGTAGCACCAGTGCAAATGGCTGATCTCTGGCACACTTGGGCAAGAGATTCACCATATGGAGCTTGCAGCTTTGAGCAAGACTGTTTTAGTCTAATAGACATTCAATGTGTTCTCTTACCGTGAAGCGCTAAGAGAATCTACTCTCAAGTGTGCTACAGTATATAAAACAACAACAACAACAACAACAACAACAACAATAATAATTATAACACTCATCCACTCTGTTGATGTATTATTATTATTATTATCATTGGGGTGCATGGGAAAAACAGTGTTGCTGTGCAGAAGAAAAGAGCACCTCTTTTTTTAGACCACAGCCAGCTGTGTAGTATCAGTAATACATGCAATCCACCTCATTTCTTTTGAGACCAGAGCATCTGTGTTCTTCAGCATTGTGAGAAGAAGATATGACCTCACCTCTGGGCCAGTGTCTCCCCTTCTTCCTGGTGCCCCTTTAAAACCCTTGTATCCCTGGCAATAAAAGATAAAAACACACGTGGGCACTGTTCTTTTAAATTATCCCATTGGAATATCGTATCTGCCCCTTGGAGTTACATCTAATTCTTACAGACAAGAATGTTACATATTCTTTAACTGGTCATTTGTAACTATTTGTAACTTAAACTATTACCTGCAGCTTGTTTCATCTCACTTTCCATAAAACGTTCAGTATCCAAAGGAACCAGATTTGTTGGTAATCAGTAACTAAGCCCATTACTGAAATTGTTCACAGTACGTTGCAAATAAGGTAGAATAATGTCATTTAAGTACTTTTACAAATTCTTTTTGCATAGTTTATGTTTGTGTTGCTAAACATACAGTACCAGAGTACCGCTGGCCAATGTGTCAGTTCCTGGGTGGCTCAACCAGTAAAGTCACTGGCCTAAAGAACGAGCTGAGCCTTATACTGTAGGTCAGAAGTCACAAGTTCTAGTGTGGGCCATATCTTTAGCAGACCAGCTGGATGGATGCTTCCAGGTGTCGGGCAGACATGATCTGGCCATGTGCTTTCAATACATGATGTCACGGTGACTCCTGGTACCCACTGGGCACCTGCAAGCCTGTGGTGGTGAGAGTAGCACCATTCCTTCAATTGGAGCCAGCTCCCTTGTAATCCTGCAGTGTGGCCCTGACAGGCAAGAATCTGCACATCCTCATTCTCCCCAAGAGCTTAGGAATGTGAATCTTAAAACTATAGCAAAACCCAAAGTGTATGGATATAAAACAAATAACTGGCAATTCAATTTTTTTAAAGATTTATTCAAAAGATGGTAAGACACACCAAGACTTAACTGTATAAATCTAAGGTGCTCATTGCACATTTTGGCAGGGATAGTTTGAAGATATTTTATGCATGTGACTAATCAGTGCAGCCAGTGCTCATGATAAAGACATTCATCTTCCACAGTTGCACTGGTCCCAAATCCCATTCCGATCCAAATCTGATCCAGAGACTGGGAAACTCAAATCACAACACTTTTAATAACTGCTTATCCAATTCAGGGTCATAGTGGCCCAGAGCCTATCCCAGAAAGCACTGGGCGCACGGTGAAAGCCAGTTGGTACCTGAGCTTTCCAAACCAAACAATAAAGCAGAAGGGCCAACATGCTGGGCACTTAGCATTTCTCCAAACAAGATAGCAATGGTCCGTGCCAGATTAACTAACTATTAACAGGCTTGTAGGGATGGCAGAATCAAAATCCAGGGCTACTTGGAGAAACCTGCTGGAGATCTAACATGTTACCAATTTGTCAGCAGCTTTGGTTTGCTTTAACTTTCAAGCAGAAGTCCAGAAATCATGCCTATTCATAAAATCATTTTTGAATTGCTAGTGTGAGACATATTTGGGTTAACATGTTCAGTGTTTTGTGTGTGGTAATTTGTTTGGTGTGAGTGAAGTTTTTTTTCATCTCTGATCCAAGGAAAAGGGTGGTTGAGGAGAGAATTCAGGCTCGCGCTGTGTCCATTATTTTTTTTCTTCTTTCTTGGTCTGCTAGATTTGTTGTTTTTTTATCAATAAAGTTTGATAATCGGCCAGTGAAAGCTCTGTTTTCCTTCACATGAATGCCTAAAACCCTAAACCAAACCCAGGATTTTATACTAGGTTGTTGGCTGCTGCAGCATTGTGGGTGCCTTGTGAACTGTACATAGCTTCATTCCAATTCACAAGCTGTGTTTATACACTACAAGATCAGATTTCATGGCTTTTGTAGCCAGTCCTTCTTGTTGTGCTCCAAGTTCTTGTCGCTGCTCTGTCATCACCATCAATTCACAAACACCATTTAGGCTCCCTGGCTGTTTTAACCCTGAAAGAACACTCTACACAACCTCTTCTTCAAAATTCACTGTGAAAGTCCCAGACCTTCCAGACAGTTTTTAGTAAGTCTTTTAAACTTTTATTTTTATCAGTGTTTGAGGCTATGTTCCACATTTGTAGTATTATCAGTAATCACACAGGGGAGAGAAATGTAATGATGTGCAGTTCCTTGATCTCTGTAGAACACAAAGATACTGATTATACCTCATTATTACCATTTAATCAATTTTTAACTATTGTATAAACCACAAAAAATAACTACACCAAAGATTTATGAAAAGGCACTTTGAAATCATGTAGGACGTACGCACAAAATGGGAGATGATCTTATTTTAGCCTTTGGAAAAAACAGACACAGTACAGGATCTTTGCTTCACAAAAACGCATAAACATTAAAAGTTTTAGTATTATTTAAAAACAGTATAGGAAGTGATGTCACTCTGACTCATAAGAAAGGTTAAAGATAAGAAAAAGTTATTCAGCTCTTCAGTGCTCAACATTTTCCAGTTCATTTGGTGACTGCATCACAGTGTCAGGTGTAGTTTTGAAACATCTTCTGGGCTTATTATTTTTTTCCAGGTGTTTCTGGTATATACCCAGTCAATTTAGAATTGCTAGCTGTGTGCTTTTCATGGTTCAGCACATACAGTAGTTACTATTTTTGCAACTATGTGTGGGAGAAATTAGGAGATTTGTGGGGGAAATTAGGAGATACATCTCTTAACACTTCCCAAGCTACATTTGGAGGTTCATTAGAGAGACACATCTCTCATATACATCACAAGCCTGCAGTTGCCCAGTAATCTACAGGGATTGCCGAGTGTACTGGCAGTCAATTCCGACTCTACCCCTGGTGGAGTCCAACGAGCTCTACACCTCTGTTTGGAGGAATCTCAATCCCAGTCAGCTACTGATGTAATCCATGCTCGGACCCCTGACACCGGCATCACAGAGCCCAACATCTGCTCAGCACAGCACCTTAACATGTTGAGCCACTCTGAAGGTCCGAGATCCTGTCCATTTTGAGAGCAGGTTGCGGCTAGGCACCTCAGGAAAGTAAAGGAGCTGCCTTCAGTCTCAGCAGCTTCCTAGGATTCTTTGCCCTTACCTCTCTGCCTTGCACTCCAGGAAATCCACGTTGACCCTGTTCTCCTTTATCGCCCTGGGAAAAAAAAACAGTTTGAGGAAACGTACAACCTGCACAACTCTCACCACTGCTTGCGTTTTGGTCTGTCTCCCTCATCTCTCTTTGGACAGGTCCAACCTTTTCTGTTTCAGTCTGCCTAAGCTTAGAAGAATCTACATGCTCTTCTGGGCTGGCCAATCTGCAGTCAAGCTGTTTTTATTTAGCAAATGCATTAGACAAGAAACCCAAAAGAAAACAGGATTTGATGAATTTCCACTATATCAGGATAGCTGAAACCACTGATGGAGATGGTGGTGATGACCTTCTCTGGAAGATGTTGAAAAGTATAAAAATTAGTAGGGGTTACTAGCATGGACTCCAACATTTTTTCTCAATAGCTTTGCCGTCCTAATTGTTTTTTACTTTCAAGTAAAATAAAAATAACTCATGTAATATTTATTGTCCCCCCAATACCCAAGAGTTTCCCTCCACTCATTGGTCATGAAACTGCTTCATCAAGTATGATAACCCATTTTCAGTAAACAGTTTGCCATAATCAATTAGATAAGCATCCTTATTAGGATTCAGCAGTAGCATGACAATCACTGTGCCTCATTTAGAATATTGTGTACATTATAAAAAAAGATAAAGAAATTGCTGTGCTGTAATCTAAAGAAGAGCAACCAGATACATTCTGGGCTCAAGGGAAGTATCCTTAAGGACCTGATCCTTTTTAGTCTTGCGTATGAAGATTTAAGGGCAACCAGATACAAAGTCAAAGGCACCGACGAGATCAACATAGCTGTTTTCTTCACAATGCACTGTGAGTTATGAAGCAGTGGAAACAAGTAGAAACTACAGTGCAATTAAAAACTGTAAACAGGTCCTTGGATCAATTAGTTACAGTTACAAATGGGCCTCATGGTCCAAATGGCCTCCTCTTGTTTGTAACCATTCTTACAGTATGTGTTAAAAAATCCTCTGCTTTCCATACCATGTATGAAACGCATATATATCAAAGACTTACAGATTGTTCCTTCACAATTCAAACCCAGGAAGTGAGGGAACTCTGTACAGCATTTCTGTTTTGTTTACTATTTCAGACTGTAATAATTTCAATGGGAGTTTCTTTAATAACCTCATATGAATTTCCACCCACTCGTCACAAACAAGTCACACTGTCAATGCTGTGGAAACTATAACAGCCAGTTTGGCTTGGCTTATCATGAGCTCAACTTCTATTGTTGTCAGCAGAAAACAATGAAAAGAATCAGACAGGATGACTTTCAAAGTTTGACTGATTTATTTCATTTGATCAAACTGGAAATACTTCTAATTCCCCTGCACATTAGAAATTTCACAGCTATTCTCCAGAATGAGGAGCAGACTGCAACAGAAACTCTTGAAAACCATCCTCTCACGTGCTAACGTGTTCGGAAACAGCTGTGGAAATGAATCCTTCTGCATATTTTGTTTTTCCAAAATATATATTTATTACGATGAAAAAAAAAACTTACTTTTGGTCCAGCAAAGCCAGCAAAACCAGGCTCCCCAGGCTTACAGTCACAGTCTGTGGGGCCAGTCTCGGCTCCCAGTATGGCACACTGGTTTGTGAGAAATAAGAAGTAGGAAGGTCTGTTACCTTAAAAGAGTGGGAAGTGTATTAAATGCTAGGGGGTCAACAGAGTCAGTAAAATAGAGAAGAGACTCACCCTTTCATCTGCCTGCAGAAACAAACAACAGAGACAAGGAAGATGAGGTTAGTTAGTGAGACAGGAAGGGGGGCCAGACCTCAGCCAGAAACAAGGCGATCAGAAAACTGCTCACCGTGCCAGGGATGTCACAGCAGGGTATGTCCCCAGCCCTGTTGGCATCCCTGTAGATCTGCAGTTGCTGGAAATCTACCTGGAATGGAAGTGACGAAATTTTAACTTGTAACCCAAGACTCACGCACTCCCCCCCTGGAGACCACCAACAACTCTTTCTGGTCTTTGATCCAGCTGGAGTTTTTCAAAATGTCTCATCCTCCTCCATTATTTTCTTAGACATCTTAGAGCTTCAGCTTCAATAAAATGCCAGAAGACATAGATACAGTACATGTACATGTCTTTTTAGTTAAATACTTACACAAGAAAATCACTGAGAATTCAGACTGAACAAGATCCAGAAACCACCTTAGATCAACAACAACTCTCACTATTCATCCTCATTTTTTTGAGCTAATTGTTCATCACACTTGTGTATAAAACCATCAGTCCATTCCACTCAACCCAAATCTAATCCCTAACTCTCAGACACAGAATAATGATGATGATGATGATGATGATGCAGTCTCCAAAAGGGATACCTTCCTGTGGACCTGGGAAACACCAGGGTTAGGCCTATTTGGTTTGGTTAGGATATTTGTTCCTGCTCATTCGCCAACCTTCTGCCCTTTATGTTGTAAATACAAAAAAATAAAATAAACTGACAAATAAGACCAGTTAAATGTCTAATAAAAGAGATTACAAAGGGAATTTCATTCTTCTCTTGCATATAGTAATAAGAAAATGAAACCTTACATCTCAGCACCTCTTCTATTACTGCTTTTATAAGGTTAAAAACACATCAATAAGCTCAAGGACAAATAAACACAAAAAATTGCAAGCCATTGTGAATCTCTCGTTAGGTGTATTTAAAAGGCCTCTTCATTTTACGATAAAACTATTTACACCTTAAATGTTACTTCAGGCAGAAGTATTCCTTCAAGTTTTTAATTTTCAAATGTGTTCAAATGTGCTTTTTACCTGTTTTTTTTTGTCGTGTGTTGTGTGGTACCATGAGCCAATTTGGTTAAATCCGAGTCATTTCAGTAACAGGGAAGTGTTGAACTGCTCTTGAAGGGGAATACTGGGACTTACTGGTAGGGTGGCGGAGTCCCTGCTCCTGGTGCCTATGGAGGTCAGTCCGTCTGTTCGGATGGAGCCATAGCGACTGAAAGGGGTGCTGCCCACCTGCTGGCAGTCAAGGTACAATGTCAGCTGGTTCCTCTGGGCGCTGAGGGCCAGCTTGTGCCAACTGCCATCAAAGAGCTGGCCCACGTTCTCAAACGTGGCGACCTTCTCCTCGCCGGCCGCCGCGGCGCTGTAGACGTCGACAGCGTCGATCTCTCCGTAGAGCCGGATGTGGAACTGGTTGCCCCCCTGTCTGTCCTTCACCTGCAGCAGGTTCCACACCTCCTGGGGGGTCTCCTCCCGCATGCGGAATGTGGAGACCACCGAGAACTCCTCAGGGAAGCCCTGAGGCTGCACCAGCCTGCGTGATACACACACACACGCATAGACGCCCTCAGCAAGACGCACATCCTGTAGCATCATCCAGAGACGAGGGCTGGAAAAAGTGTCCCGGACCCTGCTGCTGCAGAGTCACCGACTCCAGTACCTCCGGTTCATGTCTCAACTCCAGAGATGGCCCACACACCAGTCAAATAACTTGCTGAGGTTAGACACAGTTAGTCAGGGGCACATTAATATAGAAGAAAACATTTTTAAGAGAATATATTACTTGTGAGAACTCTCCTCATAAAGTGATCCGAGACACTGGATCATATATTTTTTCTCAGTCGTGAGAATGTGGGCATTTTGTTCACTCAGGTTACGTGTCAAAAGCTTACAGTGGCATTCTGAAAAAAAACTGACAAACTCGAGCTGTTTTTTCTGCTGCCCTGCTCAGAGCTTGCCAGAGTTTCAAAGCCGAATTTTCGACTTCCAAGGCATTTGCTCAATTCTGCCTCGGAACGCCAACTCAGAACGAGCCCTGCCATGAAGAGAGCCTCACCTCGTCTCGCGCCTGGCCTGCGCTCGAGGGCTCAGGCGGTAGGCAGTCCGGTCTGGCTGCGTTCCTGGGACCACGTTCACCCCTACAGCACTGGAGACTCTCAGCTCCGTCAATATGTCCGTTCCTGAAAGAAGCCACAGTGTCAAAGCAGTGCTGGAGAGACTCAGGGCTCCTGCATGTGGTCCTCTGAGTCTTCCTGGGCTGTTTTGTGGTTCACACACGAGAGAGTGATGGATCATATACAGCCCATATTCGATCATAAAATATAATTATATATTTATTTTCAACAGAACCTTATGTTACTTAGGAATATTACTACACTAATTATGTATTTTTTCAACGTATTATCAAATATATACAGTACATGGTGAAAATCAACATTTATTCACATTGACGGCTTGACTTTTCTGAGCTATATTTAAAACACTGTAACTTGCAGTTTGATTAAAATGTATATGAACTTCAATTTGTCTCAAGCCATGCAATGCATTAAAACTACACACCACTTAAAATGATACTGGAACTTAGAAAAAACTATAAATTAAGACAAAGAAGTCCACATCATCTTATTCTTAATTTGTGTTTCCCATTATCTCACTGTTTCACTTCAATGTTTTGTGCACCAGTTTTTAGTCACCAGTTTTTGATTGAGTTATAGTCTTGGTCAAGTTGACTAAAGTGTCTATTAGTCATGGTCATTTTCTAGTCTCCAACATTTCATTTAAAGGAACAAGTAAAGGTTTATTCCATGCTGAAAAGAAAAGAAAAGAAAAGAAACACAATGTTTCAGCTGTGGTGCCTTCTTTCGGTGTGACTCCTTCGGCTTCTTCTTCACATCTGAAAAAGGCTCTACAGCCTGTTTCTGTTGTTTCTTTTCTTTTCTTTTCAGCATGGAATAAACCTTTACTTGTTCCTTTAAAAACTACACATGCTGAGGCAGCTACCTACTTGAACTATATTTAATTTAGTCTAGTCAACTAAGTTTGGACTATAATTAGTCTTATTTGTAGTTGACCAAAACAGTTTTAGGCACATTTTAGTCAAGCAGTTTAATTTATTTGTATAGTCAAATGTATACACGTGTAATAAACTGCATTTCTAAGAAAATATTAAACACATCCGATAAAATTAGACTGTGCAACAAAGACAGAAAGTGTGTTGATCCCCCAAAATTAAAATATAAAATACAAAAAATATATGTGCAAGATTAATATACAACCTTATCCAGACATTGTGAATTTTTCCTAAAAAGAAAATCTATTTTGGCACTGTTAATAGTAATTCTGTACTTTTATATAAAGCTTTTAGTGAACATTTTTTTCCCCAAAGTGTCTTTTTTCAAAAAATTTCAGAGCAATATTATTATAAATTTGGTTAGAGGTTCCTGACAATACTGAATCTGTAATAACTACAGGGGAACTACTGAATGAGTTTATTAAAAATATTTAAATCAGACAGGACAAGTAACATACAGTAACTCAGTGATATTATTAATAACTAGCCCTTTTGATGCCGTATGTATTTCTTCTGAAGAAATACATGCATAAGAATTAAATGCCTGCACTTGCTGTAATGTGATATTGACGCTATTATGTTTTCTAGCTTAGTTTAAGACCCAGTCATATACTGTAAACAAACGTATCTAAAGAACATTCTTTCTAATGGCTATGACATGCTGTGAAATGTACAGCACACAAAATAATTTTACACACTCACTTCTACATTTTGAAAATAAAATAAGAACACAAATCAAATTTCTGACAGATCGAAGCTTACGAAGCTAATATTTTTAAACAGTACGGTACGTCTTACACATTAATCTCTAGCCAAGACAAAAGCATCCTAAAGTAAACAAAGTAACAAAGTAAAACGCAAACTGTAAAACAGTTTATTCTTGTTTAGTTTTCTAGTTAATTTGTTGTCTAGCTACAGATCTTTCTTCCAACTGAAAGCATGGAGAACCATAAGCATTTCTTGCGTCTCTGTAGCTTTTTTTCATGTAATAAATTGAGGTGCTCTAGTTTAAATATTTAATCTTATTAATCTTTAATCTTTCATCGACTAAATTAACACAGACTCTGTTTTTCCGAACTTTGCTATACTCAGCATTTACCGCAGTACATCCCAGTTAGTCTAGCAGAGTGTCCTCTATTTTCTTCATTGCCTGTGTCCTTTAAGAACCCCTTGACCTTCAGTAAATGTCATGATTGTGCTGCTTTTCAGCGAAGAAAATTTGACAATATTTCTACTTAAACATGAGTAATTTACTTTCACAGAACTTAGCCTGACCATGAAAATTTTTCAGTCTTTCCTTCATATGCCACAAACAGACTCCAGGAATCTCCCTTTGACTGGGGCCACTGAAAGTGTCAAAACAATCTGTTAAACTAAAACATGCATGTTTTCAAGCAGAAAAGGCCGAACTTCCTCTATGAAACTCTTTTAGAAACAATGGTGTATTGTGCTAAATTCAGCTATTTTTATTATTTTTTAAATAGTTTATATTAGTATTAATATATTATTAACAATATATTTTCTAACCCTATGTTAATACATCTAGTATAACAATGCTATAATGTTAAGAAATGTAAAACTCAAAGGGAAATGCGTCTGGTACAATAACAAAAAACTTCTAGACAATGAAAGTAAACCACGGAAAATTCAATAAGAAAAGGGTTGTGGGAGTGTGGAACAAGCTACTCAGCCACGTTGTTGAAGCTGACACCTTGACTTCTTTCAAGAACAGCTGGAGGAAATCCTCAGATCAATTAGGTACTCCTAAATGTGTTCAGTATGCTAAATGGTGTCTCTTCTACATTTACAGTAAATGATGCTCAGCCTCATTTATGGGCAACATAAAATTCTAAGCCTACACCAGAACACAATGTAACAAGACATTTGAATTAAAGCAAAGAAACACACCTTTTGAAAAACACTAAACAAAACATGATTCAGTTCTGTCACAATTTGCACGAAATGCCCTGCGCAAATGGCAAAATGAAACAACACGTGTGGTTGTTCTTTCTCATCAGGACAAAATGGCCAAAACGCTTGCTTACTCTTTTAAAACACAGAGAAAAGAGCAAATTCATCTCCAGTGACAAAAAACAAATAGGCAAAAATACGACAGAGTGTGAGGAGAGTGGCACATCTGAGATGGAAAAACAGCTGTAGCAGTTCTGCTGGTCGATAAGGTTGCTTGCTTGTTCATTTTAATAACTTTATTCCAAAAACCATAAACCAGGGGTGAGCACAGCAGGGAATCATGTTTAATTCCCCAGTGGGCATCCTGGCAGTAAATAACTGAGCGGTTTGTCAACAGGGAAATTTGGGTCTATTTTGTAATTTCCCATTTCTGTTTTTTAAACTAGAACTAATAACAGCATATACACAAGGATTGGTTTGAGAATGATACTTAAATATTTACAGCTTGTGAAAGAAAGTCTAAACACCAGACGTACCATATTTACACAAATGCACACAGATGCTACAATAACCTGAGGCTAACTGGAAGAGGGCTAAACAGATCAGGAAAGGCTAAGCAGAAACATCAGCTAAACAGACCAACTTTGACTTATCAAAGTATTGACACAAAGGGACGGCTGCACCAAAAAGACAGATTTACTGGCATATTAACTAAACAGGAAAACCGAAAACAAAGGACAGAGACCCAGACAGAAAGACTGTGCAGACAGGTGGACAGGTACCTTCATCATCGTAGACATCAGGGGCTGGGAATGCTTCCTCGAATGGTGAGGGTGTGGTAGTGGGATACTCGTAGGGCACTCTGGTGGTCATGGTGGTGACTTCTTTAGCGTAGTGGTAGGACTCAGTGGTGGTGGCATAGGGGTACTCTTCCTCTGTGATCATGGTCACCCCGGGGGTGGGCTGGGGAGGGGGGTAGTATCCCGAGGCTGTGTGCTCCTCATACCCTGGCGTTGGCTCCTCGGGGTACTCGTCTGAGGAAGTTTCAGATAAGGTTAGGTCTGGCGCTTCTTCAGCCTGTACAGGGTGTGCTGTGTTTATTCACTTTAGGCACCCACAGAAAGAGGACTTCGGATATTCCAGTCCTAGCCACACTGAAATGAGCAGCTCGACACTAACACACCTGCTGGACCAAACAAGAGGAAACCCCCTCTGACGATAGTGTTAGGCCTCTCTGAGCAGCAAGAGTGGTGTGGAGTCCACAGGGCATGGAATATCCGCAGGCCACTTTTATCCCATTTGTTTCTTTCGGTAAAGGCTGCAATGAGGGTATGGTGTGTGGGATGGAACTGAGCATTCTTCAGGTTGATCTGCCATACAATAGGACCGAGATAAAAGGATTGCGCTGGCCAGGGAAGGTAAAGGAAGTCTCTGTCTCCTGCTCACCACACAGTGCCTTGCTGCCATTGAGAGACTCCATTCATCTGACTGCACGTTCCTAATATTTGTGATAGTGAGTGTACAATTGTGACAAAATGTGAAGCACAAAACAAAAATATAGGAATTAACATGAATTTAAATCTTGTAGCCTGAAATTGTGCATCTTGTAGAAGTCAGTATTTTTATCATGTATGGGAGAACATTGTTGGAAAATTGAATATTTGCACAATTTTGCTGGTGCTGTTTAGAATATGGCAGCACCCTACTCTTCTATGTTCATCATAACTTGAATTAACGTACAAAATCTGCACATTTCATCGCTTCTCTGGTTCTTTGCTTTAGTGAACAACAATAACTATAGCAATAAACTAAATTCTTCCTCTAGAAATGTAGGATTGCAATTTTAAGCTTTATCGGTTTTCCCCAAAATATTGCTCATCAATCAATATAATAGTGGGTTGAAGACAAAGCATCGTCTGCTGAATTCCTGAAATGTACACACTAATCATACACAGCCTCCAGACATCAGCTTGAATGTTATCACTCCACTGTAGTTCTGCAGTTTGCCAGACTACCCTGTACCCCTGAATGTATAGGGGATGTTTAACACAGAGTTCAGAAAAAGACAGCTGGTATCTGTAGTTTTGAACACTTACTGTACTCACATTCACACTCACACTCACATTTGAACACTCACTAACTGTACTCACATGTACTCACATTCACCCACAATATCTGATTGTGACCTTTTTTTTAATTATGTGCTAGGAATAATATGTTGAAAACGAATTTCTCTAGATATTCTAAATTACTGCATACCAATTGGATTTGAAAAGAGAAGACGTGATCCTAAATGTTATAGTTGTATCAACACTTCTTAATTTATTATTTATTTTTAAATAAAGTCTCAGACTGTTACTTGAGGTTCTTCCCTTTTGAACCATTAGAAATTCAGCAACATTGAACTACATAAGGTGGTTTTCAATTTAGTGGATTTGAAAATTAATTCCCATTGTACACCTGATGCTTGTAGACTGTTTGATTAGTTACCCATAATATTGTACTGTATTAACAGGAAAGATTACAATGTCTCCCACAATGATCAGTAATACCGAAACACCTGACCCTACAGGCATAATTTTGCTTTCGAATTTTGCATTCTTTCACAAGGTTTTTTGCTTTCAGTGCATGGTGCTTATTTTTGAAGGGGTAGAAAGCAAAATGCAGTTACCTTCATAATCATACAACCACAGTAAATAAATTAAGTAAATGGGAAAAGCTGGATGCTAACATTGTTCATAAACACGGGAGGATCCACTGGCAAAAGGTAATTAATGAATTAATATCTTTATTACATCTGCAAAATCACAACTTTGCCCTTGCTGTAGGTTTTTGGAACTCTGCCTTTGGAACATTATTACTGGATGTTATGGTTACACACCATAACATTTTTACATTTCTCTGAATTTTACAGGGAGAATTACCAAGACGACTCTATGAAGTCACACTGAAGAGGTACTGTAATAGTGTACCTGGACGGTGGTATCCAGAGTGTTCTTCATAGGAGTCAACCACTGAGCCTTCATAGACATGTTCATCTCCTTCAAAAACACAAGGCAAGACAGGGTTCTTACAGTCATTTCATCTGTCTTTCTTATCGAACTCCACAGAGATGGAAAGGAACCCTTCAGGTTTTATACAACCAGTACAGCACAGCATTCGGCACAGAACACACTCACGTGATTATCTGTTTAACCTGTGAACTACTGACAGGCATTCTTCAGAATTAAATTTTTTATTGTATGTTTCATGCTAGTAGCACCCCTGAAAATATGTGAAAACATATTTTTAAAGAAAAATGATTCTATTGTTCTTTAAATAATAGAATAAGTATTTAAAATTAATCCGTCCGTGAAGAAAAGACTTTCTCTGTCAATGAGAGAAACTTGGGCTCTCTCCAGAGTGTTAACACCTGTCAGCTGCTCTCTTCTCACAAACAGAGGTGAGTTACAGGAAGGAGGGGTTGTGAAAGAAAGGAAAGCAGGGTGCCAGTGATACTGTAGCTAAAGCATGTGACTATTTCAGCTGCTATAAGGAAAGTCAAGCAGTCTTAGCAAAAAAGACTGAGATAACAAAAGAATTCCAACATAATCTTCTTAAAGATGTATCCCACACACATCATGACTGTACTGTATAGATAATGTAGTTTTTCCAAAAATAACTTACTTAAAAAAGAGTGGATGTTATTTTTAACCTAGACTTAAACCCTAATCCTAGACAAGTCTTCAGAAAGATCTTTTGCAACACTGACACAGTGTTAGATAAGGATAAGGATAGATGTATTAGTGGGTAGGTAAAACATATCTTTCATAGGTTTGTTCTGGAGTTTCAAGTACTGTAATTCCCAGCAGCACTTACAATGTTGTACTGCAGTGAAATGTGTTTCCAACATGTTCCATTTAACCATTCATATATTTTTTTATCTCAGCTACTGTTTGTTCCAATCTCAAAATAAAGAGAACATTACATAATTAAACTTCCTAAACTTCAGCATTTCCATGAAATAAAACAACTCTGCAAAGTCGGCAGAAAATTAATTTCTCCCCTCTTGACAGGATTTGAAAAAAGGAAGTTGACATATGCCACTCTCCCGCGCTATTTCAGTATTTCCTGACTCATTTCTGTAGGGACCCTAGCTTCTTTATTGACTATTCTTGCTTTCTGACAGGCACAGAAGGCTCAAGGCTGGAGTGAGGCTGTGGGGAACTTTATCAGTTCCACAGCACGTTCACAGTGTGCTTCAGGGTGCTGTTATAAACTTATTATCCTCCCACTCTACATCTGAGTAGTAGATTTTGAGGAAGCCATCTTCTTCTGGAATACTTAATACATGGGGCAAATTAATTATTTAGGCAGAGCCATGTTAAACACACACAAGCTCTGTTGTATAAGAATAACAAGCCCAAAAGAAAGAAGGACATTCCTGAGTCTGGAAGGTCAAGTACTATTCAGAATGTGGTGCAAATGCCTATTCCGAAGGGTGGTGGGGGCAGATGTGGGGATTCTGTAGTGAAAGCTGGCCAGCTGCATTGAAGTTGAGGGAAATTTTGTCTGCTATAATAATTCATTGCTTGCATCTATAAATGTCTTTTCATCTCAAGGATCCCAGAGCGCTTCACCTTCAGGAGGGGACCCACATCCTCCACCAGGGAAGTGCAGCCCCACCTGGGTGACACACAGGCCAGCCATTATGCACCCGCCACCTCTCTACATAGCAGATCAGAGGGAGAAATGAGAAAATACTCAATTGAGTTAAAGGAAATATCATGAAGACTGGCGAGCAGCACAGTGGCACAGTTGCTAGCATTGCCACTTTGCAGTGCTGGTGCCCTGGGTTCAATTCTGGACCCAATTCTGGGGACCTATCTATGTGGAGTTTGTATGTTCTCCCTGTGTTTGTTTAGTTTTCTGTAGGAGTGAGAGTTTCCTCCTACAGTCCTAAGACATTCTGGTAGGTTAATTGATTTCTGGGGAAACTGGCGCTGGTGTGAGAGTGTGTGCCTGTTTTTGTCTGTGTCTGTGTGTGCTCTGCGATGGACTGTCACCCTGTCTGGGGTGTACCCTGCCTTGTGCTTGTTGCTAGACGAGATAGACGCCAGTTCCTCTGTGAGCCTGATTGAAGCGATGATTAGAAAATGGGTGGATGGGATGGTGAAGACTGTATATGTCCAAGTGGGAATTTACCCAAGACACCTTATTGCTCTGTCTCACCATACTGGCTCACTGGAATTTGGAAATACTGGTTCAGAGGAAAGAGCACACCTACTTCTCCACCAAAATCATTTAAGAAGCAAACTGCTTTTCCTTAGAGGTCTCTCATCCCACAACTGACTTTGCTGTGCCTCTGTGAAGTCAACATGTTGCACCACTTTGGGGACCATGGTGATTGAAAGATATCACCTCAATAACATCACCCATTCTGAAATTCTAATACCACATTTTTCAATATCAGCAATCTTCTTAAGTGCTTTTAGAAAAGGATGCCATAGGAAAACAAAGTCTTTTGCTTATTTTTTTCTATGGTGTTCATTTAAAAAGTGAAAAAGAATGCCGTTCTATCAGTGTGATGCCAAGTAAATTGTATTACATCAGTCCTGCATTGAAAACTAGGAACAGTGATATAGAATATTGCCAAAGGGTTCTGCATTACCTACACCTTTAGTATTCTTAGCCCTTACATGAGCAGAACAACAGAGATATGTAATGCTGGTTAGGAATTTAGAACCACTGGGCACTGAAGAAGGTACTTACTGTAGGGTGTGGATTATGTTGCTAGAGGCATTGTCTCTAACAATATGTCTCGTTTCTCCTGCATACAGACATGGGTGTTTGTGGTTAGCTACCTCTTCATTAATGTGACATATTGTAACTCTTTTATTCAAATTAACTCGTGGTGCTTTTTGTAAATCTGAAAAATTAGCATATGGCATCAACTAAATTAAAAGGGGGCATTTGGAAATCCTGTGGCTTCCTGTACTATTCATTTGATTGCTCATCTCTAGCTCCTGTTCGCTCTGCTAGAGGAAGGAGCAGGTTTCAGACACACCCAGCACATCACTGAAGGCAGACACAGCGCAGGTCCTTCTGCTTCTCCCCTGCATTTCTCACAACTCAACAAGCTTTTAAATCAACAAATTAGAACCTCAACTGCTCTGGCTTTCAAGTCGTGGTCCCAGGTGCTCTGTTGCAGTGCTGGGATGCGCTGGAGAGCTCTTTCTGTGGCACGCTGTCACTGCTCTGGTTATCGGGAAGTGCACACAGAAGGCACTCCCATTTCCTCAGCGCTTGCAGGCAAATGTTTCTGCAGGCACGAGCGATGTCGGACACACGCTGGTCTCTTCATGGCACCTGAGCCCGTGCGGCACTTGAGATGCATAATTAAACATTTGACAGGATGTGAACGTCGAGAAGCAAAAATTACAGAGACAATAGTAGTAACGTGGGGGCGGTGTCATTTGACAAAACTCTGCTGCTTTGCAGAACTGCTAACATTTCATCTTAGACTTGAGCTGTAATGAAGGAATTCGAGTTTGGGATTGAAGAAGAAGCAAAAAAGGAAGTCAAATGACAATAACAGCTTTAACTGTGTGCAGTGCATCATGATGTCACAGCATCTCAAAGAACACCCTAAAATGGATTAAACTATTAAAAAGCTAATAAATTACCCTCTGCCTTCTGTATCTGTGTAAGACATACAGTAGGGGGAAGATTGTTGGTAATATTAGTGAGAGACAGTACTGGTGTTTACTATGTACAGCCCAGTTCTTTGTTTTGGGGTTAATCACTAAACACATGGAAAACAGTTTTATGGAATGTGAGTGAATCATCCTATTTTTAAAAGATAAAGACAAGTTAGATTCTACAACTGCAGCTGTTTCTGGCTGAACCACTAAACAGCCTTCTTTTGTCAGTTATAAGATGAGTTGCACAACACCATTATTGGCAGGTGAACATCAGCAAACAATTCCAGCAATTACTGTAATCTATTAAGGAGTACAAGGAATACTTCAATAAATGAGGTAGTACTGGCATTAATTGCTAAGTGTAAGAGCTGTTTCAATACAAACAATGCAAAGGATAGGAGATTCTGCACATGCAGCTGTACACAGTGTTACAGTGCAATTGTGTCACAGTCTGTGTAAGTGGATAAGGGAGCAAAGTGTCACTGACCTGAGTGGTACCCAGAGTAGTCTTGGCCATGCACTGGGAGGGTGCAGAAAGCAGTGAGACTGCAGATAGTCAGCCACAGCCAAACCCCTGCTCTCGCTGTGCAAGAAACCTAGGGGAGAAAAAAGGGTTCACTGACATGCGTCTGCACTGAGTCGCAGATCCAATATATTCAATGTTCTTTGATGATTTTCATCATCTTTGTTATGTGTCAAAGCCTGTTCTCTATACTCACCACCCTGTGATATTTTAAGCTCCCACAGTAACCAGTCGTTTTGAATGTGCTTTTCCCTAAGCAATGACTTGATTAGATGCCTGCTGCCCCAGCACACCCAAATGCAATAGAGATCTGTGCATCTGGCTTTTCTGAAAATGGGTCAATTTTGCTACAGGAGGTACAGTAACAGTTGTCAAGGTGGGGCTTTCACTTACAAAAATATTACAAAACTTCTGGGAGAGGACAAAACCCCCAAAATATCCTCCCAAGTCTTTCTGTATTCAAATCCAACACAATTTACTATATTTAAACGTTAAACTCATTCTTCTGACTGAGGCTAACTGCCTGCCAGAGTAACTAACTGACAGACAGTTCAAAATCTAATAAAGGAACCAACAACCTCCTTCCTAGCATAAGACAAATCCAACTCAATCATTCTAATTCATAAACTGTATATAATCTTTGATCATATTCTGAGATATCCTGGTAAAATATCTAACTATACTGTATAATTTTAAAATACAGTAAGATCATTATAAAGGAAGAGTACATTCATTCAGAGCCCAATCTCAAACCTTTTAACATTTCAACTCTTTAAAAACTACATTGTGACACAGTAAATTGTTCTTCCACAAACATTTGATGACCCACAGTTAACTTTGGGAGGACCACAGGGGAAAAACACAGATCATACTCTTCAGAACAATTCTGCCCCACCCAGCCAGACAGCCAGTAAGTGAGAATCTGCACCAGTAGTGCTCAGAACTGTCTCACTCTGCCCAGTATAGTCTGCACCAGTAGGGTGAAGACTCTACTGGGCAGAGTGAGACAGTTCTGAAAACTACCGATGCAGACTAAACTGGGCAGAGTGAGACAGTAAACCTATTACATGTTCCAGAACCTTCCCACTCTGCCCAGTAAGAGTCTGCACCAGTAGTGTTCAGAACTGTCTCACTCTGCCCAGTAAGAGAGAGTCTGCAACAGTAGTTTTCAAAACCATGTGACACCCCCTAGCCAGAGAGTGTCTACACCAGTAGCGTTCAGGTCTGTAGTGAACCACAGGAATCCTTTTAACAGTCTTCTTATCTTCAATCACTGGCATTATAGACACATTTTCTTCTAAAAGGAATGAGAGTTATGATTGAAAAACCTGACTCATCACTGGTGTGTCTCTCCCCTCTGAATTCTGCACATATACTGTATGTACACACAGAAACAGCTGCTGAAGTGCTCTTTATCAATCTGCCTTCACCAGAACAGAGAAACAGGAGCACACTCACAGGTCCCTGTATACAAACCTTGTCATGAAGTCCTCGGTCTGCTTTTATCTAAACACAATTGGACAAAATTCACCTGAAGGTACAATATTAATTAGCCTTAGTGACAACTGAACTCAGAATTTCAGCTTTTAAATTATCATTTTAAAAGAAAAGAAGTCATTGATTCCATTATTCTCTTTCTTTCGTTGAGTTTGAACTAGGTTATTGTTCAAATGCAACCTGAGAAAATGAACTAAAAGCTGAATTGGCTTCAGAACATTGAGTACTAGTCTTCCCATTGCTATATTATGACCACGGTCGCCCCCTAGTGGCCATTTTTCGACTGATCAAGCCCTCAAAGCTGCACATCGCAGAACCCCGAGAAATTCTTTCTGCAGAGATCTAATTAGGACGGCATACCGGATTCTCATTATTTCATCTGGAACACGCTAATGCTCTTATTTGCTTTTCAATTGAAAGCTCATTTGAGGGCAATTTACGGAAACCCTTAAAACGTCTGAAGTTTCTTTGGGTGCAAAAACAAAAATTACTTTATGTACTTCACTTACAGTACAGCACCATTCAAACGTTTGACAACACCATGTACAGAGAGACTGGGAAGCAGAATAATACTGTTACGTAATAAATATTAAAAGATGAGAGAAACTTAATGAAATTAGCAAATACAGTTAAGAAAATGGGTCATTATTGTTCTGTACCTCTGCATCTCTGTCCATGGTGTCTCCAAACATTCATGATGCTTAAACAAAGTTCAAATGTAATTGTAGAAACATGCAGTGAATTGTATTTCAAACACTAAGTGTATGAGTCAAACCAGGCATGATTCTCCTCTGGATACAGCCCGGCTTGAGACAAGGACAGAGGTTTGACTGTTCCCACAAGTCCAACATTCCAGCCAGGCATGAGGCTGGAATACCGTCTTCTAACATAGTGGCTTTTGAGCTGAACCTTTGTCCAGCTTTCGAACAGAGATTTAGATTCATACAACAAAAAAATCATTTCAGACAGGATAGCAAATTTTCCTTTTCAAAAGTTTAATTTCACAAAATTGTGTCTTTTGTGACCAAAAAGCGGACTGAGTTCCCAGCAGAAAATTTGATTTCTTTCAACGGGTTAAGTTATAGTAAGCTAGTACATCTCATCATAAAGTGCTCTTTTTGGAAGCTGAAATAACTTCATACTTTTTTACTTTAGGGTAATACACAACCACTTGAATTACAAGCATAAAACGAATACAATAACAGAAATAGAAGCTGTGAAGTTGAACGATGGCGCTAACACCAGCAGAGGGCACAGGGCAGTACGCAGAGTGCTACGTGAATACCTAAAGTAGGGGTCATCTGTCTCTGTGCCAGTTTTGCTCCTGTAAAAGACCCTCAGGTTTCCAGGGAGTCAGAGGAGCAGCATTGAAAACCAGACTCATAGCCTCAGTGCTCCTATAAAGCTCTGTTTAATGGCAAACTCTTAAAACAAAAATGCCAATTGACAAAGCGAGACAAGTTCTCCGCATTCTTGATGAATTTTTAAATATCCACTTATATTAAACTCTAACAATTCAGAATTTCACAAAAGTTATTTCCTTTTAAATGTTCGTTGCCTTAAATGTAAAATGGCAGAGTCCTACATTGGCTATTTACTCTTTAGGTCAATTATCAAGATAACTTCAAATCATTGCCTAGCTGGGATACAGGGAGTATCATTCCAAGAACACAGTTCAGCTGATATGTAAGCTATAGTTCACGTTGGATGCAAGTTCTAACTCCACTTAGGTCTGTTTAGAGCTAAACAAACCAATACAAATATGAGCAACATTTTAAAAGTTAATCATTTCAGGTTGCCTATAGAAGTAGTCCACCCAGAACAGTGACAAGAACATTTTTAATGCATTCAAATTATGATTGAAGATTCATTTTCAACTAGCCTTTTGCCAAGTCTAGGGGTCACAAGACTCCACATGCAACCTGCACAAAGGGGGCAGTTCGCCTCTAAATGAATCCTGTATTGATAAAAGGTAGCTGATGCAGGGGGTTCAAATCTTGGTTGATTCTCAAGCAAATCATTGGGACAATAAAAGGTATCTGTGCATTGTACATCACACAATTCTCCTGAAAACAACAGCATAATCTATTTCAATAATTGTAAAGGACACTCCCGCGGACATTTTATAACCTACACCGAGTCACCTGGTAAAACATTTTTAAGTACTGCGAACATACTTTCCTTGCCCCTGCCAAACTGCAACCGTCATCAATGAGCAGATGTGTCAGGGCATCTCAGCGACACAGTTAAGACGCTCTGTGCTGAATCTTCTGAAGGAAGCTCCAGGAAGATCACAGAAGAGCAACTGACTCCTACCTTTGCGTTTCCAGCTGCCATGGCTTCAGGACAGTTAGATGGGTGCAGATATTGGCGAGTTGTAGAGGGCCCTTCTCGATTTCACTCACTCAGGTATCCTTTTTACATCATTCTTTTGTCCGGGGTGGTGTAGCCTCTCTGTTCACCAGGTTCCTATCTGCCTAGTGAGCTCTGCCTAGAGAAAGCAAGGCAGGGCTTTCTCTACACCTCTGCGTTTGCCATCCGTGTCAGGCTGATCTCAGGGGGCCAAGGGAGGCGATTTGCTCTCCCCAACCTGGTGAGAAATACCTGACCTTCTTAAGTGCAAACATCCCTCCTGAGCACTTTCCTCACCCAGACACTGAACTGATTGATGGAGGCTTCGCGACGTGGCATGGCCTGCCTCTCCAGGCCGGCGTCACCCAAACCCCGCGCCGTTTTAATGTGCCGGCTTTCGACATTGCAAGACCAAGAGAAGTGCAACCAGAAAGGACAATGGATCAGAGGATCTTTTCCTCTCACGCCAAGTTCTGTCTTCAGGAAAGAAAAAATGATGAAGTAGAATCAGAGCATTGAAGCCAGAAGACAAAATGCCGTCGAAGTTTCGTCGGCAATTGTTTTCATTTTTTGCTTATTGCCCAAAACCCAATGTCACCAAGTTTTGGAACAAAAAATAAATAAAATTAGACATGATAGCCGTAGCTAAGGGTTTCCAAAAGAAATCTGAAATTTCCAAAGCCAGCGGATCCACCCTCTGGACTTAAAGGTGGATTTATGGGATAGTACTCCACACACAGAAGTGGCGATTCCCAGGAAGAGACAGCCATTCCTTCCACTTTTGTTTCCCCATTAATGTCAAGCCTATGGAAAGGAAGGACCGAGTTCATGATATTTAAAGTACTACAGGGGAGTTGGATTATTCCAGTCTTAATTTTGTACTGCAGCAACCACTTACAGCTATTGCAGTGGGAGTTTAAGGATGAAAGAGCTGTAATTTCCATATATAAAGGACAGATATTTATATATTACATAAAGTCAAGAAATGATCTCTAAACTTTTAAAAGGTCAAGCAGCTACCCTACACAAAAAATTAAGTTGTCTGCTTTACAATTTTATCATTTTCAGGAGAAACAGAATAAAAAAAAAAGCACATATTGAGACCAGACTCAATTATGAGTTCTGTGACATCTTAGTTGTCAGCTCTTAGTCACAGGACATGATGAAGCCCATCGATTACAAAGATCCAGTTGCTTTGAGAAAGTATTGCCGTGTTGCCTATTAAAAAGGAGGACCAAAACAGAATTTGTACTGACACCAATAGCTCTTTATTGCATTTTCATACTCAAACAATAGCAGGAATTGCATCGTAATAAATATTAATAATGATTGTTAAATCTCTCTTTATATCAGCACCCCCTGCCATGAGCAGATTTTAAGCACAGGAAGAGTGCACTATTTTCTCTGGATCTATGTGCACTGAAACAATGAAAGGATTACAATAAAAAAAGAAGCATACCCAGGTTTTGCAAAGAGGAGTACTTTGTGCTGGAAATATTTGTAAACGAAAATAATGTGAAACAAAATAGGTCAAGAGAAAAGTGCTCCTCTTCCCTGAAACTTGACATGCCACAGAATACAGGAGATTTTGCATAAAACAGATTCCACACCCGCATGGCACCCTGACACTGCGAGATGCATTCCTGAGATTTGGAGCTGCTGTGAAAAGGACTAGTTATATGCAGAGCTGTTCCTGCTGTTTTTCTGCATACACGGTTTCTTACAGCAAGACCTAGGGTTAGCAACATAAAACTCAATGTCTATCTCACATTCACTTTAAAACAAATCAGCAGGCAAACGATTCTTTGAAAAATATTGATGTTATACCAATAATGCCGATTTATCCACAAGTGAAATTCCAACTAAGTTTTACCGTGGATTTGCTAGTCTAATTGAGAAGAATTACGTATTAAAAACTACACCAATTTAAAAGATGATTACTATCAGACTCAAGGAGGACTTTAAGAGTCTATTTCTAATAAAGTGTCACATGGCTACTATTCCTGCAATTTTTCTTCGTCTGAAACACAGCCTTCCAGAGACTGACTCACAACTCCTGAAATTTTTCCTGTCAGTCTCAACACGGTTCTTTAATAAAGTCATTTTGTGACAGTCCTTTCCCCAACACTGTATATCTCACTATACACAAATGTTAATACTTTCTCCACTTAGATCTATTTTCTTCGTCTGCGGTCATGGTGTCTTTCATCTGGGGAGCGAGATTCTCTGAAAAATAAGTTAAAAGAAATTAAATAAAAATGCCAACATTTTTTAAAGTACAAAGCAAGGTATGCATTGTTTAATTGTACTACAGAGACCTGTTTAGTAAATGTCTTTCACTGCTTACAATTAAACTGTAATTGCACATTTACAATGCATGTTAATTGCTACACATGATACAGAATTAAGAGAGAAAATCGAGTAAATAATGATCACAGAGCTTGACTGATAACACCAAGCAAGACAATCTAGCAATCTAAAATTATTATTTTTATCATCGATTTCAAAATGCACAGAATTCAAATGTAGTAAAATTATGTAAAGCATTAATATCTTTTTTAGAATAGTGAGTGAAATCACAGTCTCATTACCAATCACAAAAACTGAACAGAACCTCGAGATTAGAGCAGAATTCCAGTTCTGAACAATATTAACAGCTTTAGCCTCATGGATTCCAGATCCCTTCACCAGACAGAGAGCATCTTATAACTACATGCATTAATTTGCAATGTATGCAATAGCTAAATTCATAAACTACTTATCAAACACATACTACCAAGTGTCAGATAAGTGATGCAATGCATCTCTATCTGGAGCAGTAATGTTGTTATCCAATAAATATAAAACCATTCAAGTGACCTGAATTGAACTAAACTTTGTCCCTAAGGAAATTTACCTTGTACTTGCAGAGCTCATAACCATTTAACATAAACCACAATAATAAAACAAAAGTACACCATGATACAAAACCTCATTTAACAACATTGCTCATTCTGTACTCTAAATGGTGGAGCTGTGTTAATTCCACAAAGAAAGGAAGGAAAATGTTCACCTGAAGAAGGTAACAGTGTGTATAAACTCTGTTCTTATGTTCTAGTCATCTACAGTTTAGATAGCTGCGACTTGCTGCATATTCAATACTCCTTGTCCTCAAGACTAAAAAGTATGGCCTTGCTGAGTACAACTACCTACAGCAGACTGTAAAAAGATGTACTTTGGTTTATGCAATTGCTAAACTCAGGATCAATATAGCTAGCTTTTTTGTTCATTGGAATGGATCTAAATTAGAATTACAAATATGTTCTCGTAAATAGCCAACGACTAAATGAACTGAGGTTTAGGGAAGGTGGCTTGAGAAGTAATTGCAGGGTGCGCATCCTCACAGAATAATCCACGACTAAGAATGTACTTGTCTCCTATCTGAGTGAAGCACTTATTTGGATTATTGAAGTTGGAAGACTTTTTGTTGCATTGTGTAAATTATTACCCATCAAAACTGCAAGACTTGACTAATGGCCTCATCTCTAATGTCCATAAGCTTGCAGACAAGATTAAAACCCTTGACTTCACTTTCTATTATTCCGCACACTAGTGATGCTGACCCACCTTTTCCTCCGGGAGTCTCTGTCTCTTTCCCGGCTGAGGTTCCTCCGGCGCCGCGAGCTCTCTGCGTCTCTGGAGCTCCCAGGAGAGTGCCGGGACTCCACAGAGGCTGATCTGCCAGCATCAGATGTCCGCCTGGGAAAGATGAAGATAAACTGCAATGGGGTCCTATGTCATATAAGGTTATATAAACAGAACCTCAGTTTCCATAAAGGAAATAAACTGGGGCCCGTGAGTTCAGTTCCTGGGGTGTTAACTCCATGGAGTTTGCATGTTCTTCCCATGTTTGAATGGGTTTCCTTCAGATGCTCCAGTTTCCTCCCACAGTTCAAAGACATACTGGTTGGTTAACTGGCTTCTAGAAAGCTGACTCTGGTGCATGTGTGTTTATGTCTGTATGTGCCTGTGATGGACTGGCATACCATCCAGGATCTATCCTGCCTTGCGCTCACTGCTTGCTGGGATAGGCTCCTGCTTCTCCATAACTTTGGATTGGATAAAGCAGTTAGGAAATTGATGGATGTTTTGTCTGCCACAGACCTTTTTCAGCCATTATCAATACAGATGTGAACTGACAGGAAATGTGCAGAGACAGTGTCTAGATTGTAAGAAACTGTGACTGGCAGTGAACTGCATCTTGCAGTTAAACTTTATAGAAGTTATTTCTCGCTATAAGCAATACCTGTCAACACAAACATGTTAGGGGTATAATAAATTAAAAGGCTTTTTATCTGCACCCTTAGCTGTGCTTTAAATTAAGGTGTCTGTACCTGTGTGACGAGGGCTTTGAAGAGCACATCTCTTTGTCTTCTTGCCACAGTCTGGCCAGTTCTCCAGAGTGAACATCTATCACCTCTCGGATCACCTGTGAATAAGTTAATACTTACTGTTACTATGAACACATGATTACCTGCTCATATGGAACACAAACATTATGCCCAGCATTACTGTGGCATAAGATTAAATGATCAGAGATAATCAACGTTAGCTATCCCATATCAAGGACAAGAAAGGAACTCTTACCTCTGTGTAAGACTTCTTTGTTATATGAACATTCTTGGCTCTGTAAGACTGGCGCCGCCTTTTATAATCTCTCATTTCTGCAAGAACTTCAAGGTGTGACTTGGGACCGTTCTGGCCATCATCTAAAGGGATTTAATGAAGCAATCTTTAGAGGACAAACAAAAGGTTGCTACCACAATGCATATAATAAACCACACTGTTATATGAAGATATGAGAAGGCTTGAGAGCAGCTAGCAAAGCTCCTCTTTAAATGGAAAATAACCGTATGTGAAAAGAAAGAAGCCAACAAAGTTTTGTGGCCACTTCTAAATATCACAATGGACTTTCCAAAAATACTTACCTTTCTTAAGCTTATTTACCAAATCCACATACAGGTCATCATTCTCAGCCACCTCTGCACGAGTCCTCTGTTGGGCTGTCTCTCGCAACACGTAGTCATAGATGGCCAGCCGGTCAGCCACAGTCAGGTCACAGAGAGCGTGCTTGTGATTCTGAGGAACATCAGCAGCCTCTGTAGAATACTCACCTGTAGCACACAGACAGGGTCTTTACCTAGGGCAGAGGGGGAGAAGAGGCACAGAGAAGTCTTGTGCATCTCCCCGATCCCCTTTGCAAACTACAGGTGATCTGTGATCTTATGATGTTGGACCACAAGTAAAAAGTCAAACACAGTTACTATTCCTAAAAAAGAGGAATTCATGACTTATGCGTGGCCTTTCCAAGTTTATCACTTTATTTCTGTGATTTGACGTCTCGGGAATAACCTTGCTTTGTCATAGCAAGCTGAAGTTCAATTTTTAAATTGTTTTCTTTCAGACACACAGCTCATTGACTGAATTCAGCTATAACATTAAGTGTGCGATTCATGGGATTCACAGAAATCATGACTCTCTTGGCTAGTTTAACCAAAAGAAACCTTTTGCAATCCGAAACTTGTGTTCCTGAAATTTTACCAATATACTATTGGCCGTGTATTTGCTAACCGTGCTTTCAAAGTGCGTTCACACCTCTGAACAATTTGGGAGCACAAACCTGTAAGCAATGACAAGCTGTTTTCAAGATGTTTCGGGAATGGTGCATTACCCTGAATGTGCAGGGAACAGAAAGGCCATCAACACCGCCAAAAAAAGCAAACTAAAGCTTTACGAAATGAGCCTGGAGGAAAAGGTCCCTTAAATGTGGAAGTATTATATACTTGGAAGCCTCTGTATGAAAACAATTAAAGAGTTCTGCATGAACCCTGAAGCAGGACTTCTATGGAAAACATGGTGTATCTGAGACAGTTGTGTCACGTTAACTGTGCCTTTTTACCGAGATGAGCCATCACATTTGCCGTTTCAGGTTTGACTGCCTCATTTACAGCCCTTACGGAAAAGTAAGTTTTCTCCTGAACCGGAGAGACTGTTGTCATCTTCTTCCCCTACATCTCTGCATTAGAGTATAACACCGTAGATATTTCTTTACCCACATACTATATACATTATAGCAGTGAATAGAATGTTAATCCACATATCCACAGTCAGTAGTGATGAGGTTAGTACAACCACTACTATGCATCTATGGATGTTTCATTAACATTCCACAGTACCTTATTTTATAGTAAATTAATAACAGACAGTCAATTAAACATTTTTAAATCTTAATCTAATGCATAAGCAGGTTCTCACAACTGTGTGGGGTTGCTAAGAGATCAATAAACCCACAAGCGATTTCACTGGTAAAACAGTATCGTCTAACAATATAATTTACAGTTAAGGTTAGACAATGACACAGAAGAGGTAGAGTTCCACATCGGAAGAAATACTGCTGCATTTTGGAAAACAGCAGCTCGCAGAATAATATTGTATCAACTGGATCTTTTAAAGCATAAAAAATTATCAAACCTTTCCCCAAGTCACACAAAGCTGGCGGGTACATGTTTTTCAGATATAAATCCAATTAAATAAACCCAGCGTCCACTTCACTGAAAAATCTTCCTTTGTTTTTTTGTGGCAGGGGAGCATATGTAGAGTTCTTAACTGACTAGATTTCTATCAACAGTGAATGACAGAGCATGGCCAGCACATTCTCACAAATGATGGATGTTACTGCTTTTGCCAATGAATTAATACTCGCATAAAAAACATGATTTAATATATGAATATTTTGTGTTTGTCTCATAAAAGCCTTTAATAATTATCTCAAATTCTTCAGTGATGCTGTCATGCTTTATGATCTGATCTGGGATATTCTGACCTCTGCTTCTTCAGGCTCACAGTAACTCCTACTAGCAGTGTGCTGTGACTTTTACGGCTCTGCTGCAGAGTGGAGTTGCACCTTGGCACTTTTAAAGCACAATGCTTCTTTTAGTCTGAGCTCCTCGCATCTCTCCTGCCTGCACTGGAAGCAGCACTGCCTTTCACCCACAATTTGTTTGAAAGGATATCATCTTTAAAGGATACTGTAAGTACACAGGCAAGCCTGCATGAGAGAAGAACAGTCTAGTTCTCAATTCCTCTTTATACTCACCCCTGTTACTGAAAAAGACAAAAAAATAAAGTGATAACACTGAACAGCGGAACCATAAACCAATAAGAAAGGCTTTCCTGTTCTATGGCATTCATAAAAAAATATTTTACAAAATGCACACTTGGATCATTCTGCATTTCAAACAGTATCCATTCAAGCACCCCCATGTATCTCTGTTGCTGTTTCAGTGGGGAACTATTCCAGAAGCAGGCTTGCTCCTTCCAGACATCCTTTTTTAGGAGAAGCCTCAAAAATTGCCATACAAAATCCTTTTTAAAATTGATTTCTTTGTTTAAGCTAATGTGTCTTTTGTCTGTGCAAAGGGGACAGCCCATCTGTATAAAGTGTCTAATGTCTTTTTTCCTCCTGTATTAAGTGATTAAACCTTAAAACGATTAGATCTATGCTTTTATTTTTTTGAGACATCTCTTTCACTGCGCAAAACAGTGAAAAAATCCAATACTCTCATTTCTTGTTTAGATATCAAGATACTTATAGATACTTATTCAAAGATTACTTTTTAGTTCCTGCATGTGCAAAATGAAAAATTCTCCAGCACTTTAGATTAACGTCTGCCAAGGTCATTTCTGCACATCTGAAACATTTCGTCACATGTCAGACATACTCACAAATTAGAAAAAAAAGTGTTGTGTTTAAGCAGAAATTGCTTTTGGAAATTAAGATTTCTGTAAAAAAAATGTTGAAAATGACCATCCCATTGGGCCGACAGCCAAACAGAAACAGAGATGAAAGGAGAATATAAGGACAAAGATAAATCAGGTGCTGACACAGGACACTTTGCATAATGAAACCTCACTCTTCCCTGTAAAGAGATTTTTGTTTACAAAAGGCAGACACTGTCGAGGACTCGGAAAATAGCTTAAATCAACAAAAGAATATCAGAAATAACAAACAATTGAATTGACTTTACAAATAAATACACTATGCAGAATGAATTGAATGAAACTAAAGACTTAACAAAAACAGAGAAAATAAACTATTTACTGTAACAGGTAGTCTTAATTTTTTTTCACAAACTGCAGTAGATTATCATCATACTGTATGTTGTCTCTCTAAGACAGTGGCTTCAAATCTACTTTTTTAAAACATAACCATTTATATTGTGCTAACTGAATCTGATCTTGCATAAAAACAAAGTATGCTGTCCAGATGCTGACAACTCCTGTGCCCTTCTTACTACTCATGAGTGACACCTACTGTATAAATTCGGCAAGAGCTTATCCCAGTATTTGATCATTAATCAAGTGCTGACAAAATTATTTAAAATATTTGAAGCATAAATTTTAACACAGAAAATATAGCAGCACCTTTTCTTCTATCTGTGAACACAGCACAAGCAACATGCCCCAGACACACAGATGTTCTTACTCTGAGAGTGCAGGTCTTCCGTTCTGCCTAGAGGGGCGCTTGCCCGTGCTTGCTCAATTATCTGCTGCTGCAAATGGCGATCTGATGAAGAAGAAAAGATGATACTCATTAACTAAAGCATTCTGTTCTACGCATCAGGATTGGCAAGAAAAAACAGGTCATTAAAAATTAAAAACTGCTCTTACATAAAGATTGCAAATATGAGTACAGTACACCATATATCAACAGTGCACTGGTATTCCTTTTGCACAACTAACTCTGAAAGGCTGCTGTACTCACCAATGACTACAGATGGCACATTTGCTTTCTCATAGCAAACTGAGGGATCGTACATTTCATCCTGAAAAAAAAATAGTCAGAAACAAAACAAATCAATGGATAGTTCAGCTGTTTAACCACTGGCCTTTTGTCAGAAGACACCATCTAGAATTACCATCACAAACCTCAGCTACAGAGCTGTAAAAGAACAGATGTCTTACGCAAGAGGTCTCACAACGATCATCGGCTTGATCACAAACGGTGATAAGTCTGAGTACAGGGTGAGTGCCAGGACAACAACCTCTCTCTGAACACCAGCAAAACTAAGGCGTTAATCGTGGACTACAGGAAGCATCGAGGAATAGACCACGCACCCATTCACATCAGCGGGTCCGCAGTGGAGAGAGTCAACAGTTTCAAATCCCTAGGTGTCAACACCACAGACGATCTAACCTGGACCCACCACACCAACCCCGTAGCCAAGACAGCAAGGCAGCGCCTATTCTTCCTCCGCAGACTAAAGAAGTTCGACGTGCCATCTCGCATCCTTTTCAACTTCTACAGGTGCACCACTGAGAGCATCCTAACCGGCTGCATCACTGCCTGGTATGGGAACTGCTCCGCCTGAGAGTGCAAGGTACTCCAGAGGGTGGTGAAACTGGCTCAAAACACTACCGGCTGCATCCCACCGAACATCGAGGATATCTACTCTGTTAGGTGCCTCAAGAAGGCCAGGTCTATCCCCAGTCACCCTGACCACAACTTGTTCTCTCTACTACCATACAGAAAACGATACAGAAGTATACAGACCAAGACCACCAGGTTTTGTGCTGTCAACATCGCTGTATGTTGTACTGTTCATGCACTGATAAATAAACCTTGATTGACTGATGTCATACAGCAGTCTTCAAACTCTTCCATGGCACTGATAAATTAGAACAAACTTGATAACACAAAAAGCATTAAGATTTTTTCAATGGTAGATGCATGAACAGATCACCTGTAGAAAAGAATTATTCTTAGAGTATTTCTGAATGTTTGATCTTCCTCTATGAGATTTACTCATACCCAGCCAGCGTCTCGGACTTTAACTGGTTCTTAGAACTTATCACTCCCAATGGATATTAGAGTGCATTCCATGCAGAACCTCTCCAGCTTCCCCAAGTTGTGTCCTGCACTTGTGATCTGCTTCCCTCAGTTCATACCTCTAATATGCCATTACAGACAGCGATGACCAAACCAATACACTAATGTTTCTGTTCTCCAAACCACTTGCTCATTAACAATACTGCATCTGTTACAGTAGTATTCTTCTTCACAGAAGGCTATATTTTTCAGCTAAGATATCCTGGTGAACTTTGGAATCTGTCCATCAGTTATAACTAGGACAATAGGGCCAAAGTATGCTAACCCTACTTAGCAGAACAGATCTGTTGCTATTCTTCAAAGAACAGATGACACTTTTTAACACCAGCTTCTCATTTCGGTGTTAATGATACAGGTAGTGAGACTGACAAAAGCCCAGTTTCTGTTACATCCAACCATATCATGCAGTTCCATGTTCTGGGCTAGCCCCAGCTTTGTACTTCTGGGCATCAGAATTTTGTGTCATTTACCCCCTTCACACTTAAACTACATCGACTTTACTTTTCACATGCACTTCATTCTGTTAAAAACAGAACCTCACATTGATTGTTCTCAGATCAATAAACTTTACCACGGGACTAGGACACTTAGACCAGACTCACAGAAAAATCCCGTATTTTTAAGACCACTTTTGTGTTACCTGTTCCTCCCGGGAGTAGCCCATCTTGCTGAGCCGGCAGCTCCCCAGGTGCTTCTCCAGGCTCCTCTCGGGAACTCGGTGATGGGGATCATACGGACACGTTGTCATCGGCTCCTGAAAATACACAAGCACAACCGATACCCGTCTGCGAACAAAGATCAGAACCGCAATGGACGACATCACTTAACAGGCGGTAAATTCAACCGCTAATGGAAGGCTCGTGTAATATATTTCGGAGTTTATTTAAACATCTACACAGCTAATCACACACCAGTGTTGCACAATATCTGGAGACCTCAGCTCCTGTACCTGGATGCCAGCCGCGCCGGTATCCTGGCTCCAGCCCAGGGCCGCAAACACGCCGCTCAGCTGGTCCCGGCAGCTGTCCACAAACTCGCTTAGCTCCTGCAGGTCCCGCAGCCGAGCCTGCAAATTCTCGGATAACTCGGGAGATGGAGACACATGCACGGGAGAGTCGCTCATCTTCCCACCTTTCGTTAAAAATTCCAACACATACTCACGCTACTCTAAAAAACAACCTCCTAGACAGTCACCCGGAAACACAAACTAAAAGCGGAAAGAGCCACAGCTATCCCATGATTCCTGCGAATGACGTGCTGATTATCTCGCTGCGGTCTGTTTCCCAGGAAAATCTTACGTCCATGCACAAAAAGCTAGAGAACCATATCTCCAGACTCTTTCTAAATGGATGAACATGATAATTAGGCGTACCTTATCTTTATTCATTAATTTAATCTTTTTGTAAATGCAAGTATCCTTGTTCATGTTATATGCACTCTTGTGTATATATTGTATACATTTTGTGTTGCAATAAATAAATAGAAAACTAGAGAAAATGACAAACAACAATCTAATTACATTGCTTTTGCACCTTACAAATTATGAAAACTTTTCAGATGTTGTCAGGTTGCTATTAATTCTACTGACTTAGTTGTGTTTATATTGCTTTAATTGTAACTAAGATACAGGGTTAGGCTTATTTTAAATTGGCCTATGCCAATTAAATATATAACATGTATATGTCTATCCTGGCTGCCACAGGTCTCTGATTTTCTTGTCACTTGTATTTTTCCATTTTGTTTCTTTTTTTTTTACTGAATTTATTATTTCTTTTTCACATATTTAATGTATTATTGAATATTTTGTAAGTCACTTTGGATGAAGGCAGCTGCTAAACATATAACAAACACTGCTGGATGTCAAGTTAATGTTAGTGTTACTTCTTGTGTGAAACTCTTTTGAAGGATTTCCTTTTGTTCTTCCTATAAATGTCAACTCCCTGGGCTCTTGTGAGGCACACGTCAGTGAGAGAGACGGGGTGTTGAGCAAGGAATTGAGGACTTGTATGGTGCTAGTTCATTAAGAATCCACATACAGTAGCTAAATATTGTGTACATAAAAAGTAATAATCCTTAAACTTATATAGCACTTATCTAGATACTCCATTCAAAGTGTTTTAAAGGAAATGGGGACTCCCCTCCATCACCACCAATGTGTAGCACCCACCTGAATGATGTGACTCTGTTCAACCACTCTGTTCTTGTAAGTTATATTATTCAAAAGAGAACATAACAGATATAGTTAAACAAGTAAAACATCTTTAATAGGTAATGACATGAAACAGGTGAAGTTTGAAATTGCACCTATCTTGATACCCAGGGTCAATCTAGAATGTTCCCTTCCCCCTGCTGCTCATCTTCTTGGTGTGCTGTGTGAGCTGGGTGTGAGGGGTGGGGCTCTAGTATCCAGTAGCTCTCTGTCTCTCCCTCTCTTCTTTCTGCTGACAGCCTGGGCAGGGTCGATTCTGCAGCACAAAGTTACAAATATTAGATAGTACTCTTCTCTTTCATGGCCAAATCTAATTTGAAGTCAAGTCATTGAACTAGTAGAATGGGGTTATAGACAGTATCAGTCTGGGCTCGGTAGGGTCCTACTCAAAACATAACTTCTGTAAAGCCAATATAATTTAGCAGATATGAAGCCCTGAAGAGAACATGAAAAGGATGGGTCATGTGTTCATCCTGTCCTGTTCTGTATCCTGTGTGTGTTTCCATGAGTATGAGGATCATTCAGTTCTACAGACAGCCTGGGCAGGGTCGATTCTGGGCTACACAGTCCTGAGAAAGAAACAGCATCTCAACTCAACACATGCCGTCTCTGTTCGATGTCCCTGAGTACACACGACTTCTATGACTTAATCTGGGGCAAAACTGATTGAAACGTGTAGAATGGGGCTATAATCAGGCAGTACAATTCTGAACTCAGTAGGGGTCTATTCTAAATTTGACTTCAGCAAAGCCAGTATATTATAGCCTGTATGGAGACAATAGAACAAAAAGGACTGGTTTTGTGTTTTTCATTTTTTGCCTGCTCATGTTCCCCTTGTGCAGTTCTGTACCATGTGCCTTAGAGTGGACGACTGTCCACTGATTGAACTATTTGTGTACCTAAAACTGAGGTGCAGTTATACCAGACTGACTCAATGACCTGTTTCAGTGGGAGACGCCTCTTGATCCAGACCAGGACACAGCACAGGAGGTGAAGGAGCCCACTGTACTCCACACACAGACGGCAGCCTGCCCTCACTGTCTCTGTGGACAAGGGGTCCAGGGTCCTGATCATCTGGGCCCAGCTCTCAGAGCTCTTCCCCTGGGCTGCACTGGCGGCAGCTTTGGGGTCAAAGGCCAGTTTTGGTCCATTGGGTTCCTCTCCCTTCCTGTTGTTGACCTGAATCTGCAAGAAAGATAGTAAATTTGAGTAGATAAAATCAGAAAATTCTAAGAATATTAGGAAAACAGAATAAGGTATAATGTAATTTGTCCTAGAAATTAAGTCTATCTATCAAGATAGTATTTTAACTGCTTTGCGTGCTATTTTGTATTTTGTCTTTACTCTGCCTTTGAATCAGAAAGAGATGTTGGTCAGCCAGTACAATATAATATTTGTCCTGACAGAGCCTGCTATTTCCTACCAGTGTGTCTTCCACTGTGAGCTGCCCAGTCTCCTGTCTGTCCTTCTCCAGCCCCCACAGCTTCTCTTCCTGATTGATCAGCAGTTCAGCCTCAGTGGGCATCAAGCGGAGCTCTGCAGAGATTGGGACCCTCTTTTCATTAGCAAACTGCCCTCCCCACACTAGGAGGCCAAAAGCTGCCAGTAGACTCTTCACAGCCTGCATCCTTTTACTATGGTAGCCAGACACTAAATGCCCAGTTTACCTCTGGGTTTCTGCTTTTAAAAGATTGGAACCTTCATGTCAAGGGTTCTGATGACATCAGAAGAGGGACAAGTTGTGATGCCACATGATGATGATGGAATTGTCATGGAGACCCCAGATGTTGGCAACAACACTGATTTGTTTTGTTTTGTTTTGTTTTGTTTTGTTTTACTTTATTTATAATCCAAATGATGTAAGAAATATTGTTAAAAAATGAGACAATAATTAATATCAGTATGGGTGATATCTTTCTGTCATTTAAGGGAATTCAATTAGGCAACAAGATCTCCAATTTCTCATGCAGGGGTGAAATTACAGAAGCAGCTGTTAGCTCATTTGACACAGTATGGTCATTCTACACGAATACATTACAAATCTAGCATTCATACATATACACTATCCTGTCAGAATAACACAAGCACCTTTGTCATGTACTGTTTACTGTATGTGTAAATATATTATAGGGATGAATGATGAACCTCTGGCAGTTTCACAAAGCTTGGCTATGGAGACAGAACCATAATATAACTAATGCAGCCTTTTTTATATATAAAGTTAAGCTTAGTAACCACAGACTGCAAGTGTTTGACATGCTAAGAGCAAATGAATATTATATCTAGCATTTAGAATGACTATATGATCTTAAACCTTCACCATAACCCTGACAATTACCTGTTTTGAGATATAAGTATCTATAAGTAAAAACCCTTTGGGTTGTTGAAGCAAATGTGATATGATTTGCTCTTTAACATTTTCACCTGGATCTGAAAGAGGAGAAATGATTAGCCAGCACTGACAAGGAAAGTACAGGAGGGCTTCCTGTTTTTAATATTGGTGTACTCTCTAAATACTACTCAGGGTTAGTACAATCCGGTCTTCCTAATTTCACCCTTTATTAATTCAGTTGGTTCTTAATTCAATTTGATTTTTTCCACCTGATCTGTTGTGCACTGGGGTAATATCTTCACACAAAATTAAAACCATTGTAATATTACTGTGGCAGACTGGTGACCACAAAAGCTTCAAATACGTGATTATTTATAAATGAGCACTAGGTGGCGCATTTATTATTCTTTTGAACAGTGCGCCGCTTACGTTTTTATGAGAAGATCCTTTTATGAGAAGATTTTTAACACATGAACAGGAAATGTTCTTCCTCATTTCACATTAACATATTCCTGGATCCCAAAATAATTAGTATCGCACTGAGAAGAGTAGTAGTGTTCTGTAGAGAGTAATTGGGGTGATACCGAGAGATGTTGTGGCGTTTTATACAGTGTAACTGAGAGGAGCATTTTTTGGCTCTGGATTGCTTTTAGATTGCATGAATCTAATATTAGAATAATTCATGTGTACAACCGATTACAGGACATTGGAAAGGGGCTTTTGTGACTGATTTTCAGCAATGAAAATGATTTCATTAGAGCACTGTCACTGCTTTCAAAAAAGTAATAAGAAAAGTCAAAAGTGTACTTTATTGCCAAACCAGCACTTTGGGTTACTAGGATTTTTGTTGTTGTTGTTGTGCACTCTAAATAACAGAGATAAAAAAGACAGATACCAAAAGGAGATAAAGCATAAATAACATGCACATATTACATACAAGTCATGCACATACTGTATCATGCACATTTCATATACAAAACCATACTTTTATAACAGTGTTGAGGCAAAAAGACCAAATAGCTTTAGTATAGGTGCTATTTTGGAACCACTCTGTTCTAGATTTCGTACATCTTAACTTTCTTCCTGAGGGAAGGAGCTCAAGCAAGGGAAAAGCTGGGAGAGAGTGGGCACCCACTCTCACCATTAGAGTTTTCCCATTGAAATGTGTTGCATATATGGAAGCAGCAGATGGTAAGTCACAACCAGTTTAATTTGAAGCAGTGTGGACTATATCCTGATGTGTTCTCTATTAAGAGGCTACATTCCTAAACCAGACCTTGACAGAAAACATTGACATACTCTCAATTATTGCCTGTAAAAATGGACCATGGCCAGAGACACACCAAAACTTCTAAGCTACCTGACAAAACAGAGTCTCTGATGGTCTTTTTTCTCCGCTTTCTTCAGCCTTCGGTTTATATCGGCCACCCATTTCAAAGTGGAGGAAATTGCTGTGCCAAAGAGCTTAAAAGGGTTGTAATTCATTGCTGTCATATCTGACATCTGATGTCAAAGATTACCACTTTGGTTTTACTTTCATGGAGCTGGAGATTGTTTTGACTGCGCCAGCTCACCAAAGCACTGACTGACCTCCTTCCTGCAAAGAGACCGAGTGCTAATATTTTTATATTAGCACTGCCAGGATGTAATCTCCTGCAAACATGGTTCACTTCACAGAACTAGTAATAGATGCACAGTCATTAGTAAAGAAGGAGCACAGACATAGTGACAGATCACAACCCTAGGGGGAACCCGTATTTAAAATCAGTGGATGTTAGAGAATCAGAAACACGTTGATTGATTTATACCCTTGTCAGTTAGTTTATGCAAAAGCCTCTGGGGTACACTTGTATTAATGGCCAAGCTGTAATCTGCCAACAAGACTCATGAGTACAGCATATACTAGGGGCCTCTAAGTTCTATAAGATGTACTGGATGCACTCAGAGACCTCATCCTTAACAGACATCTTTGCCTTGTATGCCAATTGGTATATGTCTAACCTGGATGTTGAACAGATATTTTCAGACTAACTAATGGCTGATGGAGAGGCTGTGGTCTGAAATCATTTAGGCATGTTATGATTGTTTTCCTTGGCACTAGGATAACAACAGCAGACTTAAAACACACTGGAAAACTTAGACTGCTGCAGTGACACATTAAAGACATTATTTAACATGGGTGCCAGCTGATCTGCACATGATTTCAAAGTAGCAACTGAAACATGATCTCTGCCCAGAGCTTTCCTCCCATTGTGTTTGCAAAGGAGATGTCTAACCTCATGTTCTCAGATGATGAAGGGAGGAGAAGTGGGTTCCAGAGGTACGTTAACTATTTGTTGTACCTGAAAGCTTATCATAGAACTTCTGGGGGAGTTCTGGGTCATTATCAAGGGCTACTTCAATTTGCCTTTCAGCACACCTCTGTCTTGGCCCTTTGTTTTCCACACTGCCCACTCAAACTCATATTTGGTTGCTTTGTACAAAATTCTATCTATACATTTAAATGTGTCAAATTTCTTTTTACAAAGTTTTAAAGTCTTTGCTGAATCGTGGTTTGTTGTTATAAACAGCCACTGTCCTAGAGGGGATACACACACCTTCACAGAAGCTGATAAATGACCTTATAGTATCTGCCAGCTCATCAAGATTGCAGAGTCTTTGAAGTCATTCCAGACTGCGGAATGTCAAAACAGTCTCTTAGCATGTCCTCTAATTGTGGTGAATGTTCACACAATTTTAATGCTAGTGTAGCGGAGCTCGTGTGGTGACGTCAGCGCCCTCACTGCGCATAGCAGGGTCCCCAGCTGCCTGGGCTGGGGGAGGTCTCCTTAAGCTCACGCAGTTGGTGCCCTGTTGCATCACGCTGGAGACCCGGGTTTGCGCCCCAGGTGTGGGGGCTGGAACGGGTAGCGGGGGGCACGACCTTGCGTGGAACCGTGACTGTGACACTAGGCGTGACTGTTTTCAACCTCTGTCTGTATTTGGGGACAAAGAAGATCAAATTATGGTCTGAGTGTCCAAGGGGAGCACATGCAATGGCATGGTATAGCACTGGTCTAAAGCGTTTCTCCCCTAGTAGTAATTTTAATTTGTTGTTTATATCCAGGAGGAACTCTCCAAAGAGAGTGATTCACATTCACATTTAATCACTCAAAATAAAAAGTCCAAGTCTGCGCAGTATTTTCCTTCTTTGTGATCTGTGTGGCAAGGAACTTGGCAGCTACTGCAGAGGACACATCCACCAAGGCAGAAGTATATACTGTAGGCGTGCTGTAAAGCCCAACTGGCTGCACGATATTAGATTTTGGAGAGACAATATTTCAGTAGCACACACAGATATACAGTAATGTCAATCAAAATGTCTTTATTAAGCAATCAGTATAGCAATTTTAACAGTGATTCTTGTGCAATATCCTCCAGGAAACATCTGTAACTGGAATATAATGTTAACCAGCAGAATTGAATTCTAAGAAATTACTTCTCCCTGACCTGGCAGAATGGCTCTTACAGAAATAGGTTTAAGGTTAAATATGGACATTTCGTTTATCCCACATCAAAAGACAAAAAAAAAGACATATTTTAATTTTTGTAGAGTACACAGGCTCAAAATAATATTTTTGCATATTATTTCTTTTTATATCTCTCTAGAAAAAAAGAAACCATCCACAACAGGTGCCTTTGTATTTCATCAGTTATCTTTAATAATATGCTGTCGCACCACAGTATTATACAATTCATATCTGATTTCCAATAAAACCCTGTCTGCTGGTGAAGAATCTCTTGCCTAGATGAGGTCTGGAGAAACCATACTGTCCAAATCGTGTGTCTCCACACGTCTCAGTGATAATTGCACTGCAGTATAAGTAGCACTTTGCAGATGATATTAAAATAGGAGAACTGAAAACTGAATATTTTCCTTCTTTGTTTTTCCCTCTCTGTTTTTGTTTCTCCTGCGGTCATTGAGTAGTGCTCTTCCTCTCTGTTGGCAATAAAGCACATTAACAAAGTCACAGCATGGAACCCTTTCCTGAGATGAAATACAAAAATAAATTATAGCTTGTCTGTGGTGATCAGAGGCTATGATATATCACAGAATTATTATACAGATGAATATACTGTACTGTATTCAATGTAACTTATAGCAATAAAAATGTGAGTATATAATGGAAATAATGCAGAATAAATTATTAGTTTTTGGTTACAAATGAGGCTCTGAGATGGTGTGACAATTTATAATAACAAGAGATAAGGTAACAAGAGATAAGGTAGTTATTTTGCATTGTTTAAGAGTGTGATCGCAGTAGGGATGAAAGATTTCTTGAGTTTGTTGGTTTTACACCTGGGGGTAGAGAGGTGTCTCCCAGATGGGAGAAGTGTGAATTCACAATGGAGAGGGTGAGACACACATTCCATAATGCTTTTGGCTTTCTTAGTCACCTTCTGTTTGTAAAGGATACTTAAATGTATTTGATTATTCCAGATTATTTTGCCACTTATATTTACTAATTTACCCTCAGTTTCAACAATGACCCATTGTGCAACGAGAATCATTTCCATGAAATACTGCTCAAAGCTTTAAATGTGGTTTATAAGCCCATTGGCCAAATCCCAATTTGGAAATTAATCTAAGTGAGACGAAACCCACCTTCTTAGGCAGGTTAGAAATTTGGGCTAGAGCTAAATTGTTACTGCCCTTATTCATCTTGGGATATTGCATGAGTGTCCATAACATAAAAATAAAATGAGCACAATAGACAAGTGGGCCCACTTTGAAATATTTTAATATTTCACAAGACACAAGACTCTGGAGGGTGTCTATCCCCCTCTGGCTGGATGAGGCCTGTCACACTGTTCAGGAATAAATTCACAGAGAGGAGCTGAGGTCTGCGCTGAAAATTTTACAACAATGTGAATCATCAGCTGTGTGCAGAGAAGACAAAACGAATATGGAAGTACCCTAAATTGATTTACCAGGCCACGTGCACACCTTCCATAATTATCCAGCTGTCCTTATACAGAAAAGGCTTCTTTACACTTTGGCTTTATTGTCCAGGGCTCATTAAAATGGAGGAAATGGTGCTGCACATACTGTATGCAGAAGGCCAGATTCCATCGCAGAAACTCCATTTCTTCGACCAACCGGGCCAGAGATTAATCTGAAGGTGAGGATGGTACACAAGGTTTTACTGGGATTGGGTGCTTCAGTTCTCCAGCCTGGAGACAGGTGTCCTCTCCGCACAAGAGGTGTGTCCTTGCAGCCACAGTCTCAAACATTCGAACCCAACGCACAGCTTCCCACTTACTCACAGGTGCGAGGACGTTCTGAGGATTGCAGGTTTGGATGGCAGTGTTTCATCATGATGGAAGCCCAGTAGCATGAAAATCAAAATGGAACAAGAGGGGTTTGTGGCCTGAGGAGTCTCTTGCTACCCAGCTATTTGCAAATTCTTTCATTTTCACTGCATGCATTTTTTTCTCTGCATAGATCATATCTACCTGAGTAGAGTACAGCTGTCTTTGGCATTGCTAGCTGTGAACTTGCTGTTATAGGTCCTATATATTGTGTTAAAGCAACTGAAGGACTAAAATTCATTTTTTAGATTAAACACTAATGTCTAAATGTAGCACAGAAGCATTTTTTGTTGTGTACTAATTAAAATGATTAGGAAAAATAAAAACAGCCACTGTACAATAATACTTTAAAGATAAATGACAAAATAAGAGTTATAACAGTATTGTATATTCTAATATTGGCATTATATTTGGGGTACAGTTGAAGCAATAAAAAGCTCTCATTGAAACCAAGAGGCTGATATGCGTCTCGAAACCCATACAGTATTTAGCTTGAATTAAGCAAAACAGCCGTTGGTGAGGTGTCCTCTATTAGAGAAAGTTCTTGAGATTCACAGCTGTTGTCCTTTTCATCACTGGAGGCTGCTGTGGTAGAAAAAGAATGCGTGGTAACTTTGAAAAGATCATTCGATTATTTCAGCGTAAAATTATAGCAATTGTGAATCATTATGTACAAATTACTCTGAATGACTTCAATGAGCTCAGTTTCTGAATGCATTGTGTTTCTGCATCACTGTGTTTTGTATACTGTATGTACAGTTTTTCATTTAAACAGGACACTTTGCTTCAGTGCCTTTATGTTCATGGAACTGGAAATTGTTCAGTTCTAATGTACATATCTGAATGGACTGCGAGTCCAGTCCCCTGTACACTCTAGAAATATAGTGTATTTTGTATGTGAAGCATTATGTCTGTGTTCAACTTTTACACAGTAACATCTCTTTCATCTTTTACATCTTACAGTACATCTATGCTTATATGAGAAACATTCCTAAAATGCATACAATAGGATGTAGCATGAAGGACGTTGTGACAGTTTTGGATTGTTATACACAGTTTCCCCTTAAAAACTAACCTAGCACTGTTATCATTGCACTTACTTTAGTTTGATGTTCATCTTAGGATGGCTAAGAAATCTTTGCATTTCAAAGAATGAGGCAACTGCACCCCAAAAACTCCTAAACTGTCATTAAAGGACCCACATTTACCTCGTCGTCGTGCCCTGAGCTCTGTGAAAACGACAGCCCCGATAATCGCCCCGATCACAATCAGACCAATCACAATAAATGCCGTGTAGGTTTTAGTGGAGACGCAATTATTGTATGGAGCACCTGTATGGAGAAAAACAATATCAGTGAAACATTCAGTTTTATAAAGTGATATGAGCTAAAAACATTAATTAGATGGCGCAAGGACACACAAAAAACTAGATACTTCCCAAAAGGCACTGTATATTTGATCTATGACTGCTAATTTTATTTTTGCTGCGCTACTGCTGATTCTGTCACCACTGTTACTACTGTTGCTGCGTCTTTCTTATTCTTTTCTCCTTGGCTTAGTTTCCATTGCATGCAAAGCCAGAGGGACAGGGGTGTATATCAGCGTTAGTGCAATGCTAATGCGGTCTCCTCTCTCACTTCCTGAGGGTCAGCATTTTAGGAGCCACTGTTGAATGTCTTAACTGCAATAAGATAAAAGGTTACACGATTGAAGGACAATGACTCACACATGGTGATGAGGGTTTACCTTGAACGCTGAAAGATTTTGTCTCGCTGAACATAGCTGAGCCAAGTTGTCCAGATTCTGATATGTCATGCACACAGGTAAAGGACACTGGAGGAGCTTCATTGATAATGAACACGGATATGTTTTCTGCTTCATGGAAAGCATGCACAGTGTAGTTATTGTGGCCCACGACATTTAAATAAACAGTACTTCCTCTGATGTGCACATTGAAAGAACAGATCACAATGTATTTGCTACTGGCTTGAGGTTGTACAAAAACTTCAATGCCTGGACTCACAAGACCTGAAAAGAATAGTGACAAGAGGATATAAAAAAAATGTAAGTCTTAAGAAAATAAAGTGTACATAAAATGGCAATTAATCAAAGAAAATACAGGTGTAGATTTAGGATTGTTTTGCAGAAATTCAAATGATGAAACAAATGGCTTCTATTATTGTACAGACTAGTGACATGCAAGTGTAAAAAGACTCATTTGTTTCTAAACAGCCAGCAAATGTATTTAAACAGCTGCAAATAAATTTCTTAATTATTTTAGCTTTTTAATTGGTTCAGACCTTTCTCCTAACACATATCAGTCTCACAACCTGTGCTTGTAATTTCATAAAAGTCATGAAAGTTCTTTTGGACTGATGTCTGGGGATTGTCATGGCCAATCAGGAACTTGAGCTACATACTTCTGAATATGTTGAAGACTCCATGGTTTTACTCTTAGGAGTGAGAAAGCCAACCAAACCACCTTTCTAGACAACATTTCTGTACAAAATGATTGTGTTCTCTTACTGATAGTGGAAAATAAGATAGGGATTTTAACTTTGGTAATTAGTAATGTATTACACCACTTTTTCCGTCTACATTTTTTACCAAACCAAATGTTGTCTGCACATAACCACATCTAAAAAATAGTGTCATTGATTCGATTGAGCACACTGACCACAGGGGAGACCTCTCTTTTTTTCTTTCGTAACAGATTATTCCTTTCCCATCTTTCTGGTCCTGTATGGAAATCAAGACCTTGGCCAATAGCAAAACTGTTTGTCAATACCGGGAAGCTAATGCATTGTTTTCCATTGGAAGACTGCAACTTGAAAATGTGCATATTTTCTCATGGAAGCCATGGTTGTGTCAAGCCTTAGTGTTAAAATAGAATTATGTAAACAGCAATAATTGGTCTTACCTGAGCAATCGACAGCTGCATCCTCGGAGTGATAGCAGCCTTGATATTCCATGTATTGTATTCCACAGCTCTGCAGCAAGGACTCGTTCCCACTACAGTGATTCAGTAGCATAATGGGTCCACTTCCCTCTCCAAAGTGTGCACTGTGTATGGCGATGGCTGACCCACCCACTCCACAGCCCATCTGTCTGCACACCACCTCAGCAGCAGCCTTATCCCAATTGTCATCACACACTGTCCCCCACTTGTTGCTGAGAAACACCTCCAAACGTCCAGAGCAGTTGTTGTGTCCATTCACCAGTCTGATAGGCATGTTCTCTATGCCTTCGCACAAGATTAGAGTAGATAATGATAAAGAACAAAAAAACATGCTAGACGAGCCAAATGTCTTTCTCTCCTTTGTACCTGTTCTTAGATAATGAACCATAAACCAAGAATGCTTTACAGGATCTACACGTTAAGTCCAAGCTTCACTTCATTAGCTAGATGTTAAGATTTAACCTACAGCTTTGGGGTGTCTTCACAGAACTATTACTTTTCTTGCACAGTCTTTAAAAATGTGAAAATTAGAACTCTGTAGAATTTAACACTGGCATTTAAAACCTGCTGTTTGCGAACTTTTGGCAACAAAGCCGAAATCGCAATTCCTTTTGCTTACAGCCCCCTTAATAAGGCCCCCTTAATAATTTTGTAGTCCAACCAGAAGGTAGCACAGCTTCAAAACGCTTTGAAGAATTGGAAATGGTTCTTACCCACACAATCAACTCCTGCGTCTTCCGTGTGACCGCAGCTAGAATATCCCCTGTCTCGCAGTCCACAGCTCAGCAAAGACGGCTCATCCCCATTGCAGTGGCCATGCACATAGCTCGTTCCAGTTCCTTCTCCAAAGTGTGCGTTGTGCACGGCCACTGCAGACACGCGATCCCCACACCCCACCTCTCTGCACACCACTCGAGCAGCTTCGCTGTTCCAGTTACGGTCACACACAGTCCCCCACTGGCCCTTGTGGAAGACCTCCACTCTCCCAGAGCAGTTGTTGTGTCCATTGACCAGTTTGACTCTTATGTTCTCTGTGCCTGCATTCAACAGAAAGTAGTTAATGAAATTATTGAAACAAATTATTGTTTGCTTATCATGATTTCAGCTCATCTAATCCCGTAGTTAATCTCATTGCATTTACAGTGCCTTGCAAACTATCAAGCCTTCATCCTGTATATTTATATTAAAGTCCATTTTAGTTTTGGATTTATTTTTGCTGAGAGGTGACTTCTTAAAAATGTTCAAGTGAAGAATTCAAACTTTGATTAAAAACATTAAAAATACCTATACATAATTTGTACTGTAATTCAGCAAAATGGGACATAATTGGAAGGGGGTGACTAGTTTTGCAAGGTACATTCTGTACCATAAATATATACATTTCATATTATGTGCAGGAATATTTTTTGAAAAACGTTAACATTAACATTTTTTTCACATTAACAAAATGAGAACATGAGCACAGTTACAAACGAGAGGAGGTCAGTCAAGCCATCGGTTCAGTTTTGGTAGCTAGTAATTACTGTAATTAATCCAAGGATCTTGTCCAGCTGTTTCCTGAAAGACACCAGAGTATCAACTGAGCAACATGACTGGGTAGCATCTTCCAGACTCCCATAGCCTTTTGGGTAAGGAAGTACAGTAACTCCTGTTCTTCTGGTTCCCATGTCTTTCATTGTTCATGCCTTTGAAGATTGTCAATACTTGTACCAGATCCCCTTGCTATCTTCTCTGCTCCAGACTAAAAAGGGTCAGTTTGTTCAGCCTGTCATCATATGACATTCCTTTAAGCCCCACAATTTCTTCTGGATTCTCTTCTCTGGACTGATTCTTCACTTGTCTACATAAAACAGCATCTGCCAGGTGTTCACCCAATCTTGAATTTTAATCTATAGTATTTTTTTAAAATCTCATTTGCTGCTTTTGTAATATTTGCTAATCCTCCTACTTTGAGGTTGTCTGCAAACCTGTCTAGTCTGCTAATTATACAAAAATCTAGTTCACTGATATATATTAGGAAGAAGCCCTAGTACAGAAACATTTTAAGGCACTTTTATTTTGATTTGTTTTATTCAATGCAATATTGATGTGCTCAATAACAAATATATATAGAAATATATATTTCTGTCATCTTTATGTCTAAAGTAAGAAGGCCCAGAACCAAAATGTAATTGTCCCTGAGCAACTTACATCGACTGGTTCCACTTTCTTCTGTCCTCAGCACAGAAATGTATTGTGATATCCTTCTATAGTTTGAAATGCATTAGAATTTTAGAAATGAACATTTTAAACTACAGAGTGGCTTACTATTCAGAGGACTTTTCCCCCTCGATTTTCCAGCAGCAAATCTGTAGATAACATTGTCAAAGTCAACAGATCCAGCTTCCTGTGAGCCTACTGAAAGAAGAGCCAAGGTATCCGGTCTTTCCTGCGTCCTTCCTGAAGCCCTCAGCACAGGAAGAATGAACTGTGGGTGCAGTGCTGTGGCAGGGTTTGAGATTGCCGGGCACACTGATCGGGAAACTGCTGGTTCTCCAAAGGTTTCCACCTTAGTCAGGTTCTGAGCTAATGAAACTCCTCAGTAATATCTATCAGCAATCCATAACTGGGTTTCTTCTTTTCTGGTTGAATTGGTACTGTTTTAAGAAAAGACCTGAAGAAACACCTGCTTAGGCACACTCTTGGGAAGGAAGTTAAGCTGTATATCAATTGTTTCGTTGTAAAAAAAAGCCTTGGCTAATTTTGGTCTGAGAATTCTTTATTTTTTCATGCACTCTGTAACTGGGGTACTGCTGGGATTTCTAGAAGTTTAGAAACAATGCAGCTTCAGTTTCAGACTTTGTAAATTGGAGTCAGAGGGCAAGTGCTCCTGCAAATCTATAATCACAGATTAACCACAGAAATGGTGGATTTTTGGATTATAAAAAGCAATGCAATCTCAGTTGTTTTCAGAAATCAGAGTTTTCCTCGGCAGCCCACTAAGGGAGACCAGTTGTTAAGTTAGGGTTGGGGACAGTGAAGATTTTTTTGACACAAATCAATAATAATTACAAAAACCAATCAGGAAAAATACTGACAAAGTTAAATGGGACCTTTTTCTACGTAACTGTCTAAAAGAAATGAAAACTGAAGATAATTTACCAATAGTATTTCTGCATTGTAAAAGTAATCCACAGTAAAAAAAAAAAAGGTCCTACCTGAGCAATCAACTGACGCATCATCTGAGTGATCACAGCCAAAGTACCTCACAGTCCGCAGTCCACATTGCAGCAGAGAGGTTTCGTCTCCGGTGCAGTGACCTTGTACAAAGACCGGGCCACTTCCTTCTCCATAGTAGGCTCCGTGCAGAGGGATAAGATTCTCCGCCTCCCCACAGCCCACCTCCCTGCACAACACCTGGGCTCCATTGGTATCCCAGCTATGACCACATACTGTCCCCCACTGGTTGCCATGGAACACCTCCACCCTCCCAGAGCAGTTATTGGATCCGTTGACCAGCCTGACTTTTAAGGTATCGATGCCTTGAAAGGAGAGAACGTAGACAACGTTCTGCTTAGTTTCACTTCTTCCTCAGAGATACTTCAGCAAGTGAAACAATAACTCTGACCACCAGCATGTTTGCATTAAAAGACCTCAGTGTTTTCTCTGGACAATGCCTTTGTGTATCATTTTCTGATCTTATCCTAAGGATTTGTCCTTGGATAGTCTATCTGATTTGATTTTCTTATTTTTGCAGGAAGGGGGGAATACCACAGACAAATGCTTCTGGCAAATCTAGATTTGCCAAAATTCGCACATTTTCCTTTCCCTCTATTATTTAATTGATGAGATTGTTTAAATACATTAAACCTTAGCTAGAAGCTTGAGTTTTAATTGCATCAATTCAACTGAGGGGCCTGTAAGTGTTTGCTGTATTTACAATTCATTAGTAGTACTGTACATATATTATTTTTAGGTAAATCTGCAGACGAAAACATGAGGTTAGCTGATCAGACTCAGACTACACTAATCAAATGTATCATGGACAGTAATTGCTTCCTTTATTTTGGTTACCAATAATCAAATGTCCAAGGTGACTACATGATAACAGTACAAAATAGCATTAATGACCTTGCGGGGTTCATTAATCATTGCTGTCCACCCATACCAGTGTGTTGAAAAACAAAAGATATTCTTTAAGCAACACAGCACAATTGAAGAGATGTCACGCAGCAACTTAATATATTTTCTTGAGTGGAAAGAGGCAAGTTTTGTAATAAAGACTATTGAAGAAATATTCTAGAATTGGGAAAATGGGATCAAAACTCATTTTAAGAAAGTCATTTCATACCCGAGCAGAAGACTCCTGCGTCCTCCGTATGTTGACACCCGTAGTGTCCCATTCCATGAAGTCCACACTCGTACAAGGAGGACTCGTCCCCACTGCAGAACTCAGTCATAATAATGGGGCCACTTCCTTGGCCGAAGTGTGCTCCATATACTGCAACGGCAGAGCCGTTTCCCGCACAGCCTGCTTCCCTGCATGCTACCTGAGCAGTTGTTGAGCCCCAGGAATGGTCACACAAAGTCCCCCACTGGCCTCTGTGGAAGATCTCCACTCTCCCAGAGCAGTTATTCGATCCGTTGACCAGCCTGACTTTGATGGTCTCTAAGCCTTCACACAAGAGCAAATGTACAATGAAAGAGCACTTTCGATGAGTGTTTTGTACTGGTTGGTCTTAAGACCCATAATTTTGACGTTGCTTATATTCAAGTATTGGCTGTAACATCAATGCAATTTGAATCCTGAGCACTTAAAAGCCTAACAAAAAGTACAGTTGCACAGAAGCAACACATAACAGAAAAAAAGAAAGGAAAAGTAGGAAAGAAAAGTGCAGCAAACTGACAAAGATCAAGAGTAAATCTAAATCATAGATGAAAAGCTTTAGTGTAGCACTAGATTATTAAGCAAGTTTTCATTATTTGATAATGATTTATTTTCTTAGGATTATTTGTTACACAATGATTCTGATTTGATTGCACCGCATATTATTAATGTATACCTTATTATACATTATTTAATTACATTATGTATAAATTTAATTAATGTATACATTATTCATTTTTTAAATATTTCTAATGTCGTTATGTTGTTAAATGTACGGCAGAAATGTTAAATTAAAGCTACACAGAGAGTAATAATATATACTCTCTGACTACCTAGAAAGAATAATCTAATTTAACACCGCCTCCTTCCAGATTTGCAAGTCACGACTGAAATAACTCACTATGAAGACTCTTTATCAAACAAATGAACAACAGCTTGAGAGAACGCTTTAGATCACTGAGAAATACATACTGTACCTGGCGCCCACCTTGAACTAAAGCAAAACCTAAAGCTGAAGCCTCAGGTCTGGACAGTTGCTGGAGTCTTGTGGTCATGAGGTAAGATAAGGCCTGAATGTGTTGTTTACATCTCTCCAGCTTGATTCCATTGTACATGTTAACTCCTTTTGTTTTAAAGAGGTGACACAGTGGCAGGGACGTCAACTCTGCTGCCTCACAGATCATGGGTTCTGGGCTTGATTCTAGTCTGCTGCACCTACTGTATTGTGTGCTCTCCCCATTCTTGTGTGAGTTTCCTGTGGGTGCTGATGTGCTAGTTAAGATAATTGGTGTCTCTATATTGTCCCTCTATGCTTGTGCTTGTGTGGGTATGTGTGTGCATTGCAGTGCACTGATGGATTGAGGTTCCATCATGTGTAGTCCTGTCTTGCTTCCTATACAGTACATCCAGGACAGGATGTGGGTTGCCAGTACAAGTATTAAGTGGCCTTTTTATGATGGATGAATGGTGTGCTTATACACACTGCGAAAGATACAAGGATCCAATTAATTTCCAAAACATTCCAATAATTGTTACCGGCAAAGCAAGATGAAAGAGGCCTCACGTTACATATTTCCAAATTCATACTACCTGTTTGGAGCAAACTATGGACTCAGTTGGTGAGTCACTTTGAAATCCTATGCCACCCAGTAGATATATTTGTAATCAGCTGTAGTCCATCCATCCAGTTCTAGCAAATCTCGCTCTCCTTTTCATGATGCGGAGACTCCAAGCTGTGTCTTCTGAAGCTGGAGCTATAATTTTCTAAACATTTTATCCAAGGGTCATGTGGGAGCCGGAGCCTATCCCAAGCAAGCAATAGGCGCAAGGCAGGAAACACCCTGGATGGTCCATTGCAGGGCACACACACACTCAGATATGCACGCACACAGCAGAGCCAATTTTGCCAAAAGCCATTTCACCTACCAGTATGTCTTTGGACTATGGAAAGAAAACAAAGCACCTGGATGAAACCCATGTGAACATGCAGACAGCACCCCAGGGCTCCAGCACTGAGAGGCAATAACACTACCCACTGTGTCTACGAATATCAATAGAATAACAACCAAGTTTGTATATCTAGCTATTTCAATGAAAAGCGGAGCAGTCCTACCTATACAATCGACTCCTACGTCCTCTGAGTGGTCACAGTGAAAACGTCTCATTGCCCCACAGCTGAGTAGCGAGGACTCGTTCCCACTGCAGCCTCCATACATGTGAATGACACCGCTCCCTTTTCCATAGTAGGAGCCATGTACTGCGACAGAAGACCCGTTGCCTTCACAGCCCACCTCTCTGCAGACGACTTCGGCATCAGCCTTTCCCCAGTGATCATCACACACTGTCCCCCACTGGCCCCTTTGATAGACCTCCACCCTCCCAGAGCAGTTATTGTTTCCATTGACCAGCCTGATTCTGGGGATCTCTGGGCCTGCAGGCGAGAGGGAGAAATGAATGAAGCCTCGGGCGTGTTCGTATTTATCGGCTTACCACCCAGTTCAACGTCATGAAAATGAAAAACGAATGGATTTTGGCAGGTACGAAAACAGAGGAAAACTTGAAGAAACTGAATGTTCCAATATTGTGCCATTAAAATTTTAGCTCCATTACACGATACTATATTATGTACTGCAGAGAAAATGATATACAACAAATGAAAAAAAATACTTCTTTGGTTTTACAAAGAAGTGAGCACCATAGGTTTGGAAGTGTGTAATGCTCACTAACACTGTGCTCTCCTTCACATATATAAACTGTGGCTAAGGATCTGCACCTTTGGCTGGAAGGTTGTCGGTCCATAATCCGCAGCCGGCAGAGGAATCCTACTCCGTTTGGCCCCTGAGCAAGGCCCTTAACCCTAACTGCTCCAGGGGCACCGTAAAAATGGCCGACCCTGCGCTCTGACCCCAAGCTTCTCTCTCCCTGTCTGTGTGTCTCATGGAGAGCAAGCTGGGGTCTGCAAAAAGACAAATTCTTAATACAAGGAATTGTATATGGGTAATAAAGTGATGTTATGTTATACTGTAAGTGCTCCTTTAGATTCTTTTCCAAAAAGAGGATTTGATGATTACCTAATGTAACGATATCCTTCTGTTGTTAAAGTCAATGCAACTTTGCATATTATTGTATATGTAATGCAAGATATTAATATAGTAGGAAATATCATTAGCAAATTAACTACTGTGTTGAAACGCAATATTATCTCACGTTGACAATATTTGTTTTCTCTGTGGCGCTACTTAGCTCCTGTAGCATTGACTGAGCAGTACCAGGGTACTCTGAAAACAAGCTCGTATCATCCCATTACCTCATTCATGTTTGAACCTGGACTTTTTGCTATCTTCTACTGTTTTCTTCCAAGGATATTAGTGCTTTTGTGCTACTAATTTGTATACATCTGACTTAAATTTTAAGGAATCGTGAGGGTCTTGAGCTGTTTTGACGTAAGGTGAAATTTTCAATTTCTTGTGTTTGTGTACAGTACATTTTAATTTCTTCTTGGGGTTCTTTGTTTTCAACCTTAGAGTGTCCCCATGTCTAGGTATTAGTGAATTGTTTGTGAATGTCTTAACCACCTTCTCTCAATAATTATCTGGGGATTATTTGCAAATCAATTGGTTATAATTATTAATATTTCAGTAAGTCTGTTGATTACCCAAACACTTTTGTCAAAGTATGATAGTATGTTAGCTTTTACTTGTTCCATTGACCCATTAAGTATGATAACACAAATCTTCTATCTCGCAAAAAAATAATGATCTTAATATCAAATACAAACAATTCAGTAGTTTGGCCACATCTTAAAAAAATGAGCCATTGAGATGAAATGTGTTATTGGACTGTGTGGGACAATGCCTTGCTGAGGGAACGGCAGCCTTATCGCAAGGATGGGGCTGACCGAACCCCCCCTCACTCTCACAAGGAATGAACCAGGGGGCTGCTGCAAGGGTGAAGATGGGAATAGTGCGAGATTTGCAAAGGGAAACTCTTAAGTCGAGACAAATATACATAGGAGAGCAGAAGTGGACAAGATGAGGTTCTGACCTTTCTCCTGTTAGTCTGTTAAAAAAAAACCCTTATGTATTGGCACCTTTTTCACAAAACTAAACTAACATATCCACTATGGATATTTCAATTTCAGTATATGTGATATTTTAAGGAATTTTAAGTATTTTAAGGAATAAGACAGGAAAAAGGAATTTATTGAGATTAGGCATAAGATAAGGAAATGAATGTAGGACCCCCATACAAAGGGAGGAGCTAACCAAGGGGTAACTGCACAGATGGTGATGGGGTGGAGGGAATAATAAAGCAAGGAAGGGAGATGTTCACAGTGTCATTGTTCACAGGAAGGCTATGAATTAGTGTAGCAGAAGTAAAAGAGAATTTGGCTGTCATCTATCCTCCCAAACGTTTGTTGAAAACTCTGTATAATGATTATTTTGGAATGATTACACTTCTTAAGTACTTAAACAGCCTTAGGAAGCTAGATGCCAGAGGTAGTAATGACTTCTAGTGTGATGCAACTGGATTTATGAAGCACTCTATAACAAAGGAAATGGCCACAGTGCAGGGTCAAAGAAATCATGCCACTGAGAGATAACCAAGAAGTGCACATTCAGCTGAAAAGCTTGAAACAAGTACAGTAGGTGCAAAAATAACAATATGGTAAGGGTAAGCAGGATGTTTGCTTAAGCCATTAAATCCATCCACGATCTAACTGAGGACTTAAGAGATTATTAAAAATCAATGGGTTTAACAGCTGAACATTTGTAAGCATACAGTATACAGTAGTTCTCACTGTGAAACTTATCATCTAATGGCATAACCTTTTAGCTGTCGGTCAGTCAAAGATTTGTATTTCACAGTCAGTCATGATTCCTGCTGACAATGTTGCTGTTGTAGATGTCACTCAATTTTGGACATTTATTAATTTATTACACTAAATCTATACCTCAATAATAACGATCATTTAGATTTTACACTATTCACCATGAGTGAATATCATACAGTATATAGCAGATACTGTAGTTCCCAAACATAGTTATTCATGTAGTTTATACTGTATCTAGGCTTAAATTAATTCTTATTTGTGTTTTGTATATCTTGAATATAGCAGTACCTGGATTTAAATTCTGTTGTTCAATTACATACATGTTCTATTTCAGAATTCACAGCACAGCCAAAAATGAAAATATAAAAAAATCTGTGCTGGTAGACAATTATTTTAATTAGAAATTCACAGGTGAATGATGGAAGCAGAAAAAAAACACTGCTCTTTCTGTAGGACAGCCATTTGACTTATTCTTTCATATAAGAGTGTACAGAACAACCTATTAAAAGTATGTGCCACGGTGCTGTTGTGTGATTAGAAGTCTATATTACTAGTCCACAGTAATTACAAGAGTGTTCTATATATAGTGTCTGAGAGTCCTTCTCTTTTTTGTAACTTTATTGAGACTACTCTCTCAGTTTTCATTGGAAACTGTTTATTTTCATGAAACAATGGAGTAAGTTGAGATTTCCTGTTCAGATTTCAGCGTGATTTTCAATCACCCCCCTGAACATGACTGCTAATACGAGTGTTTGTGAAATGTCTCAGGCAAACAGTGGAAGTACTGGCTGCCAGGAAACTACAATTTTGTGCTGAGAGATCAAAACTTACACTTGAAGAGGAAACTCATAGAAAATTACTTCATGTTGAGTGGAACTGTAGCTTGTGTAATTATCATGCACATTTCCGTTCATATGTTTAACCTAGCAAAAGCTGAGAGAGTTCATCCCATGTTTTACAGAAAGTGCTTTGTGCAGCTCTCACAAAATTGATCCAAGAATAGCTAACATTCTGGGAAGGGAAAAGAAGATAAGGCGACTTATAACTGGTTTATTCTTTAGATGGTATTAAAGAAGGCTTAAAATTTAAAGTTTTTGAAGTGACATCAGTCACTAATTTACATTTGAAAATATACGTCTGCATACTTTAGAAGTCACTCTCTAGAGTTAATAACTATGGACGATTAGTGAGGCTTCATTCAAAAGCACAGCGTTTACATAATGATTTGTAATGACCTACTCTGCAGTCCTGTTTTCTTTTCTATCACTATAGGCATTGCCACATGAGTTTCTCAACTCTCTTGTCTCAGTTTTTAAACTGGCTGCACTGAAGCACATGGAACAAAAAGTTGTGTTTTCTGGAACCCATGCTGGTCTTTTCCATAAGCAAACAGTCTTGTTCAGGCTTTCGTCTCCTGTTAGAATTCCAGTGAGCCCCAGATTTTATCCAACCGTGTCTGTGAGTTTGCAAAGCTGGCCATCTAACGGGGCAGTTGCAACTGTTTGTCGCATGTACAGTATATGGACTTGCCACGTTGTCAGAAGAAAAACAAGGAATACAAATGGTCCTACCTGAACAATCGACCCCTGCATCCTCCGAGTGATCACATTTTTGATTTTTTGTTTCACCAGTCTTGCAGTTCAGCAGTGAGGACTCAGTCCCAGTGCATTTGACATCATCCAGGATAACAGGGCCATGTCCTTCTCCATAGTAGGCGCCATGTAGGGGAACAATTAGTGAATGCTGTCCACAGCCCACCTCTCTGCACAGTACCTGGGCCGCATTGATGTCCCAGTTGTCATCACACACTGTCCCCCACTGACCATTGCGGAAGACCTCCACCCTCCCAGAGCAGTTATTGTGTCCATTGACCAGTCGGACATTGATGGCTTCTGGATGAAGACAAAAGAAAGGTCCTTAAAACAAGCCTGTGCAGTGATGTAGTGAGACTATGACGCACATTCCATGCAAGTCTGACCTGAACCAAGCTGTCGAGATTTTCCTTCTGTTGACTTGCCTTTTATTTGTTTATTTTTAAGAAACATTATTAAGTTCGTTTAACATTTTAACATTTATTGAGCACATACAACAGACAGTATTGTGCTACCCAGTGGAATACCCAAGTAAAATGGCAATTTGTACAGGTACAGTACGTTAAATCCAAAAGGTTTCAACTTGTGCTGGGGAGATATCCCTCACTAACTGTTTTACTGGAGAATTCTTTGTGATTGAATAAATTCTATCTCGACAATTTACCATTTGATGGAGAAATTGTGTTAATAACCTAATAGCGTTTTTGATCATCTTTTTTCAACTCGGAAGATATAATAGAGTGCAAGATTTATAACTGACAATACCAGGATAAAATAATTATATTTTTTATAACTATCATTATAAAAGATAATATTAGGTATTAGGTTAATGATGGGGCAGGATTGCACACAAAAGTAAACGTGGAAGCACGGTCAGTCCAAGTCCGCATAATAACCTGATCACACGCTGCTCATTTCCTGAGCTCCTGTACTTTGTGTTCCTTTATAAAGTTGCACTGACCCGTTTATGACACCGCTGGGAAATACATTCTTTGTTCAACAAAAACAAAACGAATCTTCAACCCCTCCGTAGAAGACTTAACATTTCCATGTGCAGTAATGTCAGATATAATTAAAAAAAAACTGGAGAGAACTCAAGATATTTGGATGCAGAGGCACAATAGATTTTTAGACGCAATCGTTTTCGCTTTTGTTTAATTGATTTCAATTTTCCCGATTTCACAGACAACCGATTACGACGGGGAATGCTACGTGTTTTTAACGCAGCAATGAACGTTTTACCTCAAAATTAAGCCTCTGTTTTATCCTGTTGATAATTCAAAACATCAATGGTCGGGTAAACCAGGACTTGTAATGTTAAGGATGGACAGTCTTTTGAATGTTTCTACTAGATGCTTTTAAAAAAACGAAGCACAATTCGTTTTACCACCGATTACATGATACAATTCTGTTAACTGAATCACAGATTTTGGAATACATTTATTTCCTTCGTCTTTTCAATTAGGTTGTCCATCACGGTTAACTGCAATTATAAGTGAAAATAGTTTTGGAAAAATGGAATTGACCCAAACTATAGATGTATTATACCCAAACTATGGTCTACTGCTAGTTCCTGCAATGGGATTAATGTTTTGTTTTGTTTTTTCTTTTTATGCAGACAGGCAAAAGAGGATGAGAGAAAAGAGGCAGAAATTGAGTGCAATTGTTGGTAAGAAAACGGTTTCATATTATATAGTGCTTGGCACCCCCAAAGGATTCCAAAGCATTTCACAATTTGTGGAATGCCTAGCAGTTTACTCTAGTAATAAGAAGTTTACTCCCCACTTTATTTTAACAGATGAATCTAAGTGGAAATTCCCTGGAACCTAAAAGAGGAGATATTGGGAAGACTACATACTGTATGGAAAAATCAAGCCCTGTTACTATCTGAGGAAGATGAAACAGGAAATCATACCTGCAGCTGAAGTAAATGATGAAGGAAATGATGTACTGTAATTCAGAGCACCAGAATTGTATCCAGACACTTTAGTTTTTGTTTTGCTTTAATTTCGCAATAGTTTTGATATTCATTTTCCATTGGTGGTTTGTTTTATGCAACATACATTCTGATTTTTTCAGAAAACAATGAGATTAGACAAGGTAGGTGACTTTTTATTAAAGTTTAACCCATTGATTTTTAGCATTTTTGCCATTTAAATTAAAAGTTGTACTGCTTTGAGTAGTAGGAAGTACATTGATGAATATATTTCTGAATTAATTTAATGAATTAATCAGTCTTTGTTTTGTGTAACTTTGTTACAGTGAACAATGTTTGGAAGATCCAATTGTATACCAAAGGAATTAATCTAATAATTCTAAAAAAAACATGTTCATTGTGGTCAACTAATGTAATGTAATTTTTAATTTAAAAGTCTTTTTGCACTTACTGTATTGATGTCAATATTGTATGAAACTTTCTAATAATAGAATAGAAATCATTTAGGTCTTGATATGATACACAGTCTTTTAATTATAAGTGATTTAAACCCTTCTCAGGATAATGTGTGTGTGTTGACACTGTGTGTCTGTGAGTGTGTGTGTGTGTTGAGCCTCTTAGTTATTTACTTCTCTCAGTCTGCTCTGTATACACTATATGCTCTACTGTTTTTATTTAATGTTTCATCTACTGTTAGTGCTGACTGTTTTAAGAAACATTTTGTAATGTAATCTTAATGTATTCTGATATGCATTTCAAGATAATTTGCAAAAAACATGCAATACCAGTGATTTCTTCAATCTTCTCTTTTAAAGCAAATATAAGTCAGTTTTTGGAAGTGAATAAGTATACTGTCAGACTAAAAGCAAACTATAAACAGATCTGGCATATTAAAGCATCTGTCCTTAATTAAGCAAATTTTAGATGAGTGGAAAGTTGTACATTCTCTCGTGTATCAAAATACAAAGCAACAAACTATGATTAAAATGATTATGCAGCTTGTTATCAAAAAGCAATAATGTTTAAACAATTAAATTAGATACCATTTATGTTATGTTGGTCTAATGTTTTTTGTACTTTCTCTGCAATCAGTTTCATTTTGTCTGTGCATGTAAGCCTGTTTATTTTTAAAGTTCATTTCTAAAGTTCACTAAAGGTTCACTAAAACACCATACTGTATGTGCTATGTGCTAAACTGTATATGATTTTTGAATGCGTGTGATATAATAAATCTGCTGTCACAGAATTATTTAAATAAAATAACAAGACTTCTGGAGTATAAGAGTATAATATTACTCATAAAATGTATCTTGCATTATATTATACCTAGTATTTTAAAATATATTTTGTATATGTTGGAAAATATATTGCAATATATAAAAATTTAATTTACATATTTAAAATATATCTTAGCATACTTTTGGATATTATAATATATTTATCCTTAAAGTATATTATAACATTTTAAAATCTATTCATATTAGTAGTAATATATTTAACAAATATATATTTTACATATATTTCAGTTCCGTAAGGGTTGTTAAACCCGTGGCTTGGTACTTGCTTAGAAATGCAGAGAATTAAAGGTGCAATACTCACCTCCATGTGGAAGAAGGTACAGAACCCCCAAAATCAGCAGCAAACTCATTCTTTTTAAATTTCTAGCATACAATTCCTCTTTCCCATGAAACTGTTGAATTTGTGAAGTGAAATACTGCATTGTTTTAGAACAACAAAATCAAGATAGAAGTATCCAATATAATCATATAGCTTGCTGGGTTCTTCTGCGAAAAACAAGTGTATTTGACAAGCGATTATCTGATGTGCTTCAAGTGCTTGTGCTTTCACAAAAGAAGATGTGTGATGATTGCTGCCTTCCTTTTAAATAAACAGGAAAAAAAGTAGTAGAAATATCCTGTTAGTATTAACCATTCCATGCATGAATCATCATCCTCGGATATTAACTGGAGGAGCCTTTTTCACATTTGTATTAGTCATGAAGCACACGACTTCAGCAATCTATGGCAAACACACCGTCTCTGTTCTTTGGAAACTGTTGGAGTGTGTCTCAATGAGGCGACAAGATTCCCCTTTGCAATGCATGTCTTTGTACCCCCTCTCCACGGATTTAGCCACCTGAAATGAAAACATCACCATTCCATGTAGCCTTCGAACGCACACAGCCGTCCGCCTCAAGGTGACAGCTGCACATTCAGAAGTCTGTGTCAAGGTCCTGCAGCCAAGACCTGTCTACCTGCTGCACTGTGTTAATGGCTGCAGAACATGGACAGGTGTCTCTTCAAGGACATGAGGAGATGTGTATTGTTACAGTAGGTGGCAGGCCAGGTGTTGTCAGGTGTGCCATGGCATAAACACAGGGAGCGGCTGATAGTGTGTGCCCAGCAGCCCGTCTTCATGGCTACATGTCAAATATTTCTTGGCTGCTGAGGTTGTCTCCCTTAAATTATACTGTACTGTCAATGCCAAACATTCTCATCTGTGGACATTGAGATCTCTGATTGTTTTAAAAGTCCATCCGGATGTTAATAGAACAAATAGTACCAAATCCTTCCTTTTAGGACTAAACTACAGGACCATCTTTATGGCAAAAAGATTCTAAGGGATTCTAAGTGATAGTCAGAAATGCTTTAGAGAAATATATATTTCCAAAGAAATAACATGATCTCTCAAGTGCCATAGATTGCCTGGTACTATATATTTATATAAATGAAATAAAGATCAAACAATGTAACTCACACTTTGTGCCCTTTTGTGTAATGACTATCTTGGATTATGTGTAGTTTCTTTTCTATAACATTTTCATTATACCTCATGAAAGAACATATCCTTCATGCACTGTTAATCGTATCGTTGCACTCTGAACATTACTTAACCAAAATTGTGGGGCAGCACGGTGACTCACATGTACTTTATAAAAGGAATGTAAAGTTCCCTG